CATTCCGCCAGATCCTGTTCCGCGCGCCGAAGACTTTTCTTGCATTGGTGTAAATCACGCTCCATCGTCAGTTTTGTGACTTTGAGTTCGGTGTTTTCTTGTATCGCAGCTTGGGCAAATTCGGGTTTCGACAACTTGAAGTTTTGCTCTAAAAAATGTATTTTTAATTTTAGGCCGAAATTTTCCTTATCGAGTTTATCAATAACCTACAACACAATTTCAAAACTGTTAGGAACCTCTACAGAAAGCGCAAAACAGAACTTAGGAAGAGTACCTTTTCTTGTTCTCTTAATGTCATCACGTTATGCCCATCCCCGACGACATTGCCATTCCTCCCTGGCAGTGAAGGGAGAGGGGTGCTTTGAGTGCTGCTGCTAGCTATTCGCGGAACCGGTGTAGGGTCACCATCAAGGTTTGTGGAGTCATCTCCATATCCAGTCACATCCATTTTCGGCAATCCCGGGGTATTACGGTTACCTTGATATCCATTTCTCAGGGCAGCTGGCGTTTCCGGACCAGAGCGTCGACGCGTCGAATAGTCATGTCGAGTCAACTTATTCCTGGTGACGCTGTTCAGCATCGGAGTAAATTCTCCCTTTGGAGGTGGGACGGTTGGAAGATTGCGCCGGTCATGGAAAACATTTCTTGTTGGATTCCGTCCTGAGCCCGCTCTCGGAGTTTTTAAACTAAATCCAGAGCGCCTTCGACTTCGCCCAGTTTCGAAGCCTTTGAGTAAATCATGATCTTTAGAAGGAGACTGAAATGAGTTTTCAACAGAGTCCAAAGCCGACAAATTATTGCGTGCAGCGCTCCGGAAACCATTGGTTAAATAGGTCGCGTTCGCATCAATTTCGGTCCGCGGGGTATCAATGTAGGGGAGCGCCATGTTTGTCCTATAGATGCTGGTGAACCTGATTCGTACTGGGCAGGCCGTATATTCATTAAAGCAGACTGAATCATTGGACGTCAAAATGACCTCCCAAAACCTCAGTGAGAAATGAATATGCGGCGACGCTGTCTGTGGAAAGACGTGTTTGGCGATGTTTACATCTAGCCTAATCGGGCGTAGTGTCTTTCCATACTTCCGCATTGACGGTAAAACATCGGCCCGGTTTGCATCCAGACCAGACATGTTGGTGCAATATTTCACAAGCCCAAAGGGCGAGAAACCAGGTTATAACATGGCGCCCCCTACAGATGAGGATATCGAATGGTTTAGGTCTACATTTCGTCCTATTCCTAAGCCCCAACTGCCAGATGATTGCATTGAATATTCCTTGTATTGCGTATCCACCAGCAACGTCGACAGCACTGAAGATGCTGATTTAATTCGTAACCGTCTCACCGAAGTGCAGAAAGCTGCAGCCGAGCTCGTGAGGGCGTTCTTAAAAGACTATATATGGCAGCGTGACACCTTTATGTTGGAAATGATAAGAGAAGATGGTAAGCAGGTTCGTCTTGTGGCCGTCTGGTACCAACTTTATAGAGGGCAATTAAATATCAGGCATCTAACTATATCATCTGGGAACATGTGATAGGATTGAATTTACTTCGCGGACGAACTGAATATGGAGACTCAATAGAGGATGAATGGGTTATTGTCTATATATTGCGGGAGTTGACGCGACAGTTTGATGATTTATGGGTGAAGGTCTCAGACAGTGATGGCGAATTTTTGCTGGTGGAGGCCGCACCAACATTGCCATCCTGGGCTTGAACCGGACATTGCAAATCATAGAGTAGGTAATGCATCGTCCCGCAATTAGGTTTGACATACTGACATCTCACAGGTTTGGATTCACAAGGGACGACTACTGATCATCAAACCAGAGAAAGACAAGAGATCTATCCCTAAACCACTAACATTCCGAGAGGCAAGGAAAATAATTGTTGGAGATCCTAAGCGACTAATGCACTCACCAACGATAGAAGCTGAAGCGTTTTATCGACTTCGCAATTACCCGACGCAAATCGCTGACAACCTCCACACATCCCCAATTACCATACCGCGGAAACTTGCGTACATACTACATATAAAACCGGCTTATATATCCCCAGCAGTGGACGCGTTCTATATTAGGGATCCAATATCCTTAAGACCTTTAAAATCAAAGGACACAAGTGCGTTAATATTCAAACCAGAGGATTTAGTCACCGTTAGCGTCCGCTTTACGAGGGTTGGATACGCACAATTAAAAAGCCAGGATTTTGAACTGCCTCCAGCTTGGAAGGGCAAACTACCACCTGAAACCCCGAAATTGAATTATGCTCGCGCTGAAATGGGGGTAAAGGTTACCAGTGGATTCGAAATGCTGTTGTCAGACCCTCAAAACCAGGATAAAGTAGCAGTAAGGGAAATAAAACTCATACTCGAAGATATTGAATCTGGAGATGACAAATTACCTACGAATGACGAAATTGAATCGACATGGGAGAAACGTGAAGATGACGAGAAGTGGCTCGATATAAGCTTTGAGGACCTTGAGCAGGAGCTGAAAGGGCGACATGGGGCAGACAAAAGTGCTAAATTTGCCGGCGCATTTGGTGACCAAGCTGCCCAAGAGAATCTTCAAAGAATAGTGGAACGATTCGAGCAATTTTTGAATGACGACCGCGCTGGCCTTGATGGAGCCGATCTTATCGACGAGACGGACTCCGATGATTGTGACGTTGATACTGACGACATCAGTAGCGACGGTGAAGATAAGGAAGTATCATTCGATGAGGATGAATTCTCGAAGATGATGCAAGAAATGATGGGACTTCCTACGAAACCGGAAGGGAATACCCGACCCATGATGATGAAGCGATTTGAAGAGTTGAACTCAGACGGCGACGAAGATGAAGACGACAACGAAGAGATAGAAAAATTGTCAAAACAGATGGAGGCTGAATTAAGAGCAACGGGAGTCCTCGATTTGAATCCAGAAGGGAACAAGAAACATGCTATTAAGGGGAAGAACCCAACTCGTTCCAGAGAGAAGTCGGACTCGAGCCAGGAAATCGAAAGGAGCACTGATGATGAGGGTGATTATGGTGTTGAGAGTATGGATGTCAACCTTGCTAGGAACTTGCTTGAGAGCTTTCGCAGCCAGGCTGGCTCAGCAGGGCCCGGAAGCAATTTGTTAGGCATGATGGGTATGACGTTGCCAAAAGATGACCGTGAATCGAAATAGAAAATCAGAAGCTACAATACCATACATAATAAACGTGTACCATTTGGACGAGGAAGCGACAGCAGGGGAAGGAATGTGGTTGGCGCAGGACCTCAATTTCATTACCTCCGACTGTCGGACTTTCAAAGCCACTATTTGCAGATATATGGCCCGGCCAGCCAAACAATTACATATTCCGCATCTCTAAATTCAAAATATCTCTGTACACAGATGCGATTGGCAAGGTATATTCAAGTAGATTAGCACGCCCTGATCGATGTGATGCCACGGATAACAAACATCACCACGAATACCAATCAACCCCTCGGTTTCCAGACATAACCAAATCACCAGAGCTCCCTCCTAACCAATCCAACACCACTACTCTCGTCATATCTCAATCTGTAAACATTCTTCAAACTTTTCTAGATCTTCACAACAACTCCAGCAGGATCAAAAGGCACAACTTCTCCCGCAGCATTCACCATCGCTGGTTCAGTATCGCTACGAGCTATAATCGAGAATTAGCAATCTTCCTCTTGGTCCTGAGTCGTATTGGTTTGGTTCTAACATACAATCGACTGTCGATGGAGCCGCGATGGCGACAGCCAGACAGGAGAAGAGAATGATGATGAGTTTCATTTTGGGCAAGATCGCTTTAACTGTTCAGGTAGAATTTGAATAAGGAGAAGATGATTGTCTTAGGGAGGGACAAAGGTCGGCCGGCGACAAAAAAAAAAAAAGCTTGCTTCAATGGAAACTGGTCTATGAGTAAATTTGAGGATTTGACAAGAGGCCAGATCGATTAAAAACAGGAAAAGAATCGGGTACTTTCACATTTTAAATGGATTCAAGAAAGGAAGAGGGCAAAATATAACCTATGTGAAAAGGTAGACGAAAAAGTGATAAGCTAAAATAGGCATAAGGTAAACCTCTTCACCTAAGGGGCTTTCGTGATGTATAAAATTCCTACCGGATAAGCTACAGGGGAAAGCAGTTTCACTTCACATAATGAGACAAGCTATGTGGCAGCTATGCCAGAGATGGTGCTATTTTGCTTGAATTTGGAATTCTGCATCCACGTTGAAGAGAAACACGAAAAAAAGTAGAGAGTGGAAGTTACGTAGTCCTATGAAGGGGAATCCTGGAGAATTTGGATCTCAAACCCAAAACTGTCATGAAATTCGCTCTTTCGAGAAGCATATGTCGGATGATGACGACAAAAATTACTTAGTTTGTAATGGATTCCGAATCCAGGGATGTTGCTGAAACTAGGCTGAGACGAGAGGAGTTTTCAAACACAGCAATTGCGTGACCATTGAAGGAGTGGTGACAGGCTGATTGTGCCTGATACTAGCTATTCTTCAGATAATTATCTCTCGACATTAATAACACTTTTGGCTGACGAATTGTTGACAATCAATTAAGATTTACTCCATATTTTACCCCGAGCGCGGGAAGTTGCACTTGAATCAATACTGCTCAAACAACAGGGCCTTGGCATTGCATCCAATTCCGTTATTTACTTGAACAAGAGAAACGATAGACAGGGCTCTGATGTCAAATTTGCCGTGTAAACATGAAGAATTTCTCACCCGCTATTAGGCGGCTAGCTCTCGCCGAGGTGCAAAGAAACGCAAATAATCATGCCATATACATATCAAGAATAGCGAGGCTTTGCCATCGTCGAAGGCTCATCAGTCAGCCCCTTGTCTGCTCAAAGAAGGAGAAAAAGAAGAAAAACTCCCTTAACTTTTTGATTCCGTGAAGTTGCTGGGTCTCTTACCGAGACCAGACTTTTCATATATTGCATCCAATGTTCGCATCTGTGCGACGCTATCTTCATGAGAGATCCAATGGACAGGTTTCTTGCCTGTAACCTTGTCTACAAAAGCTTCCAGTTGGTATCTGCAAGAGCGAAATGATTGTTAGCTTAGACCACATGCCTTTCGTAAGACGGTTGAAAATGCAGACCTACCGGTAGGTACTCCACCACGGTTCTGAACACGCCCCCCATTCGGGTCCAAAATTGTAGTGCTTCTGAGTGTGTTTCTGGCCAGTCCGCTTATCTGTGATCTCGATGTAGTGGAACACATGCGGCATCATGAAGCTGCGAAGAGTGTATAAATATCAGTAAGGTGTTCTTTAACCCTATTATTTTTTCTTGTGAAAAGAGAGAGCGGAGAAACGAGGGCACCGAGGCAAGAAGTAACATACTTGTAAAAATAAATATTAGCATGCTCCAGTTCGATCAAGATCGAAGGCGCTTCCCAGACTCTTGGAACAATGTGACCAATGTATGGCTGATTCATGTCGGTTTTAATATCGCTCTTCACAAGGCCAGAATTTGCCGCGACTTCCGACTTGAAATACATCCTTGCATCCATAGCTTCATCAACTCGTTTATCAGATGGTAGTGGCCGCGCTTTCGCGTAATCAATCCGCTGTGGTGTTCCAGCATCGAGGAAATACCGTGTGGACGACACGACGTACGTCATATCCATCAAGCTCCCACCAGCAAGGTCATATTGCCAGCGAATATCTCCTCTGGGGATTGAATTAGCTGGTGTGGTCATCCGTGAAGCGGTTGAGATCACTCGTCCATATCTCCCAGACTCAATCAATGAGCGCACCACATGTGCAGCCGGATGGAACTGCCAGTGAAAAGCCTCCAGAGCCACACGATTAGTTTTCTTTGCCGCATCAAAGATAACGGTTGCTTCTTCTGCATTTGACGCAGCGGGCTTCTCGATTAATACATGCTTCCCAGCATCCATTGCCTTTTTAGCCCATTCTTCGTTAATGACAGTGTAAGTATTCATTGGCATTTTGGCGCAACAGAAGAAAGAGGTGATGAATTGAATGGAAAGATATAAATATTGCAGCGGAACGCGCTCACCAGCATGCATGCCGTTTGGCAAACTGATGTATATAGCATCAATCTCCGGATCCTGTAGGAGTTCCTCATAAGAGCCATAGGCTCGTTCGATAGAATACCTCTTGGCTGCTACTTGCGCAGCTTTGAGGTTTCGGGACGCGATAGCCGTTATGACGGCTCCTGGATGTGTCTCAACTGGATGAATTATACTCGCAGGATTAATCATAGCGGTTGAAAGAACACCGAAGCGGACAGCGTCGGGGCTTTTATCATCCGCTCTTACGCTCTGACGTGAATAGAGCCATTGCTGGAGATATGTCGAAATCTACAGGACGTTAGTGACAGACCTCGGACATGGATGCTCTATGCTCCGAACAAATATTGTGGATTCGAAGTTACCTGTAGTAGCATCGCCATCTCGCACAGTTAGTTATTTGCATCCCAAGGTTTAGACACATAAAAATGCAGGTAGTATTTCGAAGCATGAAACAATACTGTTCTAAATCATGATGGTGATCTCAGTTGTATATTAGAATAACATATCAACGTGCCTCTCTACCTTTCTGCCTCAAGTCCATGATGTCATGATGATACGGCGACATCAAAAGATTATTCGCAATTCTTAGTATTCGGCTCATATCCACAGCGCCTAGACCCTCCTCATCTCTATTCCCAGTGCTGGACGAACTAACCCTTCGTATGTATTCCTGTGACGTCACAAAGGGCGGAGAATATTGGTATATAAATCCGCAAATCGAACCTCGTCAAGCTACATTCGCAAATCTTATTTATTTGCTTCCAGTATTACTGCGTAAGAGCAGATATCAATGAACGATTAAGCCAGCAGTCAACTCTCGTACTGGATGGACGGGGTGAGTTCTTGTATGGCCAATGCACATACACCACAGCTCACGGATTAAAATCAGGCAAAATAAAAACTTGCCGGGGTATTGAATCTACTAATATGAGTTTGAATCATCCTCCTCTTCTAGCCGCAACACGGCAATAGCAACAATCGCTGCCGCGGGCATTGCATATCGCTTTTACGCGTGATCCAGGGCAAGACAGGGAAGTTTGGTACAGCCCAAATGGCAGCAGCAGTATAACACAGAAGGGCAGCCACAGAAGACGGGAGACGGCGGCAAGTCAGGGAGAGCAAAGGAAATGCCGTGAAGCGGTCCGTCTCTCAATATTACACAATAGTGTATGCATTGAAAGCTTGGACTAATCAATGGTTTCGGTACGCAAGCGGCAACTAAATGAAATGGGTTTTTTGAAGGAAGAACGAATCTATGGACTGTTAGTTGGGGCAATCGGGTTAAGTAGGGGGTTATTATGAATTTTAATAGCAATGTAAATATGAAGGAAGGAGGCGTATCTCCGGCTTTTCAGATTCATACGTCCGCAGGGAATCTTCTCTGGAAATTTATTTCTTTCATCATTTCAAAATACGCTCAGGTATTGTGCGAGCCAGTCATTTGCGCCCGTGCCCGTCAGGACATCTCTCGCTGGCGAGTAGAAATTAATGCTTCTTGATGGCGAACTTTGCCTTTTGATTCCCATCGCTGCATTTTGACACAATTGCAGGTAGAATGTTGGAAGGCATGGCCGCTAGAGACCATGGCGGCATGGAGAAACCGCGGGAGGGGATTTGCGTCAATGGAGAGCATTTCATAATTCACGGATTGGAGGAGTATAAGGCCTCAGCAACTAGAAAGGGATATCCTGTCGAAATACAATTACCTCTCGCAGAGGCTTTCTCAAAGTTTTCACGTGTGTAGGTAGAGTCATTCCAGGATCTCACTACTCTCGTGGAGCAAAATCGACGCTTCTATGTCATTCTTGATATTCCCATTTGCAGCCCATTTTCTGCATCTATTCACGCGATAGAAGCATGGAAGAGGGGAATGTTTCGAATTGCTCATTGAGATCGTCAAGAGAACTGGCCCAGGACTAATCGCGCAAGTCGAGGTGAAGATGATGTGATACGCAACTTTCACAAATGGTGACACATTTGACACTGAATAGGTTGACTTCCCACCCTTAAATCCCACATTTAGGGCAGCCGGATGCAAATGCGCAAGAGGAAAAGATTCAATGGCGGCGATCTTGAATAAAGTTGCTGCTTGAGATCGAACCATTCTCATAATTAAGCCTAAAAGCTGCGGGGACGGCGTCATCACGTGCCACCTCTAGCCCTAACTGAGGTCACTGGATGCGGCTCTCCTGACCTCGCTCCGGCCGTCTTCCTCAACGTGTCAAGTCAGACGGCGAGGCTTGGAGCGTTGGCTGTATGTACATCTGCATGCAAGAGAGTTATTGTATGCGTACCGCCAACTTCCAATGCCCTAGCTACCAATAAAGCGGATTGGTGAAGCGGGGAACAAAGCCAACGCCCCAGCCTCCCACTTTCATTTACATCTCCCGCCGCTGCCCCTCTGTTTCGCTGGCACCAGCTTTGTGATAAACCCCGCGTTTTGAATGCTTCTACAATTTGGGAACCAAGGTCCACCCCGTTTATCACCTCTTCGCAGTCCTTCTCCTTGCCACCTCTGAGAACCTTGAGGGGCCGCGACGAACAGTCTCGAGATCGGTGACACAGCCCCTCATGGCTTCTGCTGCTCAATGTTTCTATTGCTTTGAATGTCTATCTGCTTCCTTTAAAGGCACAGAGCCTCCTAGTCTCTCAGCGGTAGAAGACCTGTGGGAAGAGTTCGAATCTTTCAAAGCTCTTGCTTTGCGAGCTGACTTTCAGGGTTCTGCAGATCACTTGGACAATGACGAAGTGGTTGCGGATGGAGATCAGTCAGAAGTTCGGGATGATGATAGCGAAGAATCCGATGATGGGTCTAAGATTGCAAAGCCCTCTCAGAAGGTGCAATTGCCCAGCATCAGCCGTCTTCAGGGAGGCTCGTCATCCAAATCATCCAACACATCTACCCCTTCTGCACTATCCAATAGCTCCTCGCGTTCCGCTTTGACAAGTGCATCTTCTACTACCTCTATTAGCCCGGCGGCTTCTTCCATTTTCTCACGATCAAAAGGAGCGGGTGCAAACTTTTCAACTGATACTGCTGACATGACATACCCTTTATTCGTCACCTGGAACACTCTCTCCAGCACCGGTCATAAGTCACTTCGCGGCTGCATAGGTACATTTGAGCCACATGAGCTAGCCGCTGGTTTAAAAACATATGCGCTCACATCGTTAGTAAATTCTTCTCTTTGCTCTTTGCTTTCTACGTTTATTGATTTCCCCTTCCTGCATATCCGTCAAACTTGAATCTCATTATTAACAAGACCCGGCCAGTGCTTTCGGGGACACACGATTCCCGCCTATCCCATCATCACTGCTCTCCTCCCTCTCTTGCTCCTTAACACTCCTCTCCTCTTTCGAAACCTGCTCCCACCCCCTTGACTGGGTGCTAGGCACCCACGGTCTTCGCATATCTTTTATCTACCGCGGAAGACGGCTCGGTGCTACCTACCTTCCCGATGTGGCAGTCGAACAAGGGTGGACAAAGGAAGAGACCGTTGAAAGTTTGATGAGAAAAGCAGGTTGGGAGGGCTATAGCAGCAACAGTGGTGGAGGCAGGGTGGCGCGCAGATTTCTTCGAGGAAGTATGAATTCATCTGCCAGTGCAAACAATGCGAGGGGGAAACCGTGGGAGGACGACGTTTCTGATTTCAAAACGGTTAGGTATCAAGGGCTGAAAGCGAGTGCTGCTTTTGCGGAATGGCAGGAGTGGAGGAAATGGGTGGAGTTGTCTGACAATCGTCGGGAGCTTTTAGAGTCTGGGACGTGAATGATATGAGATCCTTATTCTCTCCCTTCTGTCCCATCATCTTGGCTACTTCCGCTACTTCCATCTCCCTTTTCACGACTCTGCACAATTTTGCCTAATTCATGTTATATCCCATCGTGTTCGTTTTGTGATATTTAGAAAACCAAACATTTTTTTATAACAACAAATAAATAAGGAAATATTGCGGCTTTTAATATATATCCTTACTTCGGTTAGAGGTTGCTAATGAAATTTGTTGTCATGAATTTCTTTTGCCACTGTTGTACTATAACAGGCTGGGTTATAGAAGCTAGCTTATATATTAATGACAATGATTTCCAATTCCGGGTATGTTCCTCCTATAATTCCAATGTATAAATGATATAATTTGGCTTTAAAGAACCAGGAGTTTGACAAGATAGAGCAGCTAGGAGAATTGGAGAACGAGGGAGGATGCCACAAAAAAGCCACGATGGTTGGTATCTTCTCCACTCAAGGGGAGAGAAAAAGGATATCGATTCAAAATCACCAAACCAGTGATGATATTTGAGAATAATCAGAATGAAAAAGAAGAAAGGAAGAAAGGAAAGTAAAATCCGTTAGGCTGGAAAGGGGAAACAGGAGATTCGTGTGCACACCCAGTGATATCTAGTCTGGAAGTACGTGTAATCGAGAAAATATTCCGTCGTTTCTTCCAAGTCATTAGTTCCAGTTAAAGACGAAGCCAATCACGGTCGGGATGGAAACGGATTCGCAGCTAGTAAGAAGGAGCCGAGAAACAAGAGCAATCTTCTCACAAGTTCCCCTTTAAATAGTCCTTTTCGAACAGTATTACCGTCGATTCGAACTCGACTTCCACAATCCGGTAACAGTCTCCTTTACTTTGCGTTCCTGTTCCCGGATTTGCTCCTCAGTTTGACCCCTGGCGTTGCCTCTAGAGTCGATTTCCATATAATCTTCATCACCAGGATGCCCGCTCGTCGCTCCATCCGGCTGCTGTCGTCCGCTATCATCGACAACATTGCTCCCGTTGACATGCTCCGGCTTGGGGTCTACACTCATAGCGCCCTCCATCATTAGTCCACCGCCTTCTCGTAGCTTGTTAATTGCCCGTACGGTATCGATGGCTTTGTGAAGGGTGCGCCTTGCGTTGAAGTTCTTCTTGACGACAGGCAACAGGTCCTCGCCGGAACCCATGCGCATAGGTGACAACGGGTCCATGGGGTCAGTGGGTGGATTAATCCAGGGGTGCTGAAGCGCTTCGTGGGCGGTCATTCTTGCCCCGGGATCTATTGTGAGGCAGCGCTTGATGAACTCGCGGGCGGTAACGGAGACACCGCGCCAGTACTCGAGAGGAGTAAATGAGTAATCTGCAACGAGGATGGCTTGCATTTCTTCGAGATTTGACTCGCGGTCGAATGGAGTGTAGCCGCAAAGGAGGAAATATGTTATTACTCCGATGGCCCAGATATCGCTATCCGGAAACGGGAAAGCATGCATGATTATCACGTTAGTCGTGCCTAACACTGTAAGTGGCTAGACGGAGGAAGAGCATACACAGGTTTTCCATGGCCGGTCTTTTTGAAGATTTCTGGGGCCATATACCCAGGGGTGCCACACGTGGTGGTCAGAACATGAAATTGCTCCTCATCCATGATCCTCGATAGGCCAAAGTCTGCAATCAATAGATCCGCATTGTCTTCTGGCGTGCGAAACAGGAGATTCTCCGGTTTTAGATCTCGATGTACAATTCCGTGATCATGAAGATACGCGACAGCGGAGAGGGTTGCGCGGATCAGGTCAGCCGCATCGGACTCGTAGTAACTGCCCTTACGGCAAATCCTGTCAAAGAGCTCTCCCCCAAGCGCAAGATCGGTGACGAGATATACTAGACAAATGGAAGGGATGCAATAAGTTTGCGTCCCAGAACAATTTTCAACCACTTTATAGAAATAGACAGCTAGCAACTTACAGTTGTTCATGGTTTCAAAGTAATCCACCAGCGTCAGAATATTCTGATGTCCCATCGACACTCTTTTGAGCACGGCAATTTCATTACGAACCTAATCCCATTTTATCAGCCCCCCCGCAGTGCGTTTAATATCTCCAAAGACGCGCTGTGATAAGATTCACCATATGCTCTCTCCCCGCCATCAATCGCTTGTTAATAACCTTCGCAGCATAATACCGTCCAGTGTCAATATGTACGCATTCTTTCACCACAGAATACGATCCAGCTCCAAGAGTTTTACCAGTTTTATATCTACAGGGCTGGATTTGTGGCCGTTGGGTGCTTGGGGGTTGGGTAGTCATGGCGTTGATGGGCGGTTGGAGTCCCACTAGGTCGTGGCGAGGGACTGTATTAAAGACCGTGAAGAGGATATGATGGAGTAGATCTAGGGCTTATGTTGAGCGCGATTAGTATGAAGTTGACATGTAGATATGGTTCCGGTTTGTATAGCGAGGGACAGGTTGTATGCTCAAAGGCGGGGTTGGTGGGGATGGAGGTCAACCAATCGAAGAAAATTACAACGTCAAGATAAGGGAGAGAATGGGGAAAGTATTAGATGGGTGTCATCACACAACCACGGGAAATTATCCCAAACGGCTAAACAGTTTTTTACGATGGATATCGACTGAAGATGTTTTCAAGTTGTCTGCTTGACCGTAAACAACATTTAAGAATCCCAATGTAGAATCAGCGGAATCTGTCAGGTGATCCGCAAACCCCGATCGATCTACTACCATTGTTTCATGAATACTCTGTGTACTCGTTATGTACTACTCTGTTTGCTGGATTGATTCATAACTAATTGATAAAACATTGGACCCAAAACATGTGTCTTCAAACAATGCCATGCCATGCCATGCAGAAATCACAGAGAAAGTGCATCATCAGCAAAAAGGAAAAAAACGCAACAAATATCTACATTCTTTCCAAAACGCCATTCGTAACAGTCGTCAGCATTTTAAGCCCATAAAATTCGGCCACGCTCTTGAAAAGATTCAGCTTCTTTTCAATCCCACTTAGGTCCACTGTCGCAATCCAACTCCCGCTACAAGAACAATGTTCCATGAATTCGCTCACCCGAAGGCTTTTGCATTTCGAGCATTTCAAGTCTTGTGTCTGCCATTCGACGACAAGACCTTGTACCTGCCCGATCAGCCGCTCCTCCAAAGCAAGACGGTCATATTCGGTGGCACAAGAGAGACAACACCAAGGCTTGCTTCCAGCAGTAATGTTGTCGGCGCTGTTCTCGGGTAACAAATCGCCATCTCGGCAAATATCTAGATCCCGCGTCATGGTGCAATGATTGCATATCAGTTGTGGAAATTTGAGACTTCCACTTGGATTCTCAAATCTCCCCTCATCGCTAAATTCTTTAACCTCGAAAAGGGCGAGGAGTTCGCGGCGAAGGAGTCTCGTTTCCAAAGTAGTGGTCTTACATAGGCTCAGAACCTGCATTAGGGACTTAACCAGCTCAAGTGTTGGGTTGCGTTCGTGTTTTGATGCACGCCATGACGCACCAGGGAGGGTAGGAAACACATAGTCAGACGCCAGTTCAGGATGAAGGAGCTCATCACGTTGCCGCCGTATAAGCCCCGCAATTTGTCTCTTCAGTGGCTTGGAGAATGATTCGGTGAGGATTGAAGTCATTTCCCCAGAGTCAGAGTCAGTAATTGATTGGAATGGCAGTTGTGTGGCTCTAGGCGGGTCTGCCCCTTCGTTGTCAATAGTGGGTCTCTTCAGCCCATGCATGAGTTCAATGTATTCAACGACCCAGTCGAGGAAAACGGTTTGCAAGGGTGTTGGGAGGAACTTGCTCAGTTGCCAATGCATGACTGTCTCAAGTTCTTGGTTCTCAGCTTCAACAACCTCTTGACAACCTTTCCCACCGAAATTGAATTCATCATACCAAACAAGATAATCCCAGTACTCCTTAATTTCTAAATCCAGGAAATGAAAGAGTGGCTTTTCTTTGATCGACTTGACGATATACTGACTGTAAGCGTAAGCGTTGGCCACTTCGCCCTTGGTGGTTTGGAGTAACAACCGGCTAGGGCTGGCGAAGATTATCTGGGAACCCACTCGTCGGAAATCGGTCATCAGTTGTTGAAATGCCTTTTTAGACATCATTTGCACGTGATAATGTAGTGACCGATCATAGAGGAAAGAGTCGGAGCTCTCCACCCATCGAATTAAATGTTGGACCATAATATCAGCCATTCCATTTCCCTGACACGCCTCCGCCCACCAAGACTTTACCAAGTCACGCAAGACAAGAATGCCCGCAGAAGCGAAGGCAGTATCGGAATATAACACTCCTGTTCCATCTGAAGCTCCAGTCTCGTTCGGCGCAACGGGATTCAGCAAAGTAGATTCACTTCCCTCAAGTTCGTTGATGAGGGATGATGTGAGAATTGTATTAATTGCGAGGTTCCGGATTTCGAGTTCAATGCAAACAGAGGAATAGGCCCCCGGATTGTTGCTTGAAGGCATATCTACCTTCTGCATCGGCCCGAGGATATCGTCCTTTTCATAGCCGGCATGATCTGGGAGGGGCGAGGGAGACCACCATAGAACTATATTATTTTGTTCCAGTCGTCTCGCGTATGCAATATCAATCAAATATTTGGGATCATCCTTTTCTAAATTGCAGATAGGAACATCACCATATCTTGCTAGCTCACCTAGATGGTAGAGCCATGAACCCAGTGCTAAATAGTGCATTGTTATTTGTTTTGCAACAAAGGGTTGCCAGCCAAGCGGAGGCAGATCATTGTCTGATGCCTCGGACCTCAGAGGTAGAACAGGGTGCTCTTTGATTATCGGTACCTCCTGTGTTAATTGGCGTCTTTGGGGAGATTGAACAACCAGCATGATTGCCTGATTGCTGTCAGTTCTGAATTTCTTAATTACATCGCCAACCTCAAGCAAGGCCTTTCTCCTCGTCGTAACCTGCGTTGTCTTGAAATGAATATTATCCTGATAGTCAAATATCTGTTGCCACGATTCGCCAGCATGTTCCTGGACTTTCTTCTCAAGCGCTTCCTTGTATATCTTGTCGACGTTTGGAAAACCTTGCACTTCTCTCAGCCGCGTAAGAATCACGATATGGGCTTCTTCATTCCGGCTCGAGCAAATAGCGAAAATCTGTCTATCGCCAGACACAACGTGATAGAGGAATATGTATTCCATAGAAACGTCCATCAAGTATTTTTGCTTTGGCTGTTCAGCGCGTAAAAGTGTCGAAAGCTCGAACCCATTTTCAAGACCTTCTCCCAAAACTCCCCGTTGGCTCTCATCGAATGTACAGAGTGTGCCAAGCTTTAAAACTGCCCGAACGCTTAGGGGTACTTTCTTCTCATAAACTCCTTCGACACTCGGATGGTTTAGCAATATAGAAATTTTGTCCGCCTCTTTCAAATAAGTGTCTTCTGGCATAATCAGTTTAAATAGATGGACAGACGGGTGACCATTGGGCAGTGAGTGGTTGACCTTCTGCACAGAACAATCTACCAAATTGACGTCGGGGAGATCCTCATGCTTTAGGTTAATGAAAATGTGCCGTGGGACCTTGACTGTAAGTGCGTGTATCTTGTGGTCAATTAGCACGAACATTCTAACTTCTCCGGGGATATCGGTTTCCTTGAGCTGTAAAATTTGCCAAGTTTTGACATAAACAAGCTCAGCCTGATTCCGGAAGAAGTTACCAATTACATTAGTTGTCGTGCTCGTTCTCTCACCAAAGAGCTTGCGGCGGCGGATTCGAGCCTGTTTTTGGATTTTCCATTTCTGTTTCTGGTACTTTAGCCAGCTTTCGTAGTCTTCAGTAATAGATGGGATTGTCGCTGGAAGGCTAGCGAATGGATCCAATTGACTTGTTGAGTTCTCAAGCACCTTTCGTTTCTGAGCGCCTTTATTGACTATGTTATACCTATGTTTTTGCGTCGACTGCGACACCATATCTTCGATATCTCCGCTGGCTGGTAAACGATGATCCATTATATTGGTTGGTAGATCGGATAACGGAGTTTTTTCGAAGAGTTCAGTCATTTTTTTTTGTTTGAATTTGTCGTCTTTGATATTTATTCGCCGTTGGAGCCATTCTGGGTGAGGAACTCGCGGAACTGGATTTCGGATTTTTTGGAGAGCGGCGGGAATGGTTATGAGCTTTTGAACCACAGAACCTAATCTTTCAAGATAGTAGTCCCAGTCAATGATTGTACGCGGATCCATATCTCCGGGATCATCCTTTAACCATTTCCGGAGGAAAAAACGTTTAACGCTATACTCAGCGGAAAATATAGCAACGGGTATGGCGCGATCAGTGATAGGGGAGGTCCTTGGCTTTGAAGATATGATATATTTGCAGTTCAGACCCTTGTCTTTCACCATCTGATCTCCCAAAAATTCTGCGAGTCTTTTCGCTGTTGTGATTGATGTGGACTTCTGGTTTCCATATTCCTCCAGTGTTTTCGACATACTTCTGTTTTCGCAAATCAAGTCGATGAGTTCCTCGTCCGCCAAGGTTGTTCCATGCATATGTAGAACATCAAGCCATCTGTTCGCAACCTCTGCAACAGCTGCATAAGTTTCAGTAAGAGTTGTCCCTTCCAGGAAGAACTTGAAAATCTGGGTTTGAAAGATTTTGATCAGTTTCAGCTCGCCTCTTCGCTTGACCTCGAAGCCTTTAAGCTCAGCAAGTGAACCGTCATGATTGAAAACGGCATATCTTTTTTTAAGATTCTTGTCTTCCTCTTTCGATGTTGGAAGAATCATAGCTCTGTAAGGGCCATCTACCTCGAAAAAGATAGAGTTGTCGCTATGGGTTTCGTATCTGAAAGTTTTCGGGTCCACGAGCGTTTGGTACTGGTGATTGGTAAATCGCCCGTGGACAAGATGGTTGAGCATGACGCAAGGGTACGATATTGGCAACTTCTTCCCATTTTTTAAAGTGAATGCAAAATTTTCCGGAAATGTTCCCGGAAGCATACACCAAATGCCGTCGGTATCGAGTTCCAATGGGCGGCCAATCCGTTCTACCAATTCCCTAGCCATCTGGATAATATGAGCACCAGTAAGGCATGTCACACCTGCCATTTCCATTGAGTACCAGCGTGAACCTTTTCGCATGACATATCCATAAAAACTGTTCAAGATGACCTTATGTGCCAGCTGCAGAGAATCAAAAAGTATAATCATTTTTTTGGCCTCCTCAATTTCTACTGCAGGAGCTCCTGCAGCCTTTAACGAGTCTGTTTTGCCCTTCCAGACTTTTTGTTGACCCTTAAAATCATATCGCCGGTCTCTGAAGCTTCGCACCGTATCAACGTAAAAAGGATTTTCCCGCTGACAGATGATGGCCTCCCGCTGAACGGTTTTGCTCTCGTAGATTCTGTGGTAGATCTTTTTGCTATAGTCTTGCAACCGCTTCTTTACAATGGTGGCTTGTTCGCTCGTGCTGAGTTCTTCGAACGCCCTCATCGGGCTCTTTTTCGTCTTCCCCGGGAATTTCTCGTTCGCCACAGCACGTCGAATCATATTGTACTCATCCCGCTTTGCGGGAATATATTCACCTCTCCAAGACCAAGGCATACGTCGATCACATGTTTTCCCTGGTCGATTGAAATCACAGACCGCACAGTCCGATTCTTGTATCATGGAGTCTGGTTGGAGACGGTTGGTGGTCATGATGTTAGGATACATGGATGCAACGTCCAAGTGGTATATCGAGGGTCTCTCGTTCCTATTCGGGGTCTCCTTTAAATTGAGCAACTTTTTAGCAATCTGAGCTTTAACCTTGTCGTAATTGGTAACATCATCCAGGGCTTTTTTCTCCTCCACAACAATACTAAACTTTAGAGCGGCATCAAGGTCGTGGAGTAGTTCGTCAATGGCAGCTGGATCGACTGTGAAATTAACTGGAATATCACTCCTGAAAACGCCGGCTTCGATACTTTCCACATGACCTCCGACATATGTTTGAGAATCAAGCAAATGGCCGTTCCAGAACGCTTCGGGTGGCTCTGTGTGTTTGTTTGGCAAAATAATGTTTCCCCTGTATGCCTGTACCATAAGCAACATCTCACAGAGTGTTCCCGTGCCCTTACGGAGAACATCGTCAGGGTTAAGAGGAATAATCGTACAGAGGGAGAAAATAAACGGATGGATGTATTTCATGTAGAGGTAATATGTTGCCACTGCATCAGAAACTGAGTATTCAGCCAAAGTCTGGGGACGTTCGCTAGCGTATCTCGTCATGACCTCGGGATCAAGCTCGTCTGGATCATAGCCCAGTTTTGCCACGGTGACAGCTTTTAGACCTCGACTTCCTTGTGGGAGGTAGCTGTCTCGATTAACCCATGCAAAGCAATCCATATGAACGCAGTAATTGCTTTGGTAGATATCTTCACTATTTTTCCGAAACCCGATCTCAGCATACATGTCAATCCCTTGCACGCTAGCTCGAGCCTCAACGAATGCCCAGTCAAAGAAGTCACCGTTGTAAGTTGCAATTACAGTAGGTTTCGCCTCTTTAATATGAGCGAAGAAACGTTCGATGACCTTTTTTTCATCTGGTTCATTAAAGATGGTAAAGGGCCCGTCATATTCTGGTTTCGGCGTATACTCGAAATCGGCAATATCTTCAGAGACGATTTCCCTATTCGTTATGAGAAATCCTTGTCCATCAATCATGTATGATATCATCATTATTTGGTCGATAACTGGATCCGGGAATTTCAAGGGCAGTTTGGTCGTCTCAATATCATAAGCCAGGACGACAGGATCCGCTCGCTTGAGACGGTCCTCAATACAGCTTAAAGAAATAACTCCGTTCTTGGACTGGACTGAATACCATTTCCCGATCCGAATATCTATTGGTGGATGTGAGCCAAACTCAGTATAGCAAAAGCGGACAGGTGAAGCATACCTTTATCAATGGAAACTCGAACGTGGTATGGAACATCATATTCTCGAATATCAACGATGTACTCGCTAGCGTCTATAAATGCTTTCTGGGGCCTATCATTAACCTCTTCATCGAAAAGATCAAATCCAACATTTGAGCTAAATCGGTCCAGTTAGCGAACGACAAAGCCAGCCACTGTTGCATATAGACACAAACCTAGCCATCTCCGCATAGGTGTCCATAGCATTCACATTCTTCTTATTTTTCTGCGCAATTGGTAATATTGACTTCCGAACCCCCAGCAAGTCTCCAACATTAGCAAAGCTAAGTTGCAGAAACCTCCGCTTGTGACCGAGGAGATGATTCGGCATCTGCAGATCCTCTTTCTCAACCTGCTTGACACTTTTCACCATACCTTCGAACATCCTTTTGCACCATTCCTCTACTTCTCCCTCATGACCTCTCTTCGTTGCGATCAAGAAGTACGGGTCGTATTCAACTATGGCCTTGAAACTAGTACCGTTGTCATCCAGGAAATAGTATTCAACGCCAGCTCGTCCTCCTGGCACTTTTGGGTCTTCTATTATGGTACTATGCATGTTAATTAGCCAACCAGTCCTTGGCTTTCCGGCTTCAAACCGTGGGAATCCCATTGCCTCGTCAATGCTATTTGCCAGCCTAACTGCCTGATACTTCTCATCTTGTGACGTTGCTTCGCTTGACCTGAGGGAAGAGGATTCGACAGTTTTCGCGCGCTTTGAGTTAAACGGCGTCGAGTTCGATCTAAGTTTGGTCCCATACTTGCTGGGTTTTCGTAAAGTCATATCTGTAGCGTTCTATCACTCGTATATCGCTGGGGAAAAGAGAATGAAACGGCCGGATGATGTTGCAATACACAAATACAATTAAAACTCCATTGAAAATTATAAAAGAAACAGAGAATAATAACAAAGGAAAAATAGACGTTAATAATCATAAACGTAGTGAGGTGCGGGCGATAGGAGCTAGGTCGGGGATTTTGCGTCTGTACTGACTTCGATATCATTTATCATGGCATTAAATGCTTGATCTCCCATATCGCGTTTCGCGTCGCGTCAACTTGGTCAATCTTGAACTAGCAAACTCAATCGCAAAATTCTGCCAAGATCGGAATAACTAACTGCCGGGTCTGAATCGCTGCCCGGAACACAAGCAAGCGCAACTTGAAGGGCGGTTGATGGACTAATGATGGTGAAATTACTCTCCAACGCCGGTCGATATGGCGGAAGACTCACGGGATACACAATCTCCAAAAAACGACACATCCAACGTCCCTCAACAATTTGCGCCCACCAAAAAACCAAAACATGAGTTCCCCAAGTCGCAGGTTGGAAAACTGTGGGAGGAGTTTGGAAACCCAGAAAAACCCATCAATCTGATTCCCGGGGCTTATGACTCGGCAGGAGGAAAGCCGAAGCATGTGTCATTTACAGATGCCTTCAAGGGGATGTCATTAGATGGGTTACTATCGTTTTACAAAATCCCTTGTGCGCGCGATTCTCTCTTGGTTGGCATTGGCACCGGTTTTGGCGCCGGCAGTCTCAAAGCAGTTCTTGGTGGTAAGTGATCAGTAATGCGGCCAATAAAGCTCCTCCATTGACTGACCTCAGCATGCAATAAAATAGGATTGCGGGCAGCATGGCCAGCGTGCAATTGGGCTGTGGGAACCTTCACCGTTACGTCGATCGCGATGTATGAATTTTGCCAGCGACGGAGAGTCCAAGAACGTGATGGGATGAAGGAGGCAGTAGAACTTATGCGGGATCTCAAAATTAAGAAATTACGAGAACGAGAGCGGGCGAAAGCGGATGCAGAAGCAGCGGCGGCAGCAGCAGAAGAAGAACGGCGGTCGAAAAGCTGGACAAATTTGTCAAACTACAAGTTCTGGTAGAAATACACGCCCAAGGACCCGGGAGTCGTGGAGGCATTTCAAGGTATATGGAGAAAAAAACCTCGGAATGAAAAGGCGTATATCACTTGGACAAATACGTAGCCATGTGGCCATCCACAATTTCTTTATCATAGGACATGCATACAATCATTACAACAATTTAACGATCGAAACCTCAATCTGATTTCCCAAGGCCACGGAAAAGCTTGCAGGGTAGAGGACATAATTCCAGCTCAAAACGTATCCAATTGTCAATCCTCCGTAGATATGTCAAATTTGACCTTCTTGTAGTTATGGCCTGTGTTTTCCGCATGTTCGTTTAGGAGATTCCCATCACGTCGTGACTTCCGCCTCTCCCTCGCCTCCTTCGCTTCACGGCTCTTCCACTCTGCTACTTGCTTTTGTCTTCTCTGCGATCTATCCCATGCGACCGCAGCCGTGGGCTTGAAACCAACTCCGTTGATTCCGTACCCATCATCATTCGGATCTGTCGGCGCATATCCTGTTATTTCCGAGTCGTGCCATGTCAGCGGATTCTGATCCTCGTTGCTTGAAAGAGGAGGAGATTTTCGACGGGACATGGGCTTTTGTTGTGAGTTGGGTTTGGGTTTTTGCTGTGGCACCGGAACCGGGCTCATAGTTTGCAGGCCTCCATCCCCTAGCAATGCGCTGGTTATCTTCTCTGTATCCTTTGTAGTAATCGAGGTTACTGTCGGTGACGCATCGACGTTCATTAGACCTTGTTCAGAAGGTGCTTCATCCCCTTGATTGATCGTCTGCTTGTAATCTGCAGCACCATTGTCCGTGCTTTCAACAAATCTATGACTCGAAGTTCCGTGGAGGTCAAGTTCTCCCAGCTCTCCCACTACGGAGATTTGGGGGCTATTTCCCCCAACAGCGGGGCTATATTCATCGGAAAGATGACCACCATCCTTTACACTGATCGACGTATGGGAAGAAGCAGGGGACGATGAAGTAGTCCTTTGCTGGTAGTCTATGCCATCGCGTTTGCGCTTTGGTGACTTGTGGAGTGTCAGCTTTCCGGTCATTATTGTGATGGAGCATGGGGTAAGATGTCGTAGTATTGTGGACTTTTGACGATCAGGGCGGTGCCGTTCATGAGGAGTAAATGCATGGCGAACAGCCACCTGTGCTAAAAGAGGGGTGCATCATGAGCCATTGGAGTTGGAGAGATGGCGAATTGGGAGCGATAGGGAGAAGAACGAGGATGTGGGATGTGACGTTTGAGGATGGGGCATTTTCGAACATGACGATCACTGCTACTTAGCTTAACTAGTTGTTGGGTTCTTCGTCATGCCTTTCCACAAGCAAAGAGGACTGGAAAACGGGCCTTACTCTTCAATAATCAGGGGGGGAATTCAAAATTCAAATCATCGGAGAAAATACGAAACTAAATACATTTGCGAATACAAAATCCTTCTCAACCATAGAAACAGGAAATAAGCACAGAACATCCGTTTAAACGCCCCAACGACAAATACTCCTAAATGGACAATGGAATACAAATTATCATGCTTTCGACTTCTTCTTGGAGGATCCTATTTCACTATCCCGCTTTCTCTTCTTCTTTGGAGTATCCTCTGCCTCCCCAGCGTCGGATTTTCGAGACTTCTTTTCCTTCTTTTCCTTCTTGTCCTCCTTGCCTTTTTTTTCTTTCTTCTCTTTCTTCTCTTTCTTTTCCTTCTTACTCTTTTTTTCAGTCACTTCATCAGTATCCTTCATTTCCACGTCACTACCAGCTTCATCAACATCGATGTCCGCTAAGACAGCATCCATAGCATTTTTCTGTAAAAAAAAAAAAAAAAAGGAATTAGCATATGCAATTCTATTAACACCGACTTGGGCGCATAATAAGAATACGTACCATTGCGACTTCATTCTTAGTTGGGGCAGCTCCAGTAGCATAGAATTCCAATCTTTCCTCAACTTGTTGCTTAAGGGCATTGCCAAACTTGGTGGACGGGGTTTCAGAGAAGTTATCAATTCTTGATGCGATGGAACACTTGTTGGCCAAGAATCTGGAGATTCTGCCCTTGTTCTTGGGACCGGCGCGGCCTATGAAAGACGAATGGTATAGCAGTCCGTACTTGGGGGTATTTCCCTTAGTCTTTAAGGCTCTGAAAAGAGCTTTCTCCGCACCAAGAATCTGCACGGTTGAGGCCGGGTATTTGGAGAGGTTGGTCAAACTGCCCGCATGCGAAATCAACCGCGCCCCAACCACTTCGCCAATCAGGGCTGCCAAATTTGGTGCAACAACGCTCATCTTTGATACCAAATAGGCGTGCAGGTTTTTACGATACGTCGACAAACTCACAACGCGCTTAGCAAAGGCAAGTATATTCTCCATGTCTGTCGGTGAGATATCTTGTCCCATACTGTGCTTGGCTGCATCAATAACGCTCCTGGCGATACCCTCATCATCATCAACTATAGCAGCCAAATCGTGTAGCCTCTCCTCGGTCAAATCGTTCTTGTTCTGAACAAAAAGCGCGACACGGGCGTAGCGCTGGTTATCGGATACGATTTTGATGAGTTCGGGGAAATGCCACGAGTACCATTCCCTGACTCTCATAGAGAATGTATTTATTGCTTTGTCCAGCTGGTCAAGAATTGCGATTGCTTGAATGATATGGTTGTCATCACGCTGTACTGAGAATTTGACCTTGGCTCTTGAATACGCGTGACCAAGACCAAGCTGCGCAGTATTCAGATCGCCTTCACGGAGTTGCTTAAGGAGTTTGCCAGCATGTAAGCGAATACCTCGTAGCATATCCTGGACAACATCGCTAGTGTCTCCAGTTTCACAGTCCACAAACGGGAAGGCCGCCTTAATGCTTCCAGCAAGTGCTTTATCGGACACACCCAGCACAACCTTCTTTTTCTTGTTCGGTTTCGGTAAGTTCAAGTCCAAGAATGAAACGAGTGTCTCAGAGGCAACACCTTCAGAAATGTCGTTAATCTCGCCAAGCGCCTGCTTGTTGTTTCTTAAGAAAATGTGAGCTAAACCTTCAAAAAAAAACCCCCAATTGAGGTTGAAATACATACTCAAAGGGCAAGAAACTGGTCAATTCAACCATCTTCCCAAATTTCGCAAGGTCTTGTAGGTTGTCTTGCACCTCCTTCAACTTATTTCCCACAGTGTCGGCTTGGTGAACGACCTTGAATAGGGAGTAGCCTATTGGACCCTCGAAGAGGAGAAAATCAGCCATCGCGCGGTGGTCAAAATAAGTACAAATAGAAATTATCTCCAATCCACACAACGAAATAGCCCGATAAAGAGGGTGGCAGGCCGACGGGGCCGAATCGATGTAAATCACGGTGGTGTTGATTCTGGAGTGGTGATTTTTTTTCAGTGTAGCTCCAATTTTTTTGGCCACAGCCTCACTAGCGCAGAACCTCAATGTGGGATTTCCTAAGCTTTGGGTGACCAAGCGGGCAATTCTGCTGGTTTCCCAACATCACCAAAATACATCACCACATCACTGTCTACTATTAGTTGACTTCAAGGGGACACGATTCGGATAACTCCTAATTTCAGACACAATGTCTGCGACTCAGCTGCTAAATCCAAAAGCAGAATCACGAGTAATACTCCTAATATCCCACTCCAGTGTGCTGTGGCTGATATCTTGTCTAGCGGAGAGGGGAAGCTTTAAGGGTGAACATCAGTGCCGGCGAGGGCCTTCAAGATGTCCTGAAATCGAATCTTGGTCCATCAGGGACCATAAAAATGTACGTTATATTACCTTTGTTCTGTCGATAGTCTACTGACAAGCCGATATAGGTTGGTTGATGGGGCTGGTGCAGTACGAATACTCTCAGATTTACTTATCCATCCCGATGTTCCTGCGTGCTGATGGCCTGTGAAATAGATAAAACTTACAAAAGATGGGAATGTACTTCTTCGAGAGATGGTTTGTACCTATTCCCTCCTGTTTACTGATTTATTTGCTAACTGACTCGCATAGCAAATTCAAAACCCTACAGCGGTAAGACGCCGCCACGGCGCTCCCCATTTATTCTATTGCTTATATTACATTTTATAGGTCATGATTGCGCGCGCGGCTACGGCGCAAGATGATATCACCGGAGATGGTACAACATCAGTAGTTCTCCTTGTCGGGGAGTTGCTCAAGCAAGCTGATCGACATCTATCTGAGGGCTTGCACCCGCGTGTGCTTACTGACGGGTATGAAATTGCTAAAACTGAAGCACTCAAGGTATGAATTTAATTCGCGCTCTTGTCCAATGCGAATTCTAACAATTTTTTGTAGTTTCTTGACAAGTTCAAAATCCAGAGAGAAATCGACCGGGAACTGCTCCTCTCCGTTGCCCGAACCTCCCTCTCTACCAAATTGAATGGTGCCCTAGCCGAAAAATTGACTCCTTCTATTGTCGATGCGGTTCTTGCCATTCACCGGCCTCCTAACAAGCCTGATCTTCATATGATCGAGATCATGAAGATGCAACATCGAACCGCTTCCGATACCCAACTTATTCGAGGCCTTGCCTTGGACCACGGAGCGCGTCATCCGGATATGCCAAAACGTGTCGAGAATGCCTTTATTTTAACGTTGAATGTTAGTCTGGAGTATGAAAAGTCAGAAATTAACTCTGGTTTCTACTACTCCACCGCGGAGCAGAGAGATAAACTGGTTGAAAGCGAGAGGAAGTTCGTGGACTCGAAGCTGCGGAAGATTGTCGAGCTGAAGAAGCAAGTTTGCGGTGATGATCCAAAGAAAGGCTTTGTTGTTATTAACCAGAAGGGTATCGATCCTTTGAGCTTGGATGTGCTTGTCAAGAACGGAATACTTGCCCTGCGTAGAGCAAAGCGTCGAAATATGGAACGGTTGCAACTTGTGTGTGGTGGCACTGCACAAAACAGCGTTGACGACCTTAAACCGGAAGATCTCGGATGGGCGGGTCTCGTGTATGAACATCAACTAGGCGAGGAAAAATTCACATTTATTGAAGATGTCAAAGATCCGAAATCGGTTACCATCCTCATCAAGGGTCCCAACCAACATACGATCACGCAGATCACTGAAGCTGTGAGAGATGGTCTTCGCTCTGTATATAATACTATAGTCGATGGCTGTGTTGTTCCCGGAGCCGGTGCATTCCAGGTTGCCTGCGCTGCGCATCTTTCGTCCGAAGCGTTCAGGAAAACTGTCAAGGGAAAAGCTAAATGGGGCGTCAGTGCCTTCGCCGACGCCCTGCTCATTATCCCCAAAACTCTCGCAGCGAACTCCGGCCACGATATTCAAGATTCACTTGCGGCGCTGCAAGACGAACAGAGTGAAGGAAATGCTGTCGGACTTGACCTCACAACAGGAGAACCGATGGACCCCGTCCAGGAGGGTGTATTTGATTCCTTCAGAGTTCTCAGGAACTGTGTCGCCTCAAGTGCCGGTATTGCGTCGAATCTCCTGCTCTGCGACGAACTTCTTAAGGCAAGACAGATGGGGAGGTCGGGCGGTCCAGCAGGAATGGATGAATGATTTAGGCAAATAAAAAATACCGGAAATAGATGCGTGATAAATAGCTGTATTTGAATAGATACTCACCGGTTATCGACATAGGCGTACCTTAAAATCTTGACAAAAAATAATGCAATGAACGGAAAAGTTGCTAGTCATGCTTACAATTTGTTGGAACTTCAAAAGTGAAAGGAATTCCCGTGTTTACTATCATCGTGCATTTTCCTCTTCTTTATACTAGATCATTCTCACGTTCGTGTAGCAGAAAAGTTAATGAAGGATGCAAAAAACCCATAAATTGAGGTTTATCAAAAACCGGGTATCTTCCATAAACTACATAAGTTTCCTATGCCAACTCCCAATGAAACCACCAGATACATAATAACGCCTTTCTATTCCCACCACATCATGCATGACATGCCTCATCGCATCAATCTCCACTATCCGTCTCCTCGTCTTCCTGGTCTTCATCCTCAGGCGCCCATTCACCCAAAAACCCTTCTTCCGCAACGGGATCCTTCAAGTCAACTCGATGAATCTTAGCCCACTCCAAGACACTTTGTTTCCTCACTACCGCTTCAGCAGCATCGCTATCTACCACCCCAGTTGCTGTCGTCGTAGTTGCTGTCGACGACAAGGGAGCTCTTTTACGCTTCTTTCCCGGCTTTTCCGGCTCCACGATCCCCATCTCTTTGAGTGCCGTAATGACGTCCTCAACCAGCATTCCTGTTGCCTGGCCGATTTCGCGAATCGTCATCTCCTCGCAGGCAGCTTTCCTTTTCGCACCCTTTGAGCCACCACCCATCGGCCTTGGCGACCACGACGATGATGTGGATGCAGATGCAATATTGCGGCCATAAGGTTCAGCACCAGGCGGACCCAGCAGGAAAAACCTCGAGATCCTCTCCTCCCAAAATCTTACATAGCTCCTCCGTCCCATCTCACTAAGTGGCCGTTCTGGGCCGCCAATAATTCCTCCTTCCCACTCCCACGCACTAAGTTTGTAACTTACACCCATCAGCAGCTTGCCTAACTGCTTATGTTGGTAAGGGGGAAAAATCAAGATACAGGCTAGGTTATTCGCGTCCCACGACATTTTCTCCTTTGAGAAGTATCCCAGAACATGATAATCATTGGCGTCTTGCGGGTTGGTGAAGACGAGGATATAGTAGAGGAAGGAGGATACGTCGAAAAAAACGGATTTGTGGTCCAGGAAGAGTTTGGCAAACAATGACAGGTTCTGCGCGTAGAGCTTATGATCCTCTCCATCGATTTCCCACACGGAATACCCCCGCCAATCATAGACTTTGGTGCCAGGAGGGCTGGACCTGTGCTCGCAAAAGCGGGTGTGGCCTAGATACGCGTCCTTGTCGCATGAGTACCGGAAACACCAGCGACAGACGTAAACTCTGTCCGTGTCCTTTCCAACCAGCTCCTCTGGATATAGTGAGTGGAACCAGGTCTTGAAACGAATATTGCCCAATACTACACTTTTTACATTGCGGTCTGGGCTTGGTGGTTTGGACGAAGCGGAGGAGGCGACGGCATGCTCATTCGCAGGCATGATGTCGTCCCCAATGTGGTGGGGTTGGGGCCGCAATTGTTTTCACGATGAAAGTTTTGGGAAATTAGGGTCGCGGACGTTGCATCTCGGCGGCGGATACTTCTGATACATCAACCCAACGGATCGAACGATCTCATGGTTGTTGGCATTTCTCACTCACTGGCGGTTCCCAAAATCTCCAGATAGGCTTCGGAGGGATGGATTTGACAGTCATGTGATCGTAGTGGTGTCTCCGATTGGGACTAGTGGATTGACTAGTGCCCTATCACGGCAGTTACCTAAGCAGGCGTACGCAGCTCCCCCGGCTCGACGCGGGGAAGCGGGCAGAGGCTCCGCCTGCTTCATCGACCGCCACCCACCTTTATCGTGTTGCCTAGAGGTGAGAACAGCTTGCTTCCGACTGTCCCCAGCGCTATCTCTGTGGGAAGGGCGAGAGCTGTCTCCATTGCCCCCAGCCCGTGGGTCTGCCCTCCACCCTGGCAAGGCGGCTCTTCTCTCGCTAGGCTGCTACTTTTCTGGCTTGGCCTGTTCTTTAATTCTCATCCTTCCCCTGATATCACCTTGCCATTCTATGTGCTGTCTCATTTCTACGTGAAAATCCTCCTTACTCTGGTGGTTGTTTGGCACTTTTACTTGATGAGCTTGATCTTCTATATCGATATCCTTTCGATTTGTGCCCGAGTTGATACATCTCGCCCAGAATGCTGAAGCCCTTTCGAATCAGAGATCTTCTAATCCCGACCGATGAGGAGGAGCTTGATCATCCCGGATGTCCTCCACTAGATGGACAAGACGGTCCAAAGCCGATTCCTAGATCACATCCTGATGGCGAACTGGTGATGGCTTATAAGCAGCCTAATAATGGTGATGACGGTAAATTTTGTCCATATTCGACCTACGATTTGCAATCAATCCCGTCTACGGATGCTGATGGAAGAACAGCCAAAAAAGGTATCGACATCCTGATCCCAGGCAAGCCACCTTCCGATCGCAATGACATGTCCAGCAATTTAAGGAGAAATAAGTGGACTAATGCAACAGTTACTCCATCACCAGCAACAGATCGCCACGGTATTGTTCGGGTTTCAGCTGAGGAATACGATGAAACAATTGCGGCTCATCCTCAATCAAAATTGACTTACATGGATGAGGATGATGGAGACACAATTACCGTAGGCTGCACATTTCTTATTCCGTCTAAGCCATTAGTTTTGAAAAACTGCAATCTCTCATGGATGGCCATTGATTATGAAAACAGGTCTGTTCTGCTTTCGAGCTTACTGAGCGCCTTAATGAGCCCGCAACATCAGCGTTTGTGTATCAATCAGCTGTTTCTAGCTATGACCAAGGACATGAAGGGCCCATGCATATTTTTGATGTTAATCGTACAAAGTCTGTATTGGACATATGGAGAAGTTTCGAGAAAAGGACTGCTATGGAAAATAGACGGTTGGATGCCTCTGTATCAGCTCATCATGAAGCCACCGCTGCAAAGGCGGTCGATGGCAATAGCGACGTCCGCCCGGAGCCCGTATGCAAGATAAGCAGCAGCAATGATCCTAGAGATCACCGGCTTCAATCACAAAATTCCCCTCCAACTCCCCAAACCACATGGCATCAAAATGAAATTGCATCAATTCCCCCAGTCAGCTCGCTTGGCGGTGATGAACCGTCCGAACCTCGTGCTTCAACAGATGTCAAACCATCCCAGGAAACTACTTTCAGACACCGTCATGCCAGGGGTAGTACTTCTGACACTCAGATATCCATCCCGCCGGTGTCCCTTCCGGCAATAAACCCCTGGGCTTCGGTGGGCACTTGGCCATCTGGTTTCGAGTCTAACGGCTTAACGCAAAGGGAACCAGAAAGTCGGGAATCGCCAATCGAAGATAACGTACCACTCTTGGCATCTTTTGAGGCCGAATTATCAAAGATTATGAAAGAGAAACCTGTTGATTCGCCTACCATTGAGGCACGGGAACAAAACACCACTCAGACTATCTCACAGTGCCCACCTGCTTCACATCCCGTACCGAAACCCGCCGAGGTGTTCGCTCAAACTATGCAAACATTGCTTACAAGTGTTCGCCACTTAACTTCGGAATTGAGGGCCAAGCTTCCCGAAGTGGAACGCCGATTATCAAATGCACACCAAACCATTCCCTCGACAGTAGAAACAACTCTTTTCAATACTCTCAGCGCCATCGGTAGCCATGTTCAGAATCTTGCTAATGCTATGCAAGCCACTGCTACTTCATCGAGAGCAGCTGCTGACATGTCCAGGGAAGCTGATCTGCTGGCCACTGACCAAATAGTCAATGGCCTCCGCACCCTAGCAAGAGATATTAGACAAATGGGTCGAACTATGTTTGCTTCTTTCGATGCTACGTCCGGAAACGTAGGATCACAAGATCGGCAAAGCGGAGAACTCCCTCTAGGAAATGCAGATACCCTCAGTCAATCCAACCAACTGTCTACCTCCTTGTCCAATGTTTGCCTGGATAATTCGCATCCCTCAGACCCTTTACCCGAGGTTCCCACCTCTCCAGCATCCACAGAAAGCGTGAGGCAGACTGCATTTCCACAAGAAACACCATTGGCAGACTCTAATTCCAATACTACCCTATTTATTGGCAACCTTCATGATGCCGTTACCGAACAAGATGTTGCAGCCGCCTTTGCGGACAAAGGCTTCTTGGGCAAAGTAAATTTGCCCCATGATTTTTCTACGGGTAAACATGCCGGGTTTGGCTTTGTTGATTTTCCTTGTTTCTTCGCCGCGTCTGGTGCTCTCCATGCTCTTAACGGAGGCCAGCTCCATGGCCAGGTTATAAATCTTGAATTTAATCATGGTGTCGGCATCATTAATGATAGCGCTATCCAACAGCCACCCACCCGGGCAGGACGTGTTTCAGAAACTCATCGACATCGCAATATATCTCGCCCTCTCCCAGACATCCCCAAATCTCCGAGGCTGTCCGTCTACGACCTTACGCGGACATCGGCTCTGGACGATGCCAGGAACTCCGGTACCGCCTCCGCTGGCATCAGACGTGCCAAATCTCTCGGAACTTTACGGCGACCTGTGGTCCATGATCCCCCATACCACAGAGCCGCTGCCATGGATTATATCAGAGAGCAGATAGACCAGGAGAGATCGAATGTTGAAGTTGGGGGTTCGCCTTATCATTCCTCGACTAATTCTGAACAAAAGACACCAAAAACTTCGTATTCAGCTGTTGCCGTAGGCAATAATGTATTAGCTGACCAACTCGATCCAGAGCCGGAATTTTCAGCTCGTTACCCGTCCCTGGTACCTGAGACTTATAACCATGATGGTAACCAGTCTCACCAACGACCTCGTCAAAGTCAGGATGTTAGTCGCTCCCTTAGCCTAGAATCTCAAATGGCACGATTCCCAACCGTTTCCCAACTGGAATCGCGTACTTCTACCATGCAACGACCCCAACCTCGCGATAAGCGGAGCCCTAGCAGATCTCCTATAGCTACAGCTGGAAGTTCACTACCTGAGACACTTGCTTCTGATGATCACGCCCGCAATCTGCGCGACCTGCATCCACAACCACCGCCAGCAGAAGGACGTGGAATTCCGGGATCTTGGCCACCAGAACTGTATAGTGCACAGTTAATGAGGCCTCGAGCGTCATCTCCAACACGGCCTAGTGAACTCCGTCGCTCAAATACAATAGCCTCCAATTCGGCAGTAAGACTTTCTGGACCGTTTGTTCCTTTCACTGAGCGCCATCAGCGCAATGGACACTCCAGCCTTCGACGCAGCGCGACAGAACGCCAAAACCGCCGACCTCCACGAGTGGCTTTTAGCAGGCATCGCCATGCGCTCGAAGACCGGGCCCCAATTCCCAATCCACACCTGACCCCAGGCCAATCAGCAGATGCCATTTCCAATATCCCGGGTAGTTTCCCCGTTGAAACCATACCACCTGTTCCTCCTAAATCCATCCATCAATCTGCCGAACGCCAGCCGGAAATGCAAGAGCAGAGTCGACCAACAAACGATATCGATCGATGTATCGCTCATCTCGGGCTTCTTGGCTATGGCTATGACCCGAGTCTTCCTTCACACAACCTGCACATATATGCAGAAGCATCAAATGGTAACCTAGAAGACGCGATTGAGATGATTGAAGAGGAGAGGAAGGCATATGAGCAACGGACTGTATTTCGGTGATTGAGCCATTTTTTATAGAAATTTAAATATCTTTTCCAAATCATCTCCATTCTGTTATTCAAATTGGCAACTATGTATTTGTCTAGGGCGAGTTCTTGGATTTTTGCTTTTATTTTTTTGCATTTGATTCTCGCATAGTCTGTCATTAGCTACATATGTTACTATCGTTTCCGCTGCAGATTCTTCTAATGTACCGTACAATCTTCCGCTCTCCAGTAGCCGAAAGTCACGGGAGCGGAGAAACTGCCAAGCATTTCGAAACCGATCGCAAAGCACGAACAGTAGAACTCAAAATCAGAATCCACCATATTACGACCAAGCTAAATCTAGCATAATTGCGCCTGAGGGAGAGCAAGCAGGAAAGCAAGCAATGCTCTTATGGCGTAGATGTCTGAGCACCTCTGCCTCCGCTCCGACAATTGCGGGTCAAAAATCCCCGCTGCTACTACGATGTGCGCAGCTGTTGGACACATCCCGATCAACCTCCAGAACTGCTGAGACAGCTACTGCTGCTCCTGATGGGAGTGCAAGTTCCTTAGACAACCGCCAAATCCGCGTTCGAGGTTTCATTCGGTCGGTGAGGAAGCAGAAACGGTTCGCGTTTGCTGAGATCTCGGATGGGTCGACGATTAAGTCGGTGCAGGCGATTTTGACACCGGAACAGGCTGCTCGGTATGTCTGTCTGTCCTGACGGCTGTTGTCTTTCCTTTCCATATTTTTTTGTCTACTAATTTTCGATTTTTCCCTTTCTCTTGATTTTGATAGGTTGTCGACTGGTTCTGCCGTCGATATTTCGGGCGTCTGGCAGCCTTGTCCTCCTGGCAAAGAACAAAGCCATGAGCTTCATGCGACAGAAGTCAAGATAACTGGGGAAGCGGACCCTGAGGTTAGTTTCGTTCCAATCCCTTGCACAGCATGTCGACTATCCTTCACTGATACCTACACCCTTCCAAACCGGCAGACATATCCAATTCAAAAGAAATACCACAGCCCAGATTTCCTTCGACAAATCCCACATCTTCGATTACGGACACCGTTCAACTCCCTCTTATCCCGATTTCGATCAGAAAGCATTTTCCAACTGGGACAGGTATTCCGTTTCCAGCTCGGTGGCTGTTTCGTGCAGGTCCAACCTCCGCTGATCACATCGTCTGACTGTGAAGGCGCTGGGGAAGTGTTCACCGTGGTGCCAGGAGATAAAGTGGATGGTGCAGAAGTGGGGGAATTCTTTCGATCGCCAAAATACCTCACAGTGTCAAGCCAGCTACATCTCGAGGCGTATGCGGCCGAGCTGGGAAATGTGTGGGCCCTTTCTCCCACCTTCCGAGCAGAAAAGAGCGATACGCCTCGGCATCTAAGCGAGTTCTATATGCTAGAGGTAGAAATGAACTTTGTGCAAAGCGTAGATTCGTTAACGGATATTGTCGAGTCATTAATTCGTGACCTTACGAAACGACTATACGAGACTCCAGTTGCGGAAGAGATATTCACAGCTAAGAGGACAGGGGAGTCTGGCGCGGAAAAAGTTGATAAGGGACTACGCCTGCGATGGTTGGGTATTATGGAGGGTGAGAAATGGCCTCGAATTACATATACCAGCGCGATCGAGTTGCTTCAGAAAGCTGTTCAATCGAAGGCCACCATTTTTAACTTTCCCCCGGTCTGGGAGGAAGGGCTTCAACTCGAGCACGAGAAATTCATAGTCGATGAAATCGGGAAGGGTCGTCCTGTATTCGTGACCCACTACCCAAAAAAGGTGAAACCATTTTACATGGCACCTTCAGTCGTCGCGGACGAATCTTCATCTTCATCACCAGTAGAAGTACTACATCATGATCCACTCCAAACAAGGGAAACCGTTGCCTGCTTTGATCTTCTGATGCCCGAGATCAGCGAAGTTGTCGGTGGCTCTATTCGTGAACAACGACTTCCAAATCTTATACAGAACATGCGTGAGCACGGACTTCTTAAGAAAAAACTCGAAGCCGGTTCAGACGCAGATAACGCATCTTCTTCGACACATTCGATATCGGAGTCGAGTTCGCCAGTATATCCCTACCTCCAACCGGATGAACATCTCGGCTCAATTCAATGGTACGCCGATCTTAGGAGATGGGGCAGTGCGCCTCACGGCGGGTTTGGACTTGGGTTCGACCGATACCTGGGATATCTGGCTGGTGTTTCCAGTCTGAGGGATGTTGTTCCGTTTCCACGGCATTTTGGACGAGCTGAATGCTGAAACCACCAACGCTACCTTTTTTTTTTTTTTTTGGACGAATGTTTACTAGATTTCTCCTCTTTGTATTATTACGGCGAGCAAAGATCTGTGTGCTATGAGATATGAAAGTATCTACTATCTGTTTTCTGAATTGTGATAATATACCCATTTCTTTTATTTGAATATGCTCATTACTCCTACTGTATCCAATATATGTATCTGTACTTATGCCCAACGCTCTAATCTCCAACATTAAAGGCGCATCTTAACAAAAGAACCTACTGTGTACCAGCTACATCCTCCTTGCTCCTTCGCTATTGTTCCTCTCATTTTAAAGTATATATGTATGTTCTAGAGCAAAAATAGGAAGTCGAAGGCCGGCTTCGTCGATGTCCTCGAAGCCAGCCAATACAGAAGGCAGGGCCCCACCGCTCATAACACGATGCACTTAGACTGCCCTCTTAGCTTTGATCTTATTCCAAATTCTCGGGGCACGGCCCTCAGTCTCCTTGTCCTCATTCCTGCATCTTGCGTTATCGGAGAACGTAAATTCTTCGCTCCACGCCATAGCGAGGTATGTAATCTACGCTGTAAAGAAGCAACGAACGACCCAGACTGGCGACAAGCCACAAAACTCTCACTTACGGCGCCAGCAGTGTGAAGAAATAAACAACGCCACCAGGTATGTGGTGGAGTAACGATGTGGAACAAAGGTGATTTCAAGCACCATGTATGAGGTCCTGAGCATGGACTCCAAACCTTATAACGGTTAAATAACCTTAAATTCAGCTAACTCCTCACCACTTTTCTTTTCCTAGCTGCGCAAATTCTCCCGTCTCACTCTGGCACTATGGACCTGCTGCTGCCCGACGGGAGACCCTTTGATTTAATTTAATTTTATTTTATAATATTTTATATTCTAAGAAACGGGTGCTTCAAGTTCACTTAAAATATGGGTGCCATCGAGTCCAGAGCCAACGAACCAGGGTGGAACGGAGGCATCTTAGGTCGTAATTATGTACCAGCCACCATCGTTACTAAGAGTTTTAGGCCGAATTCCAAGACAATTTGTTCGTTCTTCGACTCTTCCCGCCAAGACTTACCCTCTGTCAACGTCAGACAAAGCCATTCTTGTGGATTCTGACGAGCCATGGCGTCCCAAAAAAAAAAATGGCCGAAGACACGCAAACCGAATACGACCGAGGACTTGTGAAGGCCTCAACACTCGGGAGCATGTTCTCCACCACAGCGAATGCCGGGAGAAGGCGTGGCAAGATAATGAGGACGGCCTGACGTTTTAAAGTTTTTAACCTCTGCATTGCGGCCAAACTTTTGCACGGCTAAAGCACGGGAAACCAAGATGTGGGAATTAAGTTCTTTTTGCTCCGATTCACCTCTTCCGCTGCTTCCGCTCTTCTTGTGTGGGGTCCACAGCTCGCAATCCTTGGTTCTCGGACCCACAAAATGTTAAGGTTATCTTGAGCCCCTGTTCGATCAGCCGCGCAACCTTGCTAGCTGACACCGGTGACTCTTACACTGACCACTAGCATGGTGAGGACAAAATAAGCAACCACGGCCAGTTAACAGACAGATCAGGGCCTCTGAAGGTTTTTGCAGACAAGGGCCCCAGTTTGTTTTCTCCTCCCCGCGAGCATTTGATGGTGCATCTTCAGGTATTGATTATTTAAACTTTGGTGTTGACGTCGGTAACCTTCTTTTCATCGGTTGCTTTGCTTTCATTAACCTGCTCTGGCCCGTGAGTATCGTGAATACGAAAATAAGCTTGTTTGCACATCCGTGTTACCCTCGCATCCCAACCCCGGTAGCATAAAAAACTATAATTATGCACTGGTTAGTTTCATACAATACTGGTATTTCGCTGTACATACACACCATACAGTGCTGTATGAATATCCGGCTCAACCTTGTGCCGATGATCAAAAGTCCTCGACCTGAACAGGGAGCATGAGATGCCCTCACAAAATGTCTGAATTTTCAATCAATTTGGCGCAACATGGTCGGATGGGGCCCTTGCCCAGCTAGTCCTAGCCGCGGATACGCTCACCATCCGCTCCGAAAACGAAACCGAGGTCATTTCAGAGATCCCATTCCTGTTCAAGCACAGTACATGTATTATCGAACAAATGAACACCACAAGATCCTCAAAACGCATGGAGCTATTTATGTTACATACAAATTTGGTTATCATTTAATTAACCTTGTAGACATGAGTTCTAAATTAGAGAGTTGCTTAGTAATCAGTTACATTTCTCTGATAACTAACTAGCTACGGAGTACATCTGTATATAGTTTTAAATCTTTCATCCCCACTTGTCATATACTAAATAAGACTATCAGGTATTCTTATTTTTTTTTCCAAGTGAGTGTTAGATGTCAGAGGTCCATGCTATCTATCGCAGATAGAATTAATTCTAGACAATATGAAGATTAAAAATAAGTCCTTTAGAAAATTTGATACGGCCTGGTGATGTGAGGCACAGGCTAATAAACAGTATGAGTAATAGCGCTTATTCACTACAGAAAGGAACAGGAGAGGAAGATAAACTGTGCATGTGTCCTATACAGCAATATGTATATTCAGTGCGTGGGCGCCGTGACATAACATTTGGCATGACAGTTGATTTAGAGCCAAAGTTGCCGAGCCTCATCGACACAAAAATTTGAAGTTTGCAGAGGAAAACTTGCTCAATGTTCATATTTTCCACTGATATAATTTTATTTCTAACCATTTTCTTCGTCTCCAGGTTTAGAAGATAATTTTCTTCTATCGCGCTCTTTTTTTTAAGAGTCAGACTAGCTATCTTGAAATGTTTTGATGAGAAATGATATAAGCTTATTCAAAGTAATCGTAACCTCCATTTTTCCCTACTAGTAGTTATCGAAAATGGTTATCATCGAAAATGGCTATCTGCATGTGCTTACAGATATTATGCAACCGCGTTAGCTAATGGGGAGAGGTGCCCATTTAGTATCTCAATGAACCATACCTAGGCAGAGACAGGGTGTAATATCAAGTAGGATGCGAATTGCCACAGATTGTTCATATATCATTATCTCACCAAGGGGGCATCTATCCACAAGTAACGAAAGAAGAAGGGACCCATTTTGAATGTCTGTATCTAATGACACCGCTGCATCACAAGGATGGTGGCAGAAAGCGGCTGTCTCCATAAGACCATGGCAAATGCAGAACATCCAAAACTCCTTCGAACCCACGCTCAGGAGGTTGATCGTAATTGGTAAAAATCTCAAATATAACAGAACGTCCTTAGCCAGGAAGGTATCTTTGTACAGTACCTCCCTGCCTAGATCAGGATACTTACTTCATAGATATTTTTAGCTAGGTTTGGTATGGCCACTTTGCCGGCGTCTCCGAATTATATGAATGTTGGATCATCTTGACAAAGAATACTCGTAATCAAATTCGCGCACTTTCCCATGGCCACGCTATCTTCTCTGTTTTAAACCTAGTTGTTATTGAACATACGAGTTACCCGGTTTTCAGCAGCCTGAATTCATAACTGATTGTGGGGAAATGCGTCGACAATGGACTTTTTTTTTATGAAAGCAGTGATATCAGCTTTGTGGGTGTCCGCTGTAATTGTTATGTGAACGGAATGCCTTCGTGCAGAGTCATTCATGAAGCGACAAGGGTGGACGATAGCTTCCAATTCCCAAGGGTGTTGACCGCACAATATTCATCTCCATTTGGGAGGACGGAATTTGAGAGGATTGAAGTCGAAGTGAGGGAAGTGAGCAGAGTAGCTGTCGAGCGCTTTGAATATAGGATCAGCTGCCTGACGCAATAGTCAGCCTACAAAGAAAGAATGAAAATGCAATAAAACAAAATACATCGAGTGACTAAGGGTTTTAGTTCAAGGGCGAAATGCACCCTAGCACAAAAATACATCCAACCCCGATCTGACTCGGGGGCCAGCAGAGAAGTCTCATTTCAGTACTCCGTACGGAGTACGGGATTAACATGACTGCAGGATGCAAACTCCGAACCCACAGGAGGTCAGACTGGGGTTGTTGTTACAAACATCCATGTGGTGCGATCCTATTGACGGGGGATCGTACTCACGTCAGAGATATTGCCGAATGGTGAGAATCACGCTATGCTAGTAAGCAAGGGAAAATTGAAACGGACGATAACTACCCTACCGATCTCTCAGTTGGGTTCAAGTCAATGACAGTTCACTCAAGACTGAAACATGATTTCCCATCGACAGGGTATCTCTGGGTTTTGTGAGGATGGGCACTGCCTCTGATTATTTTATCTCTCTGGTTTCGATGTTCATTCAGTCCGTATTATCCTAATAGGTATCTCTTTGCAACTCCGAAGTCCGAAGAAAGGATTGCTGAAAATTTCATGGCTTCTTTCGGAAATCCTCTGAAAGCCGCCGTCCACCGGATGCGGGTTGGTTCTTACTTGCAGCGGGCGTTGTCTCCGGACACAACCATGGAAGTTCTCGTTGTCACCCGGACACATGATGACAAAAGAAATAAGCAACTGGAAATCTTGCAAATAATATGAAACAGGAAATGAAGTGTTGTGAAAAGGTCGCCTGCTTTGTCTTGACCCGAATTCAGGGAAGAGACGCAACGAACCATGGCCCGCAGCATGTTCATATTATGCTTCTCGCCTGCCAATGGTTAGCTTTATGTTTTCTTTGAAAATCCTCCACTCTGAGGGGATGGAGGTAAGCAGCCAAGAAAGAAAAAGCGAAGGAGGGAAGTTGAATGGGTTTCTTTTCTTTAAAATGAAGGTGGAAATTTTGACCGACAAAACTGGCAGCGCTTAATTTAACATTATCAGAGCCCTTGCAGACATGTCGAGGGTGATCTCAAGGCATCTTCACCCTAGCTTCTACGGAGTAATTCTCACTCACCTGTTTTTGGGTTGGGTGGTTATAAGCAGGACCCACTTTTTAAATATTGTTTAACCGCAATACAGGGGGACATGGGAGGACTGCCTCAGGAACATCTAGCCCAGCTGAACACAGATCCAACCCTGCCGAGGAAATATTTGACAATCGCCACTTTGGCGCTGAAACCTCCAGCCATCATTTACGACGCACGGTCCTCGCATTGCTTGCGCCATGCCCCCAGAGTCCAATCATGGGTGATCCATAAAGGTTGAAAATACCTTAGAGGATCATGGTTGCCCCGCTCGCTTAAAAGCTTGGCCGCCGGTCCCACGTTTTAACTTTAAAATCTTAAAATGACTCGAAGCCAGGAAGCCAGGAAGCGGGGTGTTGGGACTCCGACTGATTCGTATCTGTCAGAGCTTTTCTCCTCTGCTGGTCACCACAGATAGTAGTTTAGATCCAGGGCAGTGATTCTCGAGGCCTGGCTTTTCATAAAGACACTTCACTAATACATATAAGGAATAACTCCAAAATTCGTTTTCCATCGATTAATTGATCGTTACAACAAGTTAACTAGCATATAAATAGATAGAAATGTCAACATGCAGATCCGCGGAGAATACTGGTGATGAACAATTCTCTTCAGCGCTATCTATAAGTATACCTGCTGAGCACAGTTGCTGGAGGATAATTTTAATAGAGATTCTGTAAAGACTTCACTGATGGATGCTCTGAAGATTCAGCAGAGATATTAAATCGTAAATACTCCCAGCTTTCTACGCGATAGAGGAAAAAAAAAAATAATCAATTACCACTCGAAACCAATCCTTTTGGCAGGGCCACTGGGGCAAAGGAGCTCGATCACCACCAGCGCCATGCTGGTAGTAGAGGGGATGAACCAATCCAAAACCCCAACATGTCATGTTTACATCGTGTGGCTGGAGCTGAGTCGAGGTTAGTAAGCTCCATTGCTCAAAGTCTCCAAGGCTCCAGGGTTTTAAAGAAATAAATTCGGCACCATGGTTTCTGAAATTGTTCCCCGTCCATGCTGTCATTTTTAAGCAAGAATAATGAATTTTCGATATTGAACCTGGAAATGTATTGGTCCAACCAGTTGTTTTCTCACCTTTGCTGGATGAAAAGGTTCTTGGTTTCGAGGCCAACTTCGTCCCTGTTCTCCCGCCATCCCGAGATAATGAGCTTTGATCACCCAAACCCGGTTTGGAAGTGGGGATGGGAAAGATTGCTAATCGTCCTAAGCATTTGGCTAATTTTCAGCCATCATTGATAAGAAAAAAACATAAAACAGTAATACGAAGCTGGGACAAAATTCGGGCGGAGCAACATGGATGTCAGTTTAAAGTTAGCCTTAAATTACCATTGCTGCTGAACATAGTAATAGCGTGGTAAAGTATACACCACGTATTGCATGACCGCGCTAGTTTAGCATGAAAAAGCTTTGTGATCGTGCATCGTTAGTTGAAGTACGGCTGCCATTCAAGATCGTGACGGTCCTCAACTTCAAAAAATTATGTATCCAACGATCTGCAAAACTTTATATTTTTCTAACCTGCGGCTGGTTGAATGGCTGTTTGCGTGGGACTTTATAACACGGTGAATTCGTATGCTCGAGAATTCTGAAGCTGGGGGTGCTGACTGGGAACCTCGAAGCTCCCATAGATCCCAAATTTCCGATCGAACGAGCAAAAATTTTCGAAGAATAATAATTTAGCCTCCAGCTGACACATCGTATACATACATGCCATTGACTGAATGAGTTATCTCCGATAGTATGACATATAACCACATGATGACACAAAACAGACAGTGCACATGGGCTTTTGAAGTTTGATCTGACCTGTTTGAATCATTTTCCCAGAATACTATGTTTCCATGCCTGCATTACCGACTAGCGAACGAACAAAAGACACCCCGTGGAGCAATATTGTTTCACCCTTAAATGTGTTTCTTCTCTTGTATCACAGTCTCGTGTTACCATGAATTGATCCGATTATGGTTGACATGCTCTCTGTATCGTGTAAAATTTGGCAAGCAAGCAGATAAATGGGTAAAGGATTCAGTTGCCCCTTTTATTAGAATTTCAAAAACGGCTAATCTAAGCAGGGAACGTCAAAATTGAAAAGAGTGGATTGGACGAATTAATTAAGGTAAATACCGTCTTGTGTGGAGTTTCGAAGGAAAATGATTCAAAGAAAGCCTGTATGATAGTCCACAAAGGAAGGCATATCATTTTAAGCTGTGCAATTTTCCCTTCTAAGTTGGCCTCAACTTGCTGAGGCAGCACAACCAATTGAACTGGTGCCAATGCAGAACGCAATGTGGGTAGTAGTAATAATACCAATGAATATGATACCCAGGTAGTAGTCAATCGAGTCACCTCTTCCATTGCCTATTGAGCCTCACACCCACCCGCAGTGGCCCAGCTGGCGCTGAAAATTGAAACAAGATAACGGTGTCAAATAGTATTGTCTTTACAGAAGACCACAATGTCCTCACGATGGATATACGAATAAAACTTCCTAACAGCTGTTCTTGAATAAATAAATAAATAAAAAATAAGCATAAATTTTGATTCATAGCACTCCTAGTATGTTCTGCTTCACTTCCTCACACGAGGAGATCTGGGAGGGTCTTGTAATCATCATTATGCACATGTGGTTACTTTTTTCGCTTCTTTTCCCGAGTGAGTACCATGCTTGGGCTCTCGGGTAGCCAATACACAGTTCGCCAGATATTTCTGAGATTTTCCTTAGTCTTACCATCATAAACAAAATAGTTAAGTTATTTGGTAGTAAATTCCATAGCAACAATGTATGTACATGCGTCTGCTGTCACGGAGCCTAAGTTAAACCCTGCAAAAAAAGAATCACCAGTAGGCCCTAAAAGCCGTAGATTTAAGCTTTCGCTGCTTAAATTATGGACTAAACCATAAATCGAAGGAGCATGCGTACCTGGAAACTAACTGGTCAGTGCTCCTTTCTGGACTCTCGGTTGCAGGACATGGCTTAGCTTATCTCCTTATTCACAAATTTTGATTTTTTTGGTGTTTTCCACCGCCAAGCCTGTTCGATGTTGAAATTCATGAATCATGAGAATAGAAGGAGTGGAGCACAGTCAATTTATCTGTCCACAATTAAGCATTAAGTGACTTTTAACTCCGCCACATTACACGAGGCGTGCTTGGCAATGCTTGGCCTTGCAAGCACCGAAGCAATCAAAAAAATGATCTCAGATTGCAGGCCCTCATTGAGTTCCACACTGTACAAGGAATGATATCTGACACGCTTGACCTACCTGATTTGGGGATATAAATGCAGGAATTAAAAAGGCTTGATATGGTAAATATCACTGATATAAGCATGCGCCGTATTTCGTACGCAAGAGTGCAGCAAACATGTCGAGTTACAAATATATACAGTGGTTGTCTTTCAAAGTCTGTGGAAGAGTTCGTAAGGACATCAAAACGTACTTCCTGCAGCATCACACATATCATTATATAACATAAATGGGCTGGTGTACATAATAGTCCTACACAGAAATAATGGTGATGGAAGAATTTTTGTTGAAGGTACGGCATATATTTTTTCCAGTGCTGAAGTATAGCAAACAGAAGAATCTCCCCCTTTTTTTCTTTATTTATTTATTTATTTTTTTGAAAAAAAAAAAAAAAAGGTGCAACATTTTTTCACCAACACTCTAGGCTCGCTGAAGGGTATGGTCGGTGTCTCGGTATCGATATCGTATTGTATTATATATACGAAATACGGTATTGTCAGCACCGTATCCAATCAGCGAGGCTCTTTCTCACGTGTTACGCCTTTCGTGGGCCTTATCCAATCTATCTTTCTTCTGCATCTTCCTTTTCACAACCACACTCCTTTTGCCAGGTAACGCTCACGGTGCCTGGGTCTGCAGAACTTCAGCAACGCTCGATACCTGCTATTCTTGTTTCAATATACCAGGAAAGAGCTGTTTCTCCCCGGCACTCATTTCCTTCACATACGGATGTGACATAAACCCCCTCTTACCCACCTTTCAGCCAGTGAACGCAGTTTTAAAGCACAGGACGTTCTGCAATAACAGTCGTCCAAGTGCTGCGGAGTTATTCTATGACTATCTGGGCTTGCCGACTTTTTTCTTCTTTGATTTGAAAATTGTATCACTTTTATTGCGCACCCCTCCATCCTCTTGCTAAAGACTAGCTTTGAAATCTCTAGGTATGTTTTCAATCTCATTTATTCCGTTATTGTATGGCCAGGAGATTCTATTCCTCGTCGTTCGCTCCTGGATGTCGTTTATTTTCCTTTTCAAGGTTATCAACCCAACCCCAATTTCGACGGAGAGTTCCCAGCGCCTAGCTTGCATTTGTTTCCGTAGTTATTTTCCCTACGTAGGGATCCCTCGTCATAGCCGTTTATTTGCGGAATCCTAGTTAGATGACTATTTTTACTTATATTCTAACTTTTCTTTACTTCTTTCCGAACGATAGGCTCCGTTTTTGTTTAGGTTTAATCAGCCTTTCCAATTCGCCTAAAGCTGATACATAATCTGCTAACCTCCTGTCATGAATCGTTAGTGCTCAAAGATTGCACTACGAGTTTAGAGACAGAAAGAGTTTCCGGACTCCTTGGGTTTTTTTTCTGCCTCCCCCACGTTCGAATACACGATATTCATAACGAACCTCAGATTCAGGGTGTGACGTTTGTATTAGTCGGTTTTTTTTTTTCCCTGTTGAGGCGAGGGGATGGAGACGTATAACGGACATGTCCGCACACCCGCGGATGCTATCATCCTATTCGAAGCCTGTCGCATTGGGCTTTTACCCCGAGTCCAGAGAAGATTATCGGAGAAAGAAAGGCAGTCTGTCAAATCTGGCTCCGTTTTTGTGTGGGATGAGCGAGAAGCAGGAATGAGAAGATGGACAGATGGTAAATCATGGAGCGCGAGCAGGGTATCGGGAAGCTTCTTGACCTATAGAGAAATGGAAGGAAAAAGGGGTGGTAGCCATGGTGCGCAAGCGTCGAGGGCAGGGAAAACTCCTGACAGTAATAGAGGGAGCGATGAAGATCCCGGAGAGGGTGGAGAGGAAGGTCCAGATGGGTATCGTTACAAGCCGGATGGATTAATGAAGCAATCTTTCAGTATAACGACATCTACGGGACAACACCTCCATCTAATCAGCTATTATGCCCGATCTCATCCAACCGCTCCTGGCTTGAACCAGCCGTCCACTGATCCAGCTCTGCGACATATCCGCCCGCAAAAAGGGTTATATCCTGAGTCCAGTGTCAATGATCAACAAAACCTGCCCGTCGTGACCCGTGGCCCTATGCCCGCACCCGGGTTTTCAATATCTCCCCACTCACTTCCCTATGCACGTTCCGGTCCTACACACCCTCAAACATTTGTTCCCGCCCCGTACAGCTGGCCTCCACCTCCTATTACAAATGCACCACATGCTGCCGTCTTGCCCTATGCTGCTTATTTGCCTCCTCTCGGGGCCCCCAATGGGCATTCCTCCCTTCCATACGGCCAGCACCCGCACCACCCCCAACTGCCCGCCCCGTACGAAAGATCTGTACACCCAGCCGATTCTACACTTCCCCCTCCAATGCATCCTCAACCGGGCACTGTTAGTGGACAAGCTGTCCCCTTCTATAGCCCCACTCGATCTCCGAGGACGCAACCACCAACCATTTTGGGAGCTCCCAGAATGGGTTCTCCTGGCCACCCTAACCACGTCCAGGCGAATGGAACTCAACCTAATCATGCGCCCAGTCCCCCTCCATTGAAGAACATCCCACTCCATGGCAATGGCAGCCAAGAGAATACTAATAGCGCCATATTATCTTCGTCTGCTACAAAGGTTCCAAGCATCAACGCGCTTATGAACGGTCCGCTTCCCCCATCGGCACTTGCTCCATCGGGGGCCTTGTCCAATATCCTTGACGGGTCACGACCCCAGGCTAAAGAAAATGGAAGAGACAACAGAAGTCCAAAACCCCACAGGGGCCCGAGTGATGGACCGAAAGATATCCCCAGTGAAAAAATCGGATTTGGGGAAGACATGAGAGCATTGCGACAACTTGATAAAGTTTTTACAGCCTGATTTGTTTACAAATGATCGTAATTGAGATATTTGTTACAAGGATGTACAAATTATTTTGCTTTTTATTCACGTTTAGGCGCACGTTTTCAGACTGGCTTTCTCGAAAATTGCGTTTCTAATTGTTTTTCTCAGGTGGGGGTTTGTTACAGGTTTGCGCAGGCGTTTTTTTTGCGGACTGGTCGTGTTCAAACATTATTATGTCAAACGGTAGTTTTGAAAATTACCTCTGCGTTGCATTTATAATTCGGATGGGCTGCTACTTTTTCATGGGAAAAGGACTCAAATCGGGGCAAGACAGGGTGTCATTCTATCATTCTTATTTTATCATTATCATCACTATCAATATCATTGTCATCATTGTCATCGTTATTGTTATTATGACCATTTTCTCGGACCACGCTTTACCACTCTTTTCATCATTTACTCGTTATTATCAAGAGTGCTTACTTCTCAAACACTGGAAGGGGAGTCTTTGAAACTAGCTTCGCCCTTCGTGGCCTTTCTCCTCAGTGAGCCCCAGTGATTAGTATTTTATATGTTTATTTTATATATTTAAAGAAAATTTTCTTTCAGATGTCAAATTGTTCCTAATGTGTCCAATCTATGGTGGGAGCTTGATTTCGCCACCCTTGAACTGTAACCGGTCGATTAAATCGGGTAATACTAACGACGCAAGCGGCGCCTGTTGCTTGAGGGGAAAAAGCACCTGATCGGAGTTTGGGTTTATGAGCAACTCATGCATCCTTGCTAACTTATTATGGATGTTGGTTGGGAAATAGCTTTACTACTCGGTATGGTATGAATAAAGCCTTGTGTCACCCCTACAAGATACCTTACGAGCATGGTCCAGGATTTGGTAAATAGACGTCAAACATACTATATTTGCGCAGTACCTTTTGTCCCATTCATTATCGGCCCAGTGGTGTGTGGTGTCTTGGTCGATGTTGGCATTTCGGGATAAGAAACCCTCAAGCCACACTGCTGAGTTATTTGAAGCTTTTATACTTCCCTAATTTCATTTTTGAAGATTCCTTGAGACCTTATTTTGTTTCCGAAGGCTGACTTCTTTTCCCTTTTGAAATGCTATATTAGTTTCTGTTTTGTGTGCAGGTATGGAAGTACGAATGCAAGTCACCTACCTAGGTGCCTATGAACCCCCTCCAAGATGGTATACCAGCAGCCAGAATGTACGGCTCAAGCGACATGGCTCCGAGAAAAGCTGCGATCCTGACATCAAGCCATCTCGCTGCGCGCCAGGGACAGAACGTTTGAAGGAGTAGTGAGCATTGAGTGGATTTCAGTAAGCATCATGTAAGCCCCCACAGTGAGACCAAGACCAGGTAAGATTGAACACGAACTACCTCTTCGGGTCTCGACAGATCCTGAAGGATCCAAGAGAGCCAAGCCGAGGAGGGTTCTCAGCTGGTAAAAAAGGTTTCCGCTAGCGACCCAAAAAAAGACAAGCTCCAGGATAAGGTGAGCTAAATACAAAAAGTTCGGGGAGGAGAAATGACCCTTGTCAGAGATGTCTGCATGGGTTTTTTGGTTTGGTGAAGCTCACTTGTTTACCCCTGTCTGCAATGAAGAGTAAGTCAGCGAATTTTCGTACTTCTGGCGAATGGGCGTTGGAGGGTCAGTTCTTGGTTGCAAATCTTCTCTCCGTTCTCCGGTGCCTGTAACTAACGGCGATTTCAAGTTCCACGAACGAACTCCACGAAACGACGGGGCCGGAACGATAATGGGAACTTTCCTGGAACGTCTTTCAAATACAGGGAGTAAATGAATTCGTTGATAGCCACGAATCAGCAGTCAAAATCAATTCTTTCCCCCGAGAGGAATGGATAAAACGAATAAGGTTTGATTTTATTACATGATAGCATAGCAAAATTATTCTAACTCGAGCTGTGATTGTTACCTGATTTAGTTACCAGTAATTTATATAGATATCTAACTTCTCACTGAAACTTGCTTGTCAAATAAGGTGCTGAACTTGGTGGTGGATTTAGTGGACCTACCCAACCTGGACATTCCAGAAATGAACAGACCTTATCCATAGTTACTCCAGGACCTTCTGTGGTTCTTCTCATATTCACCCAACGACGAAAGAAAAAGAAAATTAGAAGATTGATTGGGGAAAAAGCTACAAATAAGAAACAGTAAGAAGCAATCAAGAGCCGCACCACAGTTTGGGCAGTTATCTATCTATCTTCCAAAAGTGAGCAGTAAGAAGTGAATGTTTCCACGTTCCTTCAGAATTCAAAATCAGTGTGCTCGTGAATCGTAACATAGGTTGGAGGCGATCCAACCTAGCAGGGAAATAATGTGCCGCGTATGCATATATGTATGATTGATAGTCGTTTCTGGTTCGCGTGCGTTCCCATTCACGCGTGTCATGACCGACAACCGTGGTCCTTCGAAACCAAGCTCCTTTCCTTAAAACCCAGCGCCTGAATTTCGCCAAACTTCCCAGAATGCAGTAATGAATAATATATAACAATGATATGCACAGAGACTCCAAAAAGAAATTCCAAAAAAAATCTTGAGCAAAAGAGGAATTGAGGTGGGAACATGATCGTGTAAGTGATGAACCAAAAATGCTGTTCAGATATCCAACATACTCCTCACTTTTTGTGGTTGTTGAGTTTGGGTCAAGGTTTCTTCAGATGATAATGTAGCGTGGCTGCTCGATCTGCTGGGAGACCGCATTGTCCGACCCGTCGGATTCAATAGAGTTGAAGTGTTAATTTTAGCGACCGGGTCCGCACATGGATGATTTAATATAGCATTGCTTGGGCTCTCCGTATCGCTCGGTCCGCCGCCTTTATCTTCCGGATTCGCCTTTCCTGCAGAGATCGTTCCCATCTCAATATACCGCTCCAAGTTCCTTTGTGTAGGCCTCCCCCCTCCGATTTCCATAGTCATAGCTTTCAATCTCGCGTTAGGGTCGTTGCTGGACACATGCTGAAAATCAGAGCGCAATCGGCGCCACCAAGCTGGTTTTCGCATTCCAGGGATACCAAGCTCAGCGTCTGCGGCATGTCCACGTTCACGACGCTGCTCAATAAGCGCCCTGTCTTCATTAGGATCAATGTAGCCCCATATGTTCAGCACAACGAGGATGAGCAATGGGGGAGCATAGCCAAGGCCGTAAAGCCAACCAGCATTGCCATCATATTTAGCTGGGGAAATATCCCAGGAGAATGAAGAGGCAACACCGAATCCAAGACGGAGACCAGTTAGAATAATGCAGATGAAGTATTTCAAGGGCGCAGAGCTTAGATAGAAAGTTATTGAACGAAAAAAAGGCTTTACAGGCTGCTGCTTGTATCTGTAGATGCTATGCCCGAGGCTATAACAGATGACAGCTAAGCACACCACTGCAATAATACTCCCCGCTTTGAAGCGGCCGTCTGTCGCGGATGGTTTAGCGATGCTCATTGTTTGGTCTTGGCTGCGTTGTTTTTGGATCGAGTTCCAGTTCCTAGGAATGACCAGGAAGAAGTTAAGCCAGGCGAAAAAGTAGAAAATCAATGGCAGGTAAAATTCCTGGGTTTCTCTTGTAGAAGCTTCCGAGAATGCGAAGGTGTCGCGATCACAAATCTGCCGTTCTTGCCATGAACCCCTTTACATGACGTCAATAGCCGCGATCAAACCCTGCGTATACACGCAGAAATAGAATTTTTCTGCGCATAGAGATGAATGAAATACGTACCAATGCCTGACTCCTTCCCACACTGCAGCCAGCAGCCCGGGCAAAAGTAGATAATAAAACAGACTCTGGAGAGAAAGTGCAATTCCTTGTAAATAACTCCGATCGACGTCAATGCTCATGAAACAGCTTATCATACCGCAGGCTGCAACAAAGAGCATCCAATACCATTGCCACCTCCTCCCAACAGCTCGCCATCTCTTCTCTAGTGGTAAAAACGTTTTCCCATGCTTTCGCAGGTTTATCAAGGTAAACACTACGGTTGCTCCAAACATCGAAGCAAACGCAATGCCCACACTTCCCCTTGCCTCGAGACCATTGATCGGAAAATAACAAGATGTGGCGTTAATAAATGTTCCATTTGATAGCATAGAAGGCTGGTACATGTCGAATGAAAGCCAGCAGTTCGAGCCATTCGAAAGAGTTCCATTGGAATAGAGGGTATAATTGAAATAATTTAGAGCGGTCAGATTGAAGTGAATATTATTGATCACGGTGTCCGTAGCATTGTCTCCATTTTCAGGGAACTGTAAAAGCTCCCTTACCTGAAAGAGAGGCATGGATAATGTAACGAGCGAGAACCGCAACGGCGTTGAACACGCATCAACAATGCGGCGTTGAAGAAATGCGCTGAATCGGATCTTCAAGGGTAGGCAATCATCGCTACAAAGGAACGCCAACGTCGATGGGACTTCGAATTTCAGGACACCTAAGCGCAATGGAATAGCAATAACTATCCGGAACTGAGTGTTCACGAGTGTTTGGAGACCGGACGAGACAGGATAGGATTTTTTTCACAGCGGGAACATCGGAACTCAAGCCCCAACGACGTCAGAGAGGACTTCGGAAATATGTCGTGCCGAGATTCCGGGAATTTGGGTGGTACGAGCTTGTATAAACTGGCTTATGAAATCTATGGGTTGAAAAACAATTGGACCTGCCGAGGAAGAAATAATTAATTATTTTGATATTGACCGATATCTTCAAGCATGCTCAACACCGTTAAGTCATACATCCATCAAAATAGCGTCAAAGTGGTCTCCCTCAGGGACATTTTTGTTCCGATTTAGATTTACCATTAGGATAAATGCCGGAAGTGTGAAAAACAAAGTTACGCCCCCTGTTCTGGAAAGCAAACATTGGATATCATAATACATAGATTCAAGCATCGGAGAACAATACGATTCCATACAGGTGCACATGGGCTCAATTCCGGTCCATGCTCTCCATGCTCCCCTTGTGTTCTCGCAACGGGTTTGGCTCAAACATTTCAACGGGAACGAAGCCGTTCTAAACCGGCAGCACAGCTGTTGTTATACCAATTCATCTTGATATCGTCAACAAACAGAATGACAGATTTATTTCGAACGGACGCCGAAAATTGGAGACCACTTATCCCACGGAAACTGTCTCCAAAATCCAGCGGAGAAAGGGTACAGCCTTTGTAGCCCGGGCATGGTGGGAGGGTGAATTTGCGGATTCCAGCAGCCTCCTCTGTTTTTGTTAGGGTTGAATACCTGACTGCCGATACCGTTACTGCACAAGTTGTATTGGAAAAGCCGTTGTCGCATCCAAAATTCGCAGAGTAAGCATCAAACCAGAAAGTGTTCAAGCTACTTCGTGGGCCTGCGCCGAATGCACCTCCGGCTAGCAATCCCGCGTACGGAGAGCCACGATTATCCTTAGACTTCTCAGGTATGTAGATCCCAATGTGGGGGTTGGAAGTCGGAGGATAGGGCTCGGTAGGCGGAGGGCCATAAGACCATCCATCGGAGAAGAATAAATGGTTATGTGGGTTGAAAATTGGTGGAAATGGCGCAGTGTCATTGTCACTTGGGGAATATCTCGGCAAATCGTCGAACTAGAGTCGATGAGCAAATGAGAGCAAGACTTTTAAGGAATCAAATGTAGAACAAAATGGATGTGTATACGTTTACTTACATCCATTGTAAATTCACCCGATTCTCCGCATTTTGTTGGAGTTGATGAGGGTGTACTTTTCGTTCTCGTGATTTCAATTATAGGTGCTTGGGTTGAAGGTGTAGGGGAAGACAGAGCGCCACCGTCCCATCGGTTAATCCATGAAACAATCTGGCCGTTAATAGTTGCTGTAACCATGACCCCGACCTGTCTTTTGCTAATAGATACAATAGGCGGCTTGGAGCAATTGGGATTTGGATGCCCAGAAACGCACTGAACGCCTGTAGTTTGGGCTGTACCGTTCGCTGGATTTGTAAAATTCCACCCGCTAGGGCCATACGGTTTAGAAGGAACAGCAGAGACGGTGGTCGTATTGGTTATGATAGGATGTGAAATTCGAGTCGAGAGTCGGGATGTGCTAGGCGCACCGGCTATGGTGGATAGAGTTGATGGGGCGGGTGGAGTAACTGATATCTTAGATGCTTGGGCGCTCTTACTGTCAGTCATAATGGTAGGCGGTGGTGGTTTATCTGGCAAATCATTTGACGACGGGACGTCGACCAAGGTGAAGGGTGAAGTGAAGGTAACCACTTCCGTTGAAACTGAAGTAATTATTGTTGTAGACTCGGAAACAGGTACTGGGCGAAGTGTCACTATGAAAGTTGAGTGTTGCGAAGAGACATCATTGCCGCTAGCATTGGTGACGGTAGATTTTGTTTCAAATCTCGAAGTGGCAGTCGTGTATGTCACTAATGTTTCTTCAAGAGTCGTCAACTCATCATTTGAGCTAACTGTGGAACGGACAGGCGAAATGAAGAGAGTAAGCGTGATATACACTGTTTCCGTGATTGTCCTGGTTGAAGGCCGGATCTCGGGAGACGTGCAGGTTTGGGGGGGAATAGTAGTTGTAATGGTCACAACTTGGTCATTGGTACTCGTCTCTGTAGACACACAATCTTTGGGGAGAACAGTTGTTGTGACAGTCACAGCTTCTTCATTCGTATCACTCCAGCTAGATACACTCTCCGTTAGTTGGAGTCCGTACTCCAAAAATCTGACATGGCTAATATATCAAATGGAACAAATCGCACAATTTCAATAACATGCATCAAGTTGGAAAACATTTCGACCCCGTAAAGCAGGGACCATTCCAATTACTCAGAAGCAGGGGCCGCTGTGTGTGCTTGGAGATGAATGCAGAGAGTGTATAAAAAGTTAATGACTTAAAAAGACGTGAATGTAATACGACCGACACGGCATGAAGAATTAAACGGAGCAGAAAACATCAACATACCTTCGAGGCAAACGAGCCCCAGCAGCCAGGGCAAAGAAAGCCACTCCAATCACGGCCAGGACGCGCATAATGAACGGAAGGGGCTTTAAAATGAAGTTGAAGAAAACAGACAGAGCAAGGTACTGAGAGAGCGATAGACTGCCCCTGAAGCACCCAGGAGACGATAGAACTTGGTTCTGGAAAAGAAACCTATTGTTAAATGAGAGCGGGAAGCCCAGAACTGGATCTCAGTAAGGAGGGACAGAATGATAGTTGAGGAAGAGATAGATGACCGCGTCGAGATGGGGAAATCAAGAGACATCAGGAGTGAGCTGGCGAGTGTTGACCTCAAGAAGCAGACCACCCCATGTGACCTCAGCTCACCTCCAGGTGTTTCCTGTCTGCATAATTGCTTCCCACACCAAACAAACATCTACGCGTGCCCGGTCAACGCAGCTGGACGTTATCGCCTGTTGCCCAGGCCTTTCTACTTCATGCGAACCGTCCAGAATGTATAAGGTGAATTGAGAGACTCATCATTGCCTCTCTCCAGAAGATACAGAACGAGACAGCTTTCTCATGCTCCTCTGAAGGTAAATATACCCATTTCAATGTCATAGACACCTGATCCTAATAGATCCAATGTCGATAGAAATAGGGAGCAGTTCCAGTTGCCTATGAAAAAGGATACACAAGGAAATGCGCATTTTTCGGCTGCCTCAATCCTGCAAAACTGCGTAGAAGCTTAGATGCAGCATAAAGAAAAGATCTTTGCAACCTCAGTTATTCATAGAGCCAGAAAGTTTAGGCTTTTAGGCACAAGTAAGTATAAGAGGGAATGATAGAGGCGATCATCATTTTGATCTCTGCTCATGCTTTAGAACGATGTACCGTTTTGCACAGCCTGCAATCATAGAACTGCCAGACAAAGTAACGTCATTTCGCGAATCCCAAAGCACCAGGCAGAGCATAAGAGCAGCAAAGGAGAGGAAAAAGACAGAATATTTCCTCAGACAAAAAAAAAAATAAAAATAAAAATAACATTTGGTTGAGAAACAGCGGTAGATAAGAATGCATCTTCATCATACAAGAGCTACAGCGGGCTAAAGGATCCGAGGCATTCCTCTCATGATTCCTTCGCGCGACACAGGTGCTCATGAGCGTTTTAATAATGAAATAGACCACCAGGTTTGGTGTAAAATTGATCCGATCGGTCGGGACTGAGACAATTGCACTCCCTTTCATTCAGAGGCGCTCGTACCTGAGCTCATCGAATTTTTCCCGTGGTCGGCTGGCTTTCAGGTAATATCATAAAAGTAGGTCTGCGCATGGAGATGTCACATAGCTACTCGTAGTTGAAAATATTTGACAGAGTTAACTAAGTTATGGCGCAAAATTAGTTAATCCGTCCCAGCCTTCATCGGTTTCAACATAGCTGATTTAACCACCAATTTTATTTCCCATCGGAAATGACTTTTCCTTCCTCTTTTCTGTGCATCTTGCGTCAGAATCTGCCCACACCCTTGAGCCATTGCCGAAAAAAGGCAGGGTCCTGGAATCCAACAATCATATATTCACCAGTGCCTCCCACGTGCCACTTACTAGTAATTTGGACCTGACATATCCACTCGATTTTCATTGAGCTCCGCTATCTGAGTACACACACAACGGGCGGTACAGCATTCTAATTCGGTCCTGGGCCTGGCTCTATCCTCCCTTCCCTTGGTACCACATGAATATCTAGAAACATGCTTCCACCGAGGGGCACGGCGATGAGGTGGGCAGTCGGACACTTTTGCTGTGGACATGGACGTGGACGCCACGCATAGGAAACAATCAGATAAAAATGCAAGACGGGCCATTCCCTATCTTCCAAATATTATCCCTGGCTATTCTCACTCAGTACAGGCCCCACCGTTTATATTATCAAGGGAGATGGCATGTACCATGTATCCTTGGCCTAGGCAGAACTTATTGGCTCGTGGGGATTGATAAGTAAACCCCTTTCCCTTCCCGCCTGGGTTGGGAAGGAAGACAGCTGCATGGCAGAAATCACAAATTAAACAGGGCCACAATGCTTTGCTGTGATAGTTAACTGTCGTCATTCAAGCCCCTAGACCATATCATTGTTAGCATTGAACGGGGTACCTAATATTAAAGTCCAAATGGCACTCTAGCTCAGCTCCAAGGTTGTTGTCGGATGTAGTAAGAAAGTGTTGGGGGTTTGGATTGGTTCGTCCCCTCTACTACCAGCATGGCGCTGGTGGTGATCGAGCACTTTTGTCCTCGTGGCCTAACAGAAAGGGATATTAAATATACCACCGCTATCGACGGAGAATATCTGCAGTAATCTCCTTGAGCAGGCTGACAGGGATGGCCACTTGAGCCTGGATAGTTGGTCGATGCATGGATTTGCGGAATGTTCCTTCTAGAATTGCTCGGTTGTGTGCTTACAGTGGAAGAAGGCTGTGAAAAACATGTCGAGTACCATGCTACGAAGAATATAATAATTGTTACTCATGGAAAGTAAGCGGGACACGAGATAAATGAAAACTGGAGAGAGAGAGAGAGAGAAGTGCCGAAAAGAAAGAGGGAAACCCGTCAACGGTAGATACCTGAAAACCCGCCTACTTTTAATATGCATTCTAGACAGCTCTCATTATCCGGACCGTATAAAACTCAGTCAAAACAGAATCTGTGCTATGATGGCACCGTGAGCTCCGTAGTATATTGCCATTTTATGGCACCTTTAACTGCACGTTAGTATGCGGGCAGGCATATGGAAAGTTTGTTTTCAAGTGGACTGCCAGGCTCAAGTATCAATGCGGCAGTGAGTACTGAAGCGCATAAGCACATCCACAACTTCAAGCTAATCATGGCAAGATTTCCTGCATTACCACTTACCCGCAGGATCTGATCTAGATAGATCGTAAGGATTCCTCTTTCATTCAGTTGCCTACCGGGGTATCGAATTCTCAAGATGCCTGGGACTATGGGAGATGGCTGAAATCAAGTACAAATGACGACAGATGAGGTTTGATCCGTGTAGGGACGGCAAAAGCCGGATATACGCTGGCTTTGCTGGTGTCAGCACTGCAGGCTGAACGAACGAGGGTAAAGTGGGACAAAACTTGGAACATCGTCACTCTATCTCGATCCCAGCGGGCTGCCTTGGAAAAAACAGCAAAATGATTGACAGGCTGTCAAGGCTTTCCTGATTGCGGATATATCCCGCGTCCCAAGGTATTGCAAGTGTGTTGCTGCTGGCTTAGCTTCTTGACGAATTGCATGTTTGCACTGTTTATAGATTTCAGATAGTTAAAGCAGGGTTTCATTGCTTATCTCATGATGTATGGCACATTGTACTGTACATGTATGCAAGATAAAAACCCCGAGGACGATGTCATAAAGATAACTTGCCTAGCCCCATAAAGTTGATGCGGGCCTACTATCCAGATAGCAAACACAGGCAGATGCTGTAGACTGGCGGAGGAATTTATTTTCCGCTCCGGCATTTGAATATGGGAGCCTCCAATCCATCCCAAGAACTGATCTCCCAGCAGTATTCGTCCCTTGACCCGTTCTGAAACTGTTCAACTCTTGCTTGCGAGTCAGTTGACTGTAGCAAGGATTTGCGCTCCAAGGTTTGTCACAGTCTTGAAGGCTTGCCACGCCAACCCAACAAACTGGACCAGCTAGTAAGCGGGGTAAATTGATTGTCGTGCTGTTCTGCAGGCTTCAGGATGCTGTGTTTAATACGATACATTTACATATACTTTCATGCACATGCACGCTTGTGTGGAACAGGGGTGTGTGCTAATAACCTGAAAATGTATTCCTCTTGAAAAACCACAAAAGAATCTATGGCCATCGCAATGTTATCATAATAACACTGACAATGACTTGGCCGATTCATCTGATTGATAACATGAATAATCCTCACAAACCAGGGCCAGACACCATTTCTACTACGGTACGAATGGGCACCTGGTTAAAGCCGACTTACCCAGGAGACTTGTTCAAGCAGTCTGCGCCGTTCCAGCATATCTAGTGGGGCGCTTAAGGCTTTTCAAGGAAGGTCGAGCAGCGTTTCTGCGGTATACGAGTCGGAGGCACCCAGGCAAACCATGATCAAGCCGACTTGCAGCGGCAGGGGACCCTGAAGCCTGTAGGTCTCGTCCTCGGAGTTGGTGGTAACGATCTTCAGAAATCGTTTCCCACAATAAGATGAAAGCCCAAAATGATCGATGTAATGATCCCATTGGTCACAAACATGGCCTGGCATATCAGCCATCTCCACAGGTGCGATGATTGGGAATATTGCATTGTTATGCGTCGTCGTGAGTAAACGGCTCTTCCAGACCCGTATTTTGTGGCTGTCCTAGAGAATTGGCTGATTTGCAGCTCGAACTAAAATCCTTAAATTTCATGGATATCGACGAGGAATGACGGGAAGGGTGGAAACGGAAAGACAAAGATCTCCCGTTTTCTTTGCACAATCAACCAGCAATACAACGCCACAGAGCATCTCAAGAAAAAGGGTTGCCTGGCTTTCGTGTGCTTCTCGCTTCTCCTAGCTGCAAACAAATTCTTCTGCGGCCGACGACTGTTGGTCAAAGTTGATCAAAATTTCTCTGCATTCCCTGATTTTCATCCCAGCTATTCCATACTCCATACAGGACCGATGGCCATTAATGACTGAGATGCAGTGTACGGTTTCCTGCCAATCTTTTTTTGCTCTTTCCCTCACACCATCCTCGCCAGAGTCTGCACGATATATTTTAATTGCCATCCTCAAGGATATGAATAGAGGAGAGAGAAAGGGGTATGAAGCTGGCTGGAGGGGTGAAACCGCGCAGCCAGCTATCCTAATCCCCTCCCCTCTCAACTATTATTTTGACATATCACTCCAAAGTAATAGCATACTCTGCTTCTCGCCTTGGGATCTGTGGTGTTACTTCTCTCAAGACTGTTTCTTGGCAGCGACAAAACGGACAAGGTACGGAACCCAAAAAAAGAACAAGAAAATGAAAATTTCAAGAAAATCATAAACATACGGAAAAGATAACAGACTGAGCCAGCGTTTGCTGAGAATCCTATGATGAGCAATTATTGGCGATATGGAGATTTGAGGATGCAAAAATATGGCTGGGATTCCAAAGCAAGAAAATAAGACCAGAATAAGCTGCTTTGGTCTCTTCTAGCGTGTGGACAGATTTTGTTTGCTTTTTCTTGGCACATCTCTCTTCACCTCTGTGTCTGTGCTTTGGTGTTGCAAAGTTTGCTCAGCAACGAATCAATTAACTAACTAACTAGTTATTTCGAGGTTTCATATAGTTCTTCTTCTCGGAGTTGTTGAGTTCCAGCTCTTTATTCCATCAAAAGTTTCCTCTTTTTTCATACGCTTCTTGTCAAGTCGTTCTGGAGGATATTCGGGGCAATTTTGAAACTAACAATTTTATCGTTAGTATTTCAGCAACGGATGGCGGAGAAGAGGTGTACCGTTGACCCCCACAAGCCCCAACCTTGGGTCTTGCAATCCATGGACAATGCACCATTCCCTCTTCAGGGTTAGCCGCTCCTTATTGCCTGCGTAACAAATGCGGCAGCGAGCTGGGAATTCATCTGCGTATCAGGACACATTTCGGTCCTCCGAAGCAGCACTGGCCCCAATGCCGTGATGGAGATAACAATGCAAACAAAGATGGTCTGGCGTCGCTGAACCACAACCTGATGCGAGGCGCTTTTGGCACCTGGGTTGCTTGAAGCAAGCGGGGCATAAACGAGGTAAAAGAAGGTTTGAGGAACCTTCGCTACCCCGACCAGTCATAAACCCCTAATATGATTTCCGGGATCTTGAGGCTACGATCCGCCCCCACCAAACTGTTAGCAGGAGGTCAAAACACCTACAATGTGAACATCTTGTCAACCCCAACGACGACAATGGGATGGAATTTTGCATGCACAAGCAAGAAAATGCTATTAACCTTGCGCAATATCTGTGATTCACGAGGGCACAAACATGCTGTCCATTATGTACAGTACATGGACATGCACATACGTATATGCAAAGTACAGTACCTTGTACTCTTCTCAATAGCTACGCGTCTCCATGGTTCGTTGCATGAAATTGCCCATGGCAGACCGGAATCTGCTAATCAGGTAGTCTGCGGGTAGATGTTCCCGCCGATGCCAAATCGAAGGTGACGGTTTGAAGAAGCGAGTAAGTCAGACCGGTTGCTGGGGTACCTCGAGATGGAAAATTTGAAGTATGCAACCCAATGAGTGGATGTACGGGTACGGAGCGTTCATGTACAGCACATGTCCATCAATGTACGGCAATCGGAACTTGGCAAAGCATCTTTTGATTTCTTATCTTCAATGAGTGCATTCACAATACTGCATAGTTAAGGGTGGGTGCACCAGCCCACCAATAGCACTATTCAAGTGAGTCCTCAGGCCTTTGAAGACCTACGTATGGACACTCTCCCTCAACTGCGAGAGCTAGGAATAGAACAAGTATCCTCAGGTTGGTGCTTGAATAAGGAAAATAGCGCTGGCAGTTGACGATTCAGCATATTGCTGGTCACACCGGTTTTTAGCACATGATTTTTGGAAATTGCGTAACAGATGATATTTTGATTTATCTGATTGTTGATGCAGGCCAAAAGGAAATTACGCAAGAGAACCGCTGCTATGTTGAGGAGGGCAATATACCCGCAGTCCATAGACGCACAATGACGAGTTTTGACCCCGTCCCAAGTCTGAGGAAAGATCAAAGTTTATGTAAATGTATGATAAGCAGTATTAGTGGACTCAACGGTTGTCACATCCATGGTTCCTATGTCATGTGTCGGTTCCTCAGTCGTGTATTCCGACATTTAATGTTTTTGAGTGTTTCACTGCAGCCATGTGTGCCTCGTTAAAGCACATACTCAATTCCGTAAGTATGCTCGTCCCAGAACAACGTCTGAGAGTGGTGTCTCCTTTGAGATTCCATGACGGCCTGGCCAATATATAACTTGACATAACCAAAGTGTTTCGTAACAAAAGTGTGATTTGGTATTGTTTCGTGGTGTGTTGGGGGGGCGAACAGGTGATAAGTTACTGGATGTGAGATGTCGTCCAGGCGATTGTTCTGTTCAGCATATAAAATAGTGTCCCCGTTCGATCATTGTGTTCTGAAATTTGATTCTTAACACATGATAAACTGAATGTAAGGTATTGTACACTAACAGCAATCCAGACTGATGGGTGGAAGGCTTCTCCAGCAAGCCGAAAAATAGTTGCCAACATTTCGCACACGCGAGCTCCCTAGCCTTTTCAACTGTTGACGGTTAGATTGGCCGATCTGTGTGGGGTGGAGGGCTTGAGCGCTTGACTCAAGTTTGCCAATGCAACTGATATCACAAAGCAAACGCTTGTATTTGTATCAAGTCGGACAAAGAATCAAATGCGGGATATTTGCTTGATATCCTCTATTGGTTTAACATTTCAAACTCAGCAAGCCTGATACCTTACCAACAATCACTACGTAGGGCGTTGCCTTCGCAGCCAAATGCCCGGTGAAGTGTTCTTTTGCCAAATTAAACACAGGGACTGACGCGAATAAGGTTTTAATGGCCATTTCATTCCATCTTTTCAGTGCTGGCCATAAGGATCATGCAGGGTCGGCTTCTTGTCTGGATCCGAACTCTGCCTGACTGTTCCCGAAGCAAAGGGTTTAGGTATGTTTCTCGTATTCAATATAAGGTCTTCAATCCAAATTGTTAAGATAGGCGCTTTTGTGGCGATGTGCACAAACATCCATCATTGGGTGAGTTGACTTCAGAGGAGATAATTCCCAAGTCGACAGCAGCTTGCGCAAAAAGAACATATACTCAACATTCAGTCGATTAATTCATTGCGGGTGGATTTTCACCCCAAGACTGCGCTCCTTGTATGCATTTGTGGCGCATATTGGACATGACGGATGCAATCACCTGGAAACAAGTATCTCAGACTTAACAGCCTGTTCCATTGTTCATCCATCAACAGGCACCTCTTTTGCTCGGCTCTGTATCACCCATACACCAAGCTTGATCTGCCGAGGTGGTATCCACCCGACAAGAAATCTTGATGAGACAGATGCATCTGAAATCTGAACTTGGGGCCTAATGCCCATGAGTGACATCCTGCCTACCATTGCATCATGAAATCCCAGGCCCGCCGCCCACCATCGATGGGGCCTCCCCGCACGGGGCTTTGGCGATGGCGGCACTCCGTAGTATTTTGCCTTTTCATCCGTACCGTTGCGCAGGTCACACTAAAGCCGCTAGTGAGCCAGCGCTAGTGAACACATCGTTATGTCTGGCCCGCAGTCAACGCTAGTTTACCTGAGAGCCAGGAGGGCTGCAGATGCTTTCGCTGTTGGGGAGATAATCCTCCCGGAACACCCTCATGCAGCAGCCGCATGAGCGCTAGTCATGAAAAAGGCCATCGTCTGGGTCCCAACCCAGGCTTTCATGATGGATTTTCCAAATTGAGAAAAGCGCAAGCCAAAAGGCAACCTCGCTACCCTGGCGGCAGAAGGAGGCCGGCGAAAATGAGCGGGCGATTTTGATTGAGTGACTGCATGCCATCCACAGACCATTGCTCGTGTTCATTTGGTCAGCTATCATGGCGAGACAATAATATTTAATCATAAGAACAGGAATAGCTGTCCTCCTGCCTCTGGCACTTCCACTTCATAAACTTGTCCGCTATTTTTCGTTTTTCCTTCCCCTTGTTCGTTCTCTTCCTGCGCCAACGCTCGCTGGGCACCTCAGTTGCCCCTCCTGCTGGAAACCCCCATGTTGTTTATGCAAAGGAAACCTGCCCTTTCATCCCTCCATCTCGCGCCGGACCATGGATACACCGAGCGCTCATGGAACCATACAACTCCCAGGGCGAGCACCTCAATCGCCGATTGCCGCAACCAGCAGTTGGCAACCGCTCTCTTAATCTCCTCCTCATCTTCGGCCCTGCTGCGGTCTCCAGTGACCTCTACCAGCGAGGTCCTTTCTTCAGTGATAATTTCGCCTGGTGAGGATGATTCGAATCAGTACGCTCGTACTTGGCCATTCGATACGCGACCCAACCGCACTCCAACCGGAACCGTCGATGCGCTGAACTTCAGTTCGGAGTCGCCGCTTCAAAATAATAGTCTGGAACTATCCCCAACTTCCTCGCATTCTTCCCAGGCATACAGTTTTGCTGTCGTATCCTCTCCTGATACAGATATGACGGCGGACGAGGTGACACCAAAAGTGGAAGAAATAGAGGATGAGGCAGCCGTATCGCTAGAAGGAATCAAGCAACAAGACAAGGACTCGGATTTGCAAACGTGCTCTGCGGAGACTACAGTGCGAAATGTCATTGAGGGTCCGAGGAAACGAGGTAGACCGCGGAAACACCCATTACCAACACCCGGTCTAGCAAAAGTCGCCAAAGGAAGATCCAAAACTGGCTGTATTACTTGCAGACGAAGAAAGAAAAAATGCGACGAGACGAAGCCGTCTTGTTTGAATTGTCAAAAGAACGCGGTTGTCTGTGAGGGTTACCCAATGAAAGAGATATGGAAAAGTGGAAAGCAGAAAATGGAAGAGGGTACACACCTTATTTTATACATCCAGAAATCAGGACATCTTTAGAATTTCCGCTTGCTGACTTATCCTTTCCATAGCAGTTCGAAGGAACTATCTTGCAGCCATCCCGCGTGGTCTTCCGATCTTGATAGATGGGATAGAAACGGATATTGATCGAAAATTTCTTGACCACTTTGTTTTCGACTTTAGTAGAGTTCTTACTCTTATTAACGACGACTCTAATCCGTTCAAGGAGATTTTGTTACCAATGGCCACTCAGCACCGGGGTCTTATGCATTCGTTAATGTGCCTCTCCGGATCACATCTTTCCACGAGAGATCCAGACCCGCAATTTAAAGAGCGTAAACACTATCACTTTGACCAGGCAATCACAAATTTAAGGGTAATAATAGCGTCGCAAGCGGAATCAGCCGATGAACCAGAACTTCCTGTAGATGATCCTATGATTGCGGCTACTCTCGCACTGTGCTTGAAAACGATATGTGAGGGAGAAACCAGGGGGGAGTATAGATCCCATATGGATGCCACCCGGTATTTCCTCCGGACTCACCCGCCAAAAAATGAAAAATTCAAACAATTCATTATTGAGTTTTTCCAATACCATGACATTTCAAACTCCTTAACTACTCTGGACCGCCGACCCATTTGCCTTACGGGTGACCTTCGCCTACCAGACTTTGTCCCGCATGCTCAGGCTGGCGCACTCTTGGGCATCTTTGATGGCTTGTTCCATTATATATCAGAAATCACAGTTCTCCGTGATAGAATTCGACAGCGGATTATGCAAGGTGTAGAACCCTCGATCGACTACCAGACACTGAGCGAAGCTGTGTCGATTGACTCGTTGATACGAGCATGGGAGCCAATATACCCTCCAGATAATCCGAACTGGTTTGCGGCGCAGTTGTACAGGCAGTCGACATGGGTTTACCTCTATCGAACCATATGCCCCTCGCGCCCAAGTGAGAAAATAGCTCAAGTCGTGGATGATGGTCTTCTGTTTCTTGACCAACTTCCCATTGACGCTGGTGCCAATTCTATCATGTTAATGCCGCTGTTTCTGCTTGGCTGTTCAGCCTTCGAGACTAAACAACGCGAGCGCATAAAGAGAGGTTTTGATAGCCTTCAAGCCTATTCAAGCTTGCGGAATATAGAACCGGCCTTTCGTGTTGTTGAGAAAGTTTGGAGAGTCATGGACCATAGTATTGAGGAAAGCTGGGATTGGGAGAAGATCATTGAGGATATGGATATGGATTTCTTGATTACTTGATGATTCCCTGATATCCTTCCTTCGGTTGCTTACACGTGGTAAAGCCATATCGTAGGAAGATACCTGGGATATCATTTTTTGATGCATGGGCTCTTCTCTTCTTATTAATATCCATGCTGCAACTTTTGCGTAACGTTTTCATTTTTCATTTTCTTTCCATCTTTTCTTTTCTTTTCATTTTTTAACAAAACATTTCCTTCCTCATCTCGTTTCGTTTCGACTTGACTCTTATCTAACTTTGCATGGATGTTTGGACGCGGTGGCGTTCGTTTTAAGCTATTGAAAGCACGGAGTCAGGGGACAAATTCTAATTGCTGGCCATGATGGTAACGCCTTATCGCAAGATTTCTTTACCCGTTTCTCCTGAGTGCTTTCTCGTTTCAGCCATCTACCGTGATTTCTAGCGTTTGTCGTGTTTATTTTTGCAACCGTGGATTTTCAGCAAGGCAATCATGGTGACGATTGATTTCGGGGTGTCACGGTTCTCACGTTTTCTCCTCGTGTATTTGTATCTTTCCCTTTTCAGATACTCCCCTATTTTCGCACCCTTTGTTGCGGATTCCCTATCCACATTTTTGTTCTCCTGTTTGGATCGTGCGTCTACCCAGTTAGCCCCCTTTCTTGTTGTGATGCCTCCTGTAGCCTTTGGCAAAAAACCGGTGTACTAACGGCATTTTGGAAAAAGGGAACCTTTTCTATAATAATCCAAAAACCTCAGGGTGTAGGCCAGCAGCGGGTTAGCTTCTGTTTCATATTTGAGCAGTTCATCTTTATATTTCTCCGTTTGTGTTGAGAAAGGCAAAGAGGCAAATTGAGATCAGAACTGAATTGATCAGTTTTTGTATATATCATCGTCGCCATGGCTGATATTTTCGTGTCAGAGTTTCCTTCCCAGAGAGCTTAAGGGAAAACCGAAATAAAATCCCTGGACATCGAATTCCAATTCAATTTTCAATGCAGATTTTAGATTTCTCCCCTTGGATCCACGAAGCAGCTGGTGGATATGGTGTGCAGTGACTTTGGGGCCTTGCAAGAATGACTTTTGTTTCTTGACGGTCGTAGATCGGATCGTCGCTGAGAGGTTTTCTTCAATATTGAGCTCTTTCTGAGGCTGTTGGTATAATGCCTGGTTTTTTATGTCAATGAGCAAGCCTGGAAGCTGTTCTACCTGGAGCCTATTTAAGCGCCTCCTTATCCATGGATGTTCAACGAGATTAAGAATACAAATGCGGAAACGAGGTTGAATGAATCTGTTAAAGAGGCACTCTGTTGGCTGGTAGGAATGCCCAGGCTTTTTTAATGTTATTGTCTCGGTTCACCCATCTCACGTCTTTTTCCTTTGAAATTGTGAAAGTTGGAGTTGCGGCTGGGATGAAAGAGCAATGCCCCGACCATACTGATGACTTCCACCAATATCTCCTGGAGCTATTTCTGATTTTGGCTGCTCTTAATGATCCCTGCCTGATTTCAAAGATGGCCGACGCGGGGATGGCAAGCGGGCAGCTAACCTCTAAGCGAGGTTTTAGCGGCTGTCCCTCTCCTAGTACTGGACGTCACGACTGCAACGAACCCATTTTGGCGCCATTCTTTTTTCTTTCTCCCCGAGTGGCAGCTCTCCGTCGAAAAGTATCCACCTCCGTATGAGCTTGCTGTTGAATTGTAGCCTCGGCCAAGGGTAATGCTTAGCGGAGGCTATATCGGACATGGGTTGAAGAGTAAATGAACATAAGAACCGGCGACCGTCCGTCGATTCCTCTGCCGGCGATGTTCACAGTTTTTTTTTCAGGCAGGGGGATTTTGCCCTAAGAATAGTCAGTGAACAACAGTTCTCTCAACGATCTATTTTTAGATCATTAGCAGGGTGTTATTCCATCGCCGAAGAGAGCAGATTGTCGTTGTGGCCGTTTGGACATGGCGGTTGGTCCAGAGAAGTTGATTGGTATAGTGGGTGGTCGGGGTGGATTATCAGCGAACGACCTGGAGGCTAATCTAGCCCATTTATCCCTTCGTGCGGTTCAGCCTGTCGATGTAGAAGTCCGGGATCTGGTCGTCCGCATTGATACAACCCCGCCGATATTTCAAAGTTCCCCACGATCTCTCTGGAACCGCATCCGATGCACGACGGACAGCCCTATCAGGTCCGTTCTTCACGGCGTCTCCGCAGATATGCCGCAGGTAGTTTGACGGCGATAATCGGCGGCAGTGGCTCGGGGAAAACCAGTCTGTTAAATGCCATATCTGGTCGCTTGAATGCAAGTCGTGTCAAGACGTCTGGCTCGACGACTTTCAATGGTAGTGCGGATATAAACTCCATTCGCAGCGCGTATGTCATGCAACAAGACATACTTATACCGACCCTGACTGTGCGGGAGACTCTCCAATACTCAGCCGATTTGAGGCTTCCCCCCCCGACTACCCTAGAGGAACGACGAAGTGTTGTCGAACAAGTCATTCTGGAACTGGGCCTGAAAGAATGTGCAGATACCCGGGTTGGAAATTCTGCTCATAAGGGATGTAGTGGAGGAGAGAAGAGGCGCACAAGCATCGGTGTTCAAATGCTTGCGAATCCTTCTGTCCTCTTCTGTGATGAGCCGACAACGGGTATGTTTTGATTAACAACCTCCTTATTCATTTGTAGTAACCAAATGGAGGACCGTTTGGACATCTTACCAAACTGGTATCCCAATAGTTCCTTGCAAGGATATGGCAAATGCGTTTCCTAATTATTAAGTGATGGTTAGGGCTGGATGCTACAAGCGCCTTTCAGATCATCAGGACACTAAAAGGACTCACTCAGGATGGAAGGACAGTTATAATATCCATCCACGCTCCTCGATCTGAGATATGGGGTCTCTTTGACCGTGTGCTGCTGTTATCACGGGGTTCAGTCCTTTATAGTGGAGCCGCAGACGCCGCCATTCTTCATTTTGCGGAATTTGGCCATCATCTTCCTGCTTTTGTCAACCCAGCAGAGTTTCTAATCGATTTGGCAGCGTATGACAATCGATCGGAAGAAGCAGAACTAACATCATCTGTTCGCATTGAAGCATTAAAAGATGCTTGGAAGGAAAAGGCTATTACAGTGGCGGTCGATGATAAATCTGATCTGCAGGTTCCCGTTGATCGACGTGTGTTCAACATCCTGCCATCAAAGAATGTTGATTTTCGTCGACGGTTTCGAGTGCTGACGGCACGGACCTTTAAAGTAACGATAAGAGACCCCATGGGAGTTGCCGGGAGTTTCTTCGAAGCCATTGGTATGTCTGTCATCACCGGCTGGATTTTCCTTCGATTGGATCTGAGTCTGGCAGGAATACGGTCCCGACAAGGCAGCCTTTATATTGCCAGTAGTTTAAACGGCTATTTGATTCTGTTATATGAGACTTTTCGGCTCACCACCGACATCCAAGTTTTCGATCGAGAGCGAATTGAAGGTGTGGTAGGTGTTCCGTCGTTTTTATTAAGCCGGCGTGCAGCACGGTTCTTCCTTGAGGATCTACCAGTGCCCATGTTGTTCTCGGTAATATTTTATTTTATGGTTGGATATCGTCTTCAACCTGCTGAGTTTTTCATGTTTCTAGCACTCAATATCCTTACCCAATATACTGCCGTCACATTTGCCACTATATGTATAGGAATCTCGAGGCATTTTCCTGGCGCTAGTCTGGTAGTGAACCTGTCATTCACGCTCCAGTCTATAGCCTGCGGCTATTTCGTACAGTCAAATCAGATCCCCGTTTATGTGAGATGGCTGAAATGGATCACATATTCGTTCTACACTTTTGGAGCTTTATGCACCAACGAATTTATCGGATCTCATGGCCCAGCCTGGGGCCAATTTTATGACTGTCCATATTCAGATGATCCTACCGATCCCCGTTGCAAGGAATATACGGGAAGATATATCATTGAGAGCCTTGGATTACCACCAAATTGGCTCTGGCGCCCAACCCTGATATTATTTTCCTTCCTAATGTTTTTCTACATTGCTGCAGGGTTGATCCTTCAGTTCAGAAAAGCTGATATGGACGTGGTCCAGGCGATAAATAAGGATGGAGATCTCTCCGCTGGAAAGGAGAAATTGGTTCCTCGCCCCCCGGAAGGCGCCCGAAAAGTCTCTATTCGCCTAAACAAATATGAATTAGAGATCCAGAATAGATCTCTGGGGAGGCGAGGGTTCGCGTCTTCCCGATTAAGCATATTGAAACCAATATCAACTGAATTCCACCCCGGACAACTCAACATCATCATGGGGCCATCTGGAAGTGGGAAAACTTCGCTGCTTTGTTCGCTTGCTGGGAGACTAAAAGGCTCTTTTGGAATTCGATACCGTATTGGCGGTGAGATGTTTTATAATGGCGCGGCGCCTTCTGAAAACGTAATCAGGTCGGTCACTTCGTTTGTGACTCAAGACGATGATGCTCTGATGCCGTCTTTAACAGTACGGGAGAGCCTCCAATTTGCTGCTGGCTTGCGCCTACCTTCGTGGATGTCAAAGGAAGAAAAAAACCGGCGTGCGGAAGAAATTCTTCTGAAAATGGGCCTAAAGGACTGCGCAAACAGTTTAATTGGCAGCGACCTTATCAAGGGTATTAGCGGCGGGGAGAAACGGAGAGTTACCATTGCGATACAGATCTTAACGGACCCGAAGATTTTGCTCCTGGACGAACCGACATCTGGTCTAGATGCTTTCACGGCCACCTCTATTATCGAGGTTTTGCAAGGTCTGGCAGCCGAGGGGAGGACTCTTATTCTTACGATACACCAATCCAGATCAGATATTTTCCGTTACTTCCACAACATTTTGCTCCTGTCTAGGGGTGGCCACCCCGTCTACGCAGGAAAGGGGACTGAGATGCTATCCTATTTTGGGCAGCTTGGGTATCCATGCTCCAAAACTACAAACCCGGCCGATTTTGTTCTGGATTTAATCACAGTGGACCTCCAGGAGATAGCGCGAGAAACTGCGACCCGTTCAAGAGTGCAGTGTCTGATCTCAAATTGGGCAGAAATGCCAGCGGAATTAACTCGTCAAACATCGACGATTGCCACTCCTGAACAACTTGGAAGTCTTAAGAGACAAATCAACTCCTTTCATGTCATTTTCCCTTTGGTCCTACGTCGATCCCTGATTAATCTACGGAGACAACCCCCACTTATCGCTGCACGGACGATGCAAGTAGTTGGAATGTCAATTATCATATCGTTATTTTTTGCTCCTCTGCGAAATGACTATGAGGCCGTTCAGTCGAGGATGGGTATCCTTCAGCAGTTCGCTGCTTTGTACTTTGTTGGTAAGTGAAATCCGCGGGCCCTGCTTAAACCGGTGGTTTCTTTTCTTTTCTTTTCTTTTTTTCCACAGAGAGAGAGAGAGAGAGAGAGACAGTCAGTTAACTATAAGCAGGGATGTTACAAAATATCGCTATATACCCTAACGAAAGAGATGTCTTTTACCGCGAACAAGAAGATAACTGTTACTCCATCGAGGCATTCATTATACAGTACACGATTCTCGAAGTCCCCTTCGAAATTGCTTCCTCACTAGTGTTTGGCGCCTTAATGGCATTTGCTGTTGGTATGCAGCGGACGGTGGAGATGTTTCTCATCGCAGCCTTCAATTGCTTCTGCATTGTCAATTGCGGCGAATCGCTAGGAATCATGTTCTGCACGTTGTTCTCTCACGCTGGTTTCTCCGTCAACATTACGTCGATCCTTCTGTCCATCGCCAACATTCTCGGCGGCGTTATGAGCCTCAACATCCCCGCCGTTATCCAAGCGCTTAACCACCTATCCCCCATCAAATACGCGGTTGCGAACCTGGCCAGTTATTCGATGGCCAATCACCATTTCACCTGTGGTGATTCCCAGCGCATGCCTAGTGGCAACTGCCCTATAGAGACAGGTGAACAGGCGCTGAAGCTATATAATTTGGACAAGAACCCTGAGATGAATTTGATGGCGTTGGGCATATGCACGATCGTTTACCGGGTGGTTGCTTACGGGTTGCTGAAGGTAGCCAGATCCTATGGGTTTTGGGAGAGGGTTAAAGTGTTGTTTCTAAGGCAGTGAGGGGGAGACTGAAAGGCTAGGAAGCTACAGGAGTTGTGGTGGGATGAGAGATTATCTCCATTCATTCGTGAACATAATTGAGAATTGCAAGTGATTATGGAATATCCGTTTGGCCTGGTATGCCCGATGATCTGATTGGACGAAGCCGCCCATAAACCACGTGATAATATTTTAAATCACGTGACACTCGAACTACTGGCCCCGGGGATCTAGCCAATCAGAGCATCCTAGAAACGCGAGTGAATGACCGTAAAGGGCTTGGTCGGACTTGCCCAGGTGCGGTGCGACTTCCACGGTCGAAAGAAATTATACGCGCGCGCTAACGGCGAGCCTCAGCACGTTTCCCTCCCCAAACCCCGCTGAGATAAACTCTCTTGAGTCTCGAGCATTGGATGAATGGCACGCCGTGCACTAGTTGCTCGGCGAGAGACCCACCTCGGCAGCTTAGCACACGATGCTTAGTCATCGCCATATGGCCGATTTCCATTCCACGTTGTGCGGGAGTCAAGAACAGTGTGCGGTGGGGCCGTGGCTGGTTGCGGGCCCTCGACCCGTGGGAAAACAAAACCTTCCCCAGCCCTTTAATAATGCTGGACAATTACCGAGAACAGGGTTAACCATCAAATAAATGGAGAAATAGCATGGGTTGGCAAAAGGAAAATGCCTCAGAGAAATTTAATAGGCTCGAATCGCAAGGCGGCTGTGGAAGGATAGCTTGCTATGAGCCTAGATGCCAAGGATTGCTCACTTCATTTCGTCATCCCGCCATGTCTTGCATATGACATGCATGCGATAAACTGCACGACGGTGTCATGCATTTATGACATGTTTTTAGTGTTGATCAAGGGCGCTTAAACATGCGGTGTGGGAATTTGCAAAGTGCACTACAATCCCACGAGAAAAACTTAAAAAGGGAGTGCTTTTTTACACCGATTTGGATTATAGATATTGTTGCCCTGCATAGGGGCGGGTGAGAAGGATTGGTCTGGACTCCTGAATCGATTTAGAGGGTGGCTATCTGACATTCTCCCGACCCACCTGCCCCCCACCAAACAAAAAAATAAAAAAGTACAGATTAGACCCTAATTGAATTAGGGCTTTTTAACTCTCGAATTCACTTTTATGTGCGAGAGATAAATTGTCCGATGATTGAGTTTTTCAATTTCTGAAGAATAGCCAACCAGAAAGTGCTTTTGTTTATTTCCTTCCTGGAATGGTGCGAGAGTTCGAGAGATATTGGCCGTGACGGCTCCCCGCTGCAGCAAACCTCGTTGCTGTCCAGCTACCCAACGCCGAACGCATTCGAGGGAAAGTAGCCTTCGGCGAGAATACAGCCTTTGGTTGAAGTAATTTAACCACCGCATCGAATGAATTTAGTCTGACCAATGCTTGTTAATCTGTCTGGCTGTTTCGAAAAGTCGGAATGGGCTGGACAAAGTTTGGAGGTCTATCCAGCAGCTGGAAGTTGGGTCAGTGATCGGGCAAAGGAATCTGAGGGTAATAATTAATTGTCCTTCCCGCCCAATCTACTGTACCTCAGCGCAATGTCCCTGAGTTGCTATTATCACATCTTCTGTATAAGCTTGAGTACCCGTGAAAAAAATAAAAAAAAAAAAAAAAAAAACTAGAAGGGGTGTGGGACTATCCGCTACATCCAAGATAGGCAGGACATTTGAAAATATAAACTATGTTTTCCCGCTAAAGGTTAGCGCCGATTCCACGACGGGTTTTCGCAAAAAATTCAAAAAAAAGTAAAAAATAAAAAAATAAACAAAAAGGTAAAAGGTATTTTTTTGACGTGATCTCTGTTATCAAATATACGCAGTGCTTTGATATTCCCGCTTTTCAGGTATCCTTTGTAAGATACTTTTTTGCCTTGTAGCGATGTTGCTAAAGGGACGTGCATTGGACGCGATCAACATGTGGCTGACCACGCCTTACCGTAGAAATTTTTCCAGCCACAAAATGAATGAACTACGCAGGGCTGGTCGGAACAATCTAGCTACCCATAATTTTCTGGAACATACAAACCCCAATTCTCGTTTCCACCGACCCATAATCAGCCCCTACGAGGTGCACCTCTTCTTTCTGCCTGGGCGTCGGTGGATGAGCAATGCGAGGTCCATCCATGATTTCTTGGCTCGCCAGGGGTTCAGGGGTTTGATTGAGCGACGGGAACCCCCCCCCCCTTCTGCCGTTGAGTTTTTGAAACTTTTTCGCCTGACCCACACTTCGTGCGTCTGGGCTTTGAAACAGGGCACCGGAAATTTGGGGGTTTTGTTTTGACTTTTTCCGATCCAAACTTTAGGCATGAGGCCAGCCTGAACTCTAATTATTGGTTTGTTATGGCGGCCAGAGTTGATGGAAATTAATGATGGTTCCCAAAAAATCGCAAGCAGGGGGGGGCCCCGTTCTTCAAAGCCTCTTAGAATACCAGCACGACTCTGGGCACAGTGCAATGGGGTGATGCCTACTGAGGAACAACTAAGTGTGTTGCGGGGATCACATAAGGCTAGTGCAATTGCTCACGATATGATATAATGATGTGAAACAAGGGGACCTCTAACCCCGTATGTTTTAAAAGTGAAAAATGGTTTATTTTCGTATCAATCCTTCAGAGAGCACGTCGATTTAATTGCCATGGTGCGTATCTAACGCACCAGATTGATATAACATAAGTAAAATATATCGTCACGCGGGCAACATGAATTGCACTAAGAAGTCCAATGAATTTTATACCCTTCAACATCCCCATTAAGGGGGGAAAAAAAAATTTGAACAAGGCATATAGATAGGTAGGTCCAAAATGGGATATCACACAAATCAATTGTGAAGCATGACAACATGCATCGTACTAGCGATGCAAGTAGAATATGTATAATATGGGAATATATACATATAGAAGTGAGTAATAAGGACCCATTTGCCAAACGAAGGGGAATATTGCACCATAGATCATATCCAAAGGAATGTAAATAGAAACAGCCGCAGGCGTTACAGCGCTTTCGAGGGTCTCATTCTAGAAACTGGATTCGCGCAAGATGGCGCCGTTGCACTTAATAAGCGCAGAGGGTTAAAACGAGAACGGCAGTGGAACTGCATGCATGAGTCGCCCAATTGTCATCTGGATGGTTGTAGACTTGATTACAGGGTGCGTTGCTTGGGGGGCAATGGACTTCTGGGCAGCTGCTGTTGGTGGTGAGCTTGTAGCCCTTTTTCCGGAACGGATCGCCGTTAATATTTGACACATCGTACCACACCGTGGTATTGACGAGGGTGTACTCGAACTGGGTGATGTTCTGTTGGGTAGGGTCGTTGGAGATTTTCAAGGAAACACCACCCCATGGAGGGTTACGAAAATTCTCATCGTAAGTGCTATTGGGCCTGATCGTCTTCATCGGCGTTGAACCTCCTCCGCCGACTGACCACAGATAAACCGGGCCCTTGCAGTGGTTGCCAACAACGGCTTTCCCTGCCAAGATGCTTGGAATAAGAGTAGCGAATGCGGTGACCGCAGTGATAACAGATTTGATGTACATGACGAAGTAAAGCCTTGAGAACGGATGGACTCGGGTCGGACTATCGTTATATAAGGATAAAGAAAGTAAACTCTGATAGCTTAATAAATGATTGTAGGAATAAGGATAGGCATTAGTTTAAGCATCCAGGAATTCGATGCGGGATCTTTGAGGTACTTATAAGCAAGTCCCCTCCCTCAATTATGGTAACATGAACCCTTCGGGTTCCAGGGAAGGACTCCACAAAAGAGCGCGTTCAAACCCACCAAAGCCATTTTCCGTCGGAAGATCTAAATAACCTTTTTAACCGACAGTAAACGGAGGGTACGGTGCCTAGCTATTTCCAGGATTCATTCCAAGGGTAACTGGTCCCTAGAGGGTTTAGACGGAACCATAGGACAAATTTCCAGTGGAATGCGAACAGTGAACCATAGAAATGCCAGGAACGGCCGCAACCAGATTGGTAGAGTGTAGCTTATCGCTGTGCACGGGCTGGTCCGAAGTTAAACAAAAACTTTGATCCAAGGATCTTTGCCCCATAGATATACGGGATGTCCTCCCTAGCCACACCTTGCCATTAGGCAAAGCGCATTGACTGCAATTTTCATCATGGTCAACGCATGATAGATTGGTAGAAAAACTGGGAAGAATGATCGAGCGTGTCCCCGCTTGTAGTAACTATGTACCAACAATGCCGAACCAAGTCGCGCGAGAGAGAAATGAAGTCACCTAGATAGGGTGAACGAAGTCTCGGTATGGATTGGGCATATAGAGCACCTCACATCCTTTGTACTGCATGTCCGGAGCCGATTTGAGAAGTGCCCACTAAAATTTAGCGCCCTAAAAGGAGTTGTGTGGTTTATTAACAAATTACTAATACATCTTCCTGTGCTTTCGGACAGTTAGCGTACTTTTTCTGCCGGTGTTTTCGGCCAAATCACAGCGGTGGGTTGACGATGCTGTTGCTAAATGTAATGTTCTTATGCCTCGATCCCTCAGATGATAGTTAAATGTCCACTATTCAAATGTCGGTTTCTTATTAGTCTCTGTGTAGAGCCTTCCAAATGTTGGGAATCACACCGAGAACTCCCAGGCTCCATGTCGGCTGTTGCGATGCCGATAGTTATCAACCGCAACAAGGATACTTCAGAAGCCTGATATCATAGATTTGAGCGTCATGAGGCAGGGTCAATGTGACTGGGATATATATCCGCACCCTGTCTGTTGAAGACGGTATCTGCCCTGGGGTGAAGGGTAGTTTGAAATAGCACTTCTTGAAGGCTTGTTGGGTTGTTTTTGAGGCTCCTTTTATTGGTCCAAAGCGTTGGCCATCTGAGTGGGTATATTGGTTTGTTATGCTGTGTGCGGGCCGCCCAGGGCTGCAAGGGGTAAGAGTCTATATGGTAATCAGCATCATTAAATAAGAAGAATTGAGCGGTGGTTGGGTGGGGACGTGTCTAACATTTTCAGCGTTGGAACCTCCGAAAATTGAAACAGGATAGCTAGGAGTTATCTTACAAAGCAAACGATGACCGTGAGATGGTGCCAATAGGGAATCTTCGAAATAGATTTCTTGTTGATTTAGCTATTCAGCCCAAGCATTTTTCGTTCCAGCCTTCTAACCGTGTCATCATGCCCTTACCTCAGTTCAGGCCACAGATGGGTTGCACGTATCGGGAATCTTAGCACTGCGTAGCCTTCCTCTAGAATGCGGTACTACTTGTCCGTCTGCACATCCCACTAGATGTCTTTCCGCGTTGTGCTGGAAATAGCAACCTTGGAAGGCATCGGCTTTGCATTTTCCACCTTGCACCGCGGATTCGGGCAGAGGTGACTGAATGAAACATCACCCCAATTGGTGAAATAGTTAATGAACTCATGCCAGCTGAGCTTGCAACCACTCGCCTGGCTATTCAAATGGTAAGTTTCAGTTATAAAGGGATGAAAGTTGTCACGATCCCTGGGGGAAAAGCCGGCGGGCTTCGGGTCATTGACGTGGTTATTTTCCCTCTGGAAGCTCGCTCTGTTCAGGTTAAATTCCCATTCTAGGATGACGAATGCTTCCCACCTCATTTAAATTGGAGTAAGTTCTTTCAGGATGCCAGAAGCCCCGGGGATACTGCTGTCGACAGGGGCTCTGCATATGAAGACTGTCGCGTCTACCCCACACTAAAGCATCCATCTCAAAATTCAATATGCCAAGCAACTAATACATCCTTGTATATATAGTACCTACTGCCTCATGATACGACAATGTGCGTAATCCATCCACGCAAGTGCAGTAACTATAAATAAGTCTTCACTGAGAATTTCTAGCAGGCATTGCCAAATTTCAAAACCTAATGATCCCCGAAAAAGGTGTGCGAAACCGGCCAGCCAGCACAGAATATGATAGTGATCAAATACTAGCGAAAGCTAGCATTTCGGATGTCGCTAGCACCCCGAATCCAAACTCATCGGTTGGCAGTATCGCAGTTCGCCCTCGGTAACGGGATGATACGTATGGACTTAGCTTAAATCTGGCAGGTTGTGGCCTAAGAACAATTCAGCGGACGTGGTACGCCATGCTTGCCTTTTGGAAGGGCAACGTATGCGAATTGAATATCACAGGACTCCGTCGAACTGTTAGTTTGCAATCGATGACATCGAAAGCGAGTGATTGTATGTTTAACTGTCAAAGCCATGTAAATAATTTTTTGTTTATTAACATTCGTGGTATGTATGGTTGGGTCGATCCGGGACTTCAGGAACTGATAAATTATTCAATCATTTGCAACCGGGAGGCCACCTTTATATGTTGAGTTTCGAAGTGGGACTTTATTCGGGCGATGGTACATTGAAAGGGGCGCAAAATGTTGTAATGGTAGTATTTCCTTTGATCGAGACAAGCAGCAAGTTTGGCAAACCGTTGAATGTGGAGGAGACTTGGTGAGTAAAGATGAATTAGACGGGATTTAGTGATGGATATTAGAAACGATGAGTATAAGCTATGTCATTAGAATATAGACAGAATTGAAAAAAAAAACCAAGGAGAGCTACGTTCCCAACAAGCCCTGTTTTTTCCCTACATTTTGTTATTTGTGGCCAAATCAGTTTCCATGCCGAACTGGGATGGAATCAAGAAAGGGGGCCTATTCAACTGACCTTCCCTGAAATGTCACCTTTCCCCGTACCCAAAAGATAACAATTAACCCAAAGAAATTCGCCCGTACGAGCAGCTCTATCTTCACGCCGCTTTATAAGCGTAGAAGCCCGCTCCTCTTTACGTAGGTACTCCGTGGGACAGGAAAGAAATCGAAATCCTCGTCGATGGTGTGAAGAGCAATTAAGTTCACGACTGATCGAACCTTATATCTATGAGAGGATGCACTGCTACGTATGGAAAGAAGCCAGTATCAGAAGATTAATCGGATTTCGGCCATCCAGGTAGTGATTTTGATTTCGATTTCGAGTTTGTATTCTCCCAACCCCCTTTCGTTCCACTTCCCGTCGTTTGTCGTGAGTCTAGTCAGTTAATGTAATGTAAGTGTATCCTTGTGATTGACTATAGGTTGGCATCGAAATTTGACAGGAATAAATTAAGCGTATAACCGTATGGGTAATGGGAGATAATTGGCAATTTAAAAAGGGAGAGGTCCCGAAAACTTTCAAAAATGTCATATTGACTCACGGCATTGGTCCTGCAAGTTAAAATTGACCGCTAAGGGTTTTGTCCCTTGCGCATGGGCAATGTAGAAAAGTACATGATAATTTCAAAGAGCAGGACGCCAGCCTATGTCAATCAGAAATCTATGATTACCGGGAAGAAAAACAAATAACTAAGAGCGCCCAACAAAATCGACTATATGCCGAAGATATGATCGTTCCAGTTCGCACCAATTGCGGAGCTCTAGAACATGCCGACCATTTTCAGGCGTCAAAACCAGTTGTGGTACCGTAGGGACCGTCAATATCATCCGTTTCAACTGATTGGAGCATATTCTTCGTACGCGGTCCAGTGTATTTCCTGCAAATAATAGAAATAAACGGTCAAAATTCGGACGTTTCAAATCAAGACGATATAACATGAGCCAATGGGAATCGTCGCAACCACATACCGTCTGGCAGACAGCCACCACCACGAGAGTGAAAAGAGAGCTATGAATCCGGCCACACATATTGCATAATTCCTGTCCACTGTTAGAATTACGATATATCGTGGGTCATCTTCGAAGATTGTCCTTACATATTCTCTGCCGTGATTGGCCTTGTTGGCGGGAAGAAAAGAACCACACTGATAAAGAGAACCCAGGCAATAGAAATCATATTTAAGGGTGTCCCCCACTTCCCAAGTGTGAACGGCCCTTCGATAAATCGCACTTTATTTTTATATAATTGGTGCGCTAGGATGACAGCAATATATGATAAATCAAGCGCAGGTGCTGTGATATTGAATATGGCTGTAGCAGTCTGTGTAGATCCAATGGCAATGCAATTGAGGCAAATACTGAAGAAGACCACAAACCATACGGCGTTGACAGGTGTCAGTGTATATGGATTTACTTTTGCAAAAAACCTATTGAGTGTTAATCAGCGATTCCACCCATGTGAAAAAACCTTCAAAAGATCAAGGAGAAGAAGTTCCGTACTCTGAAAAAGGAAGCGCATCGTCGCGTGCGAAAGCATAGGTCATTCGCGTATCAGCAAGCATGGCCGAGCAACCTGTGAAAAACTGAACAAGAATGCTGAATGAGAACATTATAGTCCCACCAGTTCGGCCACCAGCATTAAGAAAGATCTGGGCAGCCGGTAGGCCTGTGGGCGAATCTAATATTTTATCCAAGTCGGATAAACAGAAGCACATCGTCACGGTTAGCATCCATCCAAATATCCCAGACACAAGGATGGCTGATTGAATAGCAATTGGGCCGCGTATGGCAGCGTCATGGGTTTCTTCCGACATGCTGAATTGTCACGGCTCTTAGCAATTGATCAGTTAATAGTACTCTGATGCAGGCCACTGACTGAGTCGTTCCATCATAATCGGTCATTGTCCAAGCCACGGATATAAAGCCCAACAGGAAAGAGAACGCTTTAGAATTCCATCCAGAGCCATTTGTCACATTTGTGAATACCCATTTAGCGGATTGTTTCTCGGGAGTAAGGACTAAGAGCGAAACACAGATAGCAATGGACGCGAGTACTATAATTTCAAATAAGATAGAGATCTTCGCCAAAACCGAGTCCGGGGTTCATACTGTTTACTGGGGCGAACCACAATACGATTCGGTGTAAGCTTTTGGTGCTTAATGAACACACGATCCCCATTACGCATAATAACCCAATGGACAAAAGGACAGTTTGGAGAGCACTCCTGTGCGACTGGTTAGTGAAATGCAATTGAAATCTTCTGATAAAACGGAATATAGCTACGAGACATGTAGCACGACGTAGGGAGACGATTCGAAATGAATCAGACGGTTAGTTAGAGGAAAAGGGAAAACCTACGGAGAATATGAGTATTCCCCGTTTTCTAGGGAGGAGTTCATGCTTGCGCATGCCAGCAGCATCTGGCTTACGGTGTATGCAACGCTAGATACCCCAGCAGTCTGTCCCAGCAGGTTGCACCAACCTTGGATCCAGGAAAAAATAGCAACCTGATTGGGAGGCACAACATGCTTTGTTACAAAATACATACCGCCCGCTGTGGGATACGCTGAGACAAGCTCAGCGACAGAACTGGCGATACACATTGCCATAAATGATCCTATAAACCAGCACCATACAGCCGTAGCAGGGCCGCCCGCAGCCAAAGGTGGACCAAATGTCGCTGGGACAGAACCGAGGACCCCGAGAATGGAAATCGCATATGAAACTGTAGACCATTTTGAGAATTCCCTCCTCAGCTCCTGGGCGGATTGGTCAGAAGACTCAGGCTCTAACTAGACGCATATGAGAGTCGAGTAGGTGTTGCAACACACACCTGTTTGTACCCTATCCGTGCTAATAGTCGTTCATCGTCGTCTTGTATAGTAGCCATTGTTGAACTACCTCCAACAGCACCTTTGGAGGAGAACTGCTTCTGGCCCTTTCCTGGTCCAGTGTATCCACTCGATTGCTGTTCATCTAAAATCAGAGACATATTGGACGATGGATTGCGCAAAGCGATGTTAAGGGTTGACCAAAAACAGATATGAATGAATAAATGAATATTACACAACGCGGGGAAAAGGTGATTGATGTATCTGATGCGACATGATGATGATGATGGCTTTTATCGGGCTCTCAACTTACCACCTTTCAACTTCAGAGTGTCCTTCTCTCGTCAATCAAGAGATGGCTGCAGGAATAAAAACAACTAATGCTCCAGGCCATTTCGGGTAGCTTGGGGGGATAGTAGAGATGACTTCGGCATCAAAGCATTTGGCCAGATTTCAATCCCTGGAAATCTTTGACATGGCAGCATCTCCCTTTGTATGAAAAAGCAATTCAGTCTGGCTCGCGATTGGAGAATATATGTTGGTGTTGACAGGGGTTCTTGCTGGCGCATGGATTTCGCGCGATCGCAGCATTTTGCTCACCCTGGTCCCGTACCACCTCCACTGGGAAGTGTGGCTTCGGCGCTGGTATTTCGAAAATGGAGACTCGAACGCCTGGATATGAAATTGAGGCTTGCTCCTGCATTCCGTGCTACTGCCTTTTCGCGAAAGCTGTGGAGAGCAAAATTCTGCCCAATCGATGCTCCTCCTGATGCATCACAATTGTTGAGCATCTCGCGGCCATCAACCGCACGAGTGATGAGCCATCTGGGCCAAGAAGAATACTAGCAACCACAACGAGATGATGGCAGGTTATACAGCACAAAATTTGTCGCAGCTCTCGGGGATTAAACGATTCCAGGAGCCAGCTGCCGATAACATAAACATCTTTGATAGAGTCCAATAGTCCAAAACGAGAAGTGACCAATTCATGAAAAGAAAGAATTTTAGGTTAACTGACGGATAATAGTCAGCCAAGTATGGAGGCGTATTTCAAAAGTTCGTTCGCGCCCTAGTAAATTACCTTGAATTTATATTTCACATCGTGGAAAAGCCAATAGGCTTCCTGCATTGGAATAATCAGTCAGGTTTGGTTTCGATGCGAATTAATCACCGATAACCCTACCAATGAGCATAGGTGACAACTCCGTATCGTCTGTATAGTCAACAGCCCACCTCGACGGGCCGCCGAAACCTGACGTCATTCCACTGTCCACGAGTTTTTCGTTTTCCTCTTCATGAAGAAGAAGAAGAAGAAGACTGATCGTTTTTCTGAGGAACGATTATTCGGATTCTGAATATTTACGACTTTGCAACCGCCACACGACATGCTGCTCAGGGAAATTCAGCTTCTTTTGGGGGGGGGAAGAAATCAACTTTCTATCCTTTCTCCTCTAGCCCAACTTCAACATCATTACTCGCTCCCCCTAGCTATCATGCACTGAATAAATTCTCGGCATCCCAGGAACGCATTTTATATTCCGTCCTTTTCTTCGAATTTAAAGTTTCAAGATTATCACACTTAAGTGTACTACGAACCGATGTCGGAGAAAGAAGTAATTACATCATCTTATGGGATGAAGATGAACATTTGACTACATCTTTGCAGATTGTCTTGAGGAGTTTTTCCTCCCCTGCTCTTATTTTGTCGAAATATCTATCTGGCGAGCGTCTTGGTTGACGTTGACTGGGACGGAAACTGTCAGCATCAAAATCAACAAATGCCCCCGCGGTCTGGAAGAAGAGGGCGTTGAAATAGCGGTCAAAAGAGATGCGTTCTCCCTCAACCGTCGACATTATTGACAAACCGACGAAGGTGTCTTGATGGCTTAGAGCTAGCTGGTTCCTCGAAACTGGGTACTGTTCTCAGTTGGCATGAACTGGTGGGTCGAGCGACTTGACTTTCATCACAAGGCCCACAGCTGATGGATGTTGATAGGAGAATAACTGGATTTATTTTCTTGCTAGTATGGATTGTTCTTCTCCTCGTATTTTCTCTTCTTCTCTTTTTATTTTTATTTTTATCATATGCAGAAATGTTGAGAACACCAGACATTTGACTTTGAACCGATACCTAAATGGTCTTCAAAGAAGGCCTAAAACTCGTATTTTGAAATGGAGTCATGCATATGCGAGTCACTTTGTCTGTGCCGATGCAGTTGGTTGGCAAATATCAGCACTAAAAAGTTGCCGCAAAATGAACAGATACGGAACAATCTTGAAATGCCAGGAAGGATGTTTCTCCGTTTTTTCAATGAAGAATTTGAATGACGATGCCCACTCTTGTCCAGTAGCAGCGCTAATTGAATCCGCGATGCTACAGGAATTTGGCTTACAACTTGAATCCATGTGGTGAAAACATCGCTGGAAACTAGAGAAACATTCATGAAAGCAGGAGAAGAGTTCATTCAACATTGGCATTAACTTCTTTTTATTCTCTTTTACTTTTGAAACAAGGTTATGCTTATTGATCCGTTTCCGTCAAGCATTGTTCGAGTATCTTGGTATGCACGGGCCGGCGCATATATGCAGTCAGCAGCACATGCCTCGTGGGTCCATTTCATGCTGCAGAATAACCCGTTTGAATTAAAATTGAATCCGAGCTGGGCAGACTTCGGCGGAAACGGCAAGTCTCTCCGTTCTGCTGTGTCAGGATGCCGTAAGTACGAGTTCTCTTCAGAGAATTTCGCAACGATCCCGAATCTGATAGAGGCTCGACGTTTGAAAATATCGTCATCATCGTTGACGAAGTCCATGAGAAGAGCTGTGACACGTTGTGATATAATTCCCCTTGCCCCAGCTCGACACAGTCGATCCTCGCTATTTCGTATGTGCAATGCACTGTATCTTCTCTGTTCTGGGCCAGCCAGGTCGTCATTAAGCACCATGGACCTATCTCCACGGTCTTAGCGCCTTCAATCAACCGCGGATGGACGGGCCGGTTTTCTACCACTCCTTCCACGCTAAATCTGGTTCGCCGGCGAGCATTGAACATGGCATATTATGTAGAGTTATACCAACACGCCATTGAGTTAGTGAACGGTTATAATAAGAATTACCGCAGAATCTTCAGTTGCCACACCGGACGAAGGTTGAAACTGGCAAAAGCTATAATTGTTTCCTAAAGTAGTTTAGTATAGTTAACTCGTTCGTTAGTTGTGCAAGCTTGTTGCTGACATAACTCGTGAGAGATGCAAACAAGGCAAACACAACCCATCGCGTGAAAAGAGCCGCGTCCAGCTCTGTTCACCAAGTGAGCGGAAAATATCAAAGGATACAACTTATCTTCATTTTGGGGCGCATCTAACGAGCACCAACGTCTGTACGGTTTGGCTCAGCTCCTAGCCAAATGTATATTCAAGAAGCTGTCTTTAAATGACAATCATGCGAGGCTCTTAACCCTCCACTTCCCCCAATTTGACCCTTTCCCGATTGACCTTCCCCAAAGGTTCATCCCGCTCAAGAGATCCGGCTGCGCTGCTACGAAATCTAACGGAGATTGGTTCCAGCCTCCGATCTTCACGAAGAACATGTTTACCTTTACTCCTTTGCTTGGAGCGCAATCATCCGGTTCGAGAGCCGTCCAATCGATACTAGAGCTCGATGGTGGAGTGAAGATACTGGTGGATGTTGGGTGGGATGAGAGTTTTGATGTATCCGCTCTTGCGGAACTAGAAAGGTATGTTCTTCTTGGATGCCTCACTCAAGCAAAAGGCAATTATCGTAAGAGGGGCTTCGTCTATATTCTACCTCTTTGGGCTAACCTCTGCGTCCTACTTGCGCGAACGATTAGGCAAATCCCTACGTTGTCGCTCGTTTTGTTAACCCACGCAACGCCCTCTCACATTGGTGCATTTGCGCATTGCTGCAAAACTTTTCCTTTATTTAATCAGATTCCCATTTACGCAACCAGTCCAGTCATTGCCCTAGGCCGCACACTTCTTCAAGACCTTTATTCTTCCGCACCCCTTGCTGCCACCTTTTTGCCGAAAGCTACATCGGCGGATTCCTCTCCATCGTCGCCAATATCCAGTAGAGCTGAAAATGTAGCAGATACTGCAAATATAGACCATAACGACTCCCCTAGAATACTTTTGCCTCCACCCACGACCGAAGAGATTGCCCGTTATTTCTCACTAATCCACCCCCTGAAATATTCTCAGCCGCACCAACCTTTACCATCCCCGTTTTCTCCCCCACTCAACGGCCTGACCCTCACAGCGTATAACGCTGGTCATACTGTTGGAGGTACCATATGGCATATTCAACATGGTATGGAATCTATTATCTATGCGGTCGATTGGAACCAAGCAAGAGAGAACGTCATTGCTGGTGCGGCCTGGTTTGGAGGATCGGGCGCAAGTGGGACAGAAGTAGTTGAGCAGCTGAGGAAGCCGACTGCGTTTGTCTGCAGCACAAGGGGCGGGGATAAGTTTTCCCTTTTAGGTGGGAGGAAAAAAAGGGATGATCTACTCATGGATATGATTCGGAACTGCTTCTCCAAGGGTGGGACGGTTCTTATACCCACCGATACAAGTGCTCGAGCCCTTGAGTTGGCATATGTTTTGGAACACGCGTGGCGAGAATCAGCAGAGACTGCGGACGGAGAGGATCCATTGAAAAGCGGAGAACTTTACCTGGCTGGCAAAAAGGGTTATGGGACAATGCGGCTCGCTCGAAGTATGCTTGAATGGATGGACGAGGGAATTGTCCGTGAATTCGAAGCCGGCCATGGAGGCGATCCTGTCGCTGCCGGTGGTAAAGGCCGTCAGGACGGCCCAAATCAACGAACTCCGTCAGCAGCCATGACAGACAAAAGAGGCGATAGCTCATTCAAAAACCTCGGTCCCTTCACATTCAAACACCTTAAAATTGTGGAACGCAAGGCCAAACTAGAGAAGATACTAGGATCAAATACGCCTAAAGTAATTTTAACGTCTGACACATCACTAGATTGGGGATATTCCAAGCATGTTCTGCAGAAAATAGCTTCAGGATCTGAGAATCTTGTTATCTTGACTGAATCATTCTCGGTATCTCCTAATAAGCAGATGGTGGATAACTTTCGTTTTAGACCCTCTCTAGCTCATGAAATATGGACAATTTATGAGGAGCGAAAGGATGGGGTTTCTTCAGAAACGACTGTTAACGGGGAGCTTCTGGAGCAAGTGCACAGTGGTGGGAGGCTGCTCACTGTCACTGATGTTGAAAAGACTCCTCTGGATGCCAATGATCTGCTCGTGTATCAGCAGTACCTTGCAACAAGGAGGCAATTACAGAATACTGCTCAGGGAAGGGGAGACTCTGGATTAGAAACCACGGCTGATGCACTTGATGATGGGTCCAGCTCGTCCTCATCAGAGGACTCAGATTCAGAACAGCAAGGAAAAGTGCTTAACTTTTCAGTTTCCCTCGCTCATTCCAATAAGAATAAGCTAGGTTTAAGCGATGCCGACCTGGGGGTGAATATTCTCTTACGACGGAAAAATGTTCATGATTACGATGTCCGTGGTAAAAAGGGCAGAGAACGGATGTTTCCTTACGTTGCTTCAAGAAAACGTGGAGACGAATACGGCGAGTTTATACGACCAGAAGAGTACCTTAGAGCCGAGGAACGTGAAGAAGCCGAAATACAAACAAAACGTGGGCCGGATGGACGTATTCAAACGATGCCCGGTCAGAAGCGAAGATGGGGTGATGTTAGCGCTAACGGAAAACAACCAGCAATCGTTCCAAATAAACGGCAGCACATATCACCTGGCTCTCGGGATTTACATGATGCTAGCGGAAATTTGGTTATTCCTGATGGAATCGGCGCCAACGGCACTGAAGATGCTAGTGCGTCTGAGGAAGAAGTTGAAGAACAGCACATCGAGGGGCCCTCGAAGGTTACATTTACTTATTCTACATTGGAACTGAATGCCCGAATTGCCTTCGTAGATTTCTCTGGATTGCATGACAAGCGTAGCTTGGAGATGCTCATTCCACTTATACAACCCAGGAAATTGATTTTGACCGCGGGTCTCAAGGAAGAAACAGAGGCTCTTGCCGCTGAATGTCGGAATCTATTAACAGCGAAGGCTGGTTTAGAGCTGGGGTCATCCAGTCAGTCCGTTGTGGACATCTTCACACCGGTGATTGGTGAAACAGTGGACGCCAGTGTGGACACGAATGCGTGGATGGTCAAACTAAGCAGTACGTTGGTTAAACGGCTAAAGTGGCAAAGCGTTCGAAGTTTAGGCGTTGTCGCTCTCACGGGAGAATTACGGGGACCAGAACCGATGGTTGCTGACGAAGATGGGCCGGGAATGTCTCAAAAGAAACAGAGGATGTTCTCGGAGAATGCTTCTAGCTCTGAGGGGATTGAGCAAAAGCAGCTTGTGCCTAGAAAACACTCTTTCCCTCTTCTAGATGTTCTACCGGTCAATATGGCTGCGGCAACAAGATCCGTCACTCGACCGCTTCACGTTGGAGACCTTAGGCTAGCTGATCTTCGCAAACTTATGCAATCCTCAGGCCACACTGCGGAATTTCGTGGTGAAGGCACTCTTTTGATTGATGGGTTCGTCGCCGTCCGGAAGTCTGGGACAGGAAAAATTGAAATTGAAGGCGCCGCTCAATCTGCGCTGTCGAACCGTTCAGCCTTGAAGCGCGATGAAGGGAGCTTTCTAGCAGTGAAGAGGAAAATTTATGAAGGTCTGGCAATTGTTGCTGGCGGATAATTTATTTGTCATTTCCCCTGTCATTCCACCAACAACGTTTCCCGGGGATTCCACTTTTTAAAATTTTCTTGTTGCATTGTTCCTGATCTCGTGTGTTTGGTTGATATCCAAATAAAATTCTCACGAAATCTAAAGATCTTTGGCATTGAATTTATTTAACAAAGTGTTTTATTATCTGCTGTTTTGTTGTTATTGACTTTCTCATTCACAGAACAAACAGGGGTTTGCACTGCTCACAAAGAGATTTCTTTCTTGTGTCAAGCTTTACCATTTTCACTTTTTGATACAAGTCAATTTGTGAGGATAAAGAAGATGTCTTTGCACGATGTTTTGATACGTGTGTGGGTGAAGCTGCCCACCGGTCAAATATTTGTATTATCACCTTTTACATTGGTTGTGAAGTTCTGGGTGTGTTTGCAAGAGCTCAGGCATGATTTTCATGCAGACTATAAATATCCATACGCTCCCTTTTGCCTGCCCCATTTTTCTTACTTCCTCCTTGAGGTCAAGAAGAGTCGGTTCTATATCCATATATATATAACACATAGGCACGCTTCATCTATGCATTGACATCAATATAGGTTGGTTCCCTAGTGCTCTTGGACTGCCACCGTCGATGCCCTTTACTGACATAAATAGCCATCTTCGCTGATCGTTCTGAGATAGCCTTATTGGTCAACCTTACATCCACACACATATATATCCACGTTTTACAATGGCTGAAATCCACTATTTAACCATGGATGGAGAACCTCCCAATGGAGGAATGCCCCCGAACTTGGGAACTTTTGCACACGCGCCACAGCCACAATTTCCTGCTCCTGGATTTCCAATGTTTGTACCAGGCCCGCCTTCACACGCGCCTGTTGAACAAGCCCCTCTCCAAGGATTTTTTGGACCAGCATTTTTCCCTCCAGGTATGGGCTCTCACATCCTCTCCAATTAGTCCATTGCCTTCCCTAATAACCATGCAGCCTTCCCTGCCAACATGTTTGCTTTCCAACCCCAACATGCACAGCAATTTGGTATGCAGGAACCTGCATTTAACCCTGGGGCCCCTGCCCCTCCAGGTCCCAACTACCAAAACCCGCACGGCGGTATTATGCCGGGCACAACCGATCAACCGCTTGTTCTGCCTGGAGGGCATGGATATATATTCCCACCACATAACACAACCATCCACTTATTCCGCTGCACAACTCACTACCCTTGGGATTCCCACGACGGAATCTTCGATTTCGTGACATACCAGGCTCCAACCAATATGACCGTGGCAGATCTTATTAGACAAATATGCCCACAGGGTGATGCTATAAGAGGCCGCGGACTCATTGAATGCCAGCAAGAGGTCTTCGGGGGTACGACCAGATTTACTAGGGGCGAAGAATATTTCATTGGAGAAGGGAAAGGAGAAGCTGCGGCCATGCAAGAGATGGTAGGCAAAACTCTCACAGAAGTTGGCTGGAATGAACACCGGAGGGCAAATGCAAATCCAGTTTGGCTGGCCAGCTCCCTCAGCTTGCAATGAACTCTTTTACCATTCCTTTTCGCTACCCACTTTATTATGCTTAATACTCGTTCTTATTTTTTTTTTCAAGCGTCTACGCAGCCTAGTGGACATTGAAACGCGGAGTTAGGTTACCCAGTTTCACCTTTGAAATCAAAGGATTTCAATTCTCTCCAGTTTTGTAAAATTACCCAGCGTGTTTTTGATTCTCTATGTGAGCCCCCCTATGCATAATTTTCGCGAATAGCTCTGTGATCATCTAGTTTCACTGATCAGGGTTTTCTTTGGTTTTTTGTCGCTTTTCTTCTTGTTGTTGTTTTCAGTTTCATTCTCGGTTTTATATTATTTTCCATATCCTGCGCATACCTATATACGTCTTGTTATGTTATTGCAGATTTTAACTCTGTTGGCTATCTTTGTTGCACTCTTTGTGCTATTTCTGTCTAGTGGACACAACCCCCCTCCACCCCGTATATAGCTTCTGTTTGAAGTTCTTTCCTTACGATAGAGTCTGGATAGCAATAGGAAGTCTAAAACCATTGTTTTTGTTCCTTTCATACACTCCACTAGCAATGCCATTATCTCCAGGGAAAAGAGGCTGATGAGGTATATATCACATGACTATCTCGGTCAAACGTAACTCCGGAGAGTAAGGTTCCCCAGCGCCATTCGATATGTGGTCAGTTTCCAGTCGCAGTCTGGGGGTAATTAATTACACGTTCGCCCACCGTGCTTTTCTGGCTATGATATAGCAGCGAGCGATTGCGGATACTCGCGAAGGAAGGTCAGAAGGCCCACTCGTTTATTTGTGGCGAACCCGCACCTGGCACAAACATGGCCGACTTCTCGACATATCATTCTTTAGGTCAGGGTGAGGAAGACATGAGGACGGCGGGTGCGCCGCCGCAGTTCAACCCTCCGATTGCTCAAGGGCACCCGAGCTACCAGCACAATAAGTCTCCACATGGGGATAATCCGTCCCCAATGGGCCCCATGGACTCAGCCGGATATTCGTCAGGATTGCCTGGGGAAACTCAAGGAGGAGATACAATGGGAGGATTATCATCTCAGATGGGCGGCTTAGGGATCAGTGGAGCCATGGGCGGAAGCATCCGTACTCACAAGAAAAAGGATAGACATGCTTATCACGATATTGGTGTGCCGTCTCCTACCTCACAAACATTCAATGGGATGGCACAAAGTGGGATTCAGCTTCAATCAGGAATGAACCAACAACTTCCACCGAGCTCTCCATATTCTCACTCAGCTTCTCCAGGCTCACAACAGCCCTTACAATCGGGACAGCCCTTTGGCGGGAGCGCTAAATTTTCTTCTGCTGGAGATGGCTCGGTTTCTACCCAAGGGAAGGTTGACCCTGAACAAGTTCCAGGCGTTCCAATTGCACGCGATGTTGCTGCACAATATTATCTCAACCACGTATATGCCACGATGGAACGTCACATACCCCCTCCAGCAACTGTCCCTTTCGTAGCACACGATCAAGGCAATTCCTCTCCAAAGTTCGCTCGGCTTACACTTAATAATATCCCTTCTACCCTCGAATTCCTCTCGTCTACCGCACTTCCTCTCGGTATGGTTCTCCAACCTCTTGCTCCCATAGACTCTGGCGAACAACCCATCCCTGTTCTAGACTTCGGCGACGCTGGCCCTCCCAGATGTCGAAGGTGCAGAGCATATATAAACCCCTTCATGATGTTCAGATCAGGCGGCAATAAATTCGTATGCAACATGTGTACCTTTCCTAATGAGGTACCACCTGAATATTTTTCGCCGCTGGAGCCGTCAGGGGTCCGGGTAGATCGCATGCAACGCCCCGAGTTGATGCTGGGAACAGTTGAATATATGGTACCTAAAGAATATTGGGGAAACGTTCCTGTAGGGCTACGATGGCTATTTCTGATCGACGTTTCACAAGAATCAGTAACTCGAGGATTTTTAGAGGCTTCTTGCGAGGGAATAATTGGAGCCCTGTATGGAGGTAGTAGCGATGACCAAGAAACACAAGACCAAAATACACGACCCGGAAAACTCCCTGCAGGGTCAAAAGTTGGAATAATTACTTTTGATAAAGAAGTACACTTTTATAACCTCTGCGTATGTTTGCTTACTTGTGTCTTCGTCTTAAATCTCATCTACTTACGAATGTTTATAGTCTCGCCTCGAACAAGCTCAAATGATTGTGATGACCGATCTTAACGATCCTTTCCTTCCTCTGAGTGAAGGCCTGTTTGTTGATCCTTATGAATCCAAGTACTAATGACCGCATCATATGTTCTACCTTTCATATTATACTAATTTGTCCTTAGGCATGTCATCTCATCACTATTAACACAAATACCAACATTATTTTCACATATTAAAAACCCAGAACCAGCGCTATTACCTGCCATAAATGCCGCCTTATCCGCACTGGAGCAAACTGGTGGTAAAATGATTTGCACGCTAGCAAGCTTACCAACATGGGGACCCGGCCGACTATTTATGAGAGATGATGGCAAAGGATCGGGCACTGATGCCGAAAAGAAGCTTCTCACCACCGATCACCCTGGTTGGAAAAGAACTGCAAATAAACTATCTGAGAGTGGAGTCGGAATTGACTTTTTCTTAGCCTCATGTGGCGGTGCTTATATGGACGTAGCTACGATCGGTACGTACCTCGCTCCCCGGTTTGGACGTCATATGCTAAGCATTCTTGCAATAGGCCACGTGGCTGCAGTTTCTGGTGGAGAGACCTTCCTATATCCCAACTTCCATTCTCCTCGCGATGTCCTGAAGCTGTCAAATGAGCTTTCCCATGCTGTAAACAGGGAAACGGGTTACCAAGCTTTGCTAAAAGTCCGATGCTCCAATGGACTTCAAGTCTCATCGTATCATGGTAACTACGTTCAGCACACTTTTGGTTCAGACCTGCAGTTGGGCAGTATAGATGCAGACAAGGCCTTTGGTGTTGTTTTCACGTATGACGGAAAGCTTGATACGAAGCTAGATGCTCATTTCCAAGCTGCGCTCCTGTACACCACTGCTAGCGGACAGCGACGAGTAAGATGCATCAACATCGTTGCTGGCGTCAATGAGGGCGGGATGGAGACGATGAAAGCAATTGACCAAGATGCTGTGGTCAATATAATGGCCAAAGAAGGTTAGTTTGGAATATGTCATATGATAGGAAGTAACGCTAATACCGGGTACAAAGCTGCCTCGAAAGTGCCTGATAAGTCACACAAAGATATCCGAGCCGGGTTAACTGAGAGGACTATCGATATCCTTGCGGGCTACCGAAAGAATTTCTCTCTGTCACATCCTCCCGGACAGCTTGTTTTGCCAGAGAATATGAAGGAGTTTGCCATGTATATACTAAGTTTGATAAAATGTCGTGCTTTCAAAGGTAAGTGTCAGCGTTTCAGCGACTGCCACCGTTTCCATTATCGGAACACGTACCTGGTGCTGAGTTAGTTACATGACAAGAGCTTCATTCTGACGTGAAAACAGCTGGCCATGAGACTTCCGATCGTCGGGTCCATGACACGCGTATGCTTCGTTCATTCGGTTGTAATGAACTTGCTCTTTATCTATATCCTCATATTATTCCAATTCATAATTTACGCCCAGAAGACGGCTTCGCCAATGAGCAGGACCAACTCCAAGTTCCTCCAGCACTCCGAGCATCCTTCTCACGCATCGAAGAAGGAGGTGCTTACCTCGTGGATAATGGCCAGATTTGTCTCCTTTGGCTTCATGCTCAAGTTTCCCCAAATCTTCTGGAGGACCTCTTTGGCCCTGGTAAAACAACACTACAGTCTCTTGATCCCAACATTTCATCCCTTCCTTTGCTGGAAACCCACCTGAATGCCCAAGTGCGGAATATTATTCAATATCTCTCCACCATTCGCGGCTCCAAGTCGGTAACGATACAGCTTGCTCGGCAAGGGATAGATGGCTCCGAATACGAGTTTGCGAGACTTCTTCTCGAAGATAGAAACAACGATGCTCAAAGTTACGTCGACTGGCTTGTGCATATTCACCGACAGATCCAACTTGAACTTGGAGGTCAGCGAAAAAAGGAGGAGGGCAGTGCCGTTGCCTCAGGGGTGGAAAATTCTTTGTCTGGATTGAGTGGGTTAAGGCCCCCATATTGGTGATTTCGACGGATTTTGCATACACAATCATGGATTTATGATTTCCACAAGTGAAAATTCATTATTATTTTCCATCCTTGATTTCTATCATGTAAGGGGAAAAAAAAGTGTGAAGAGAAAGAGACGGGTATTTCTGTGGGCCTTAGAGAATGAAAATGGATGCACTTCTTGATACAGTACCTCTTTCTCTATTTTTCCTGCAATAGATTGTCAGAAACTCAACCGATTCCCTTACCATACAGCGAAACTTATCATATCTACTGATTATGCATGCAGAAGCACCCGCTAGCGAATAGTGTGATTCCAAGCCATCCAGACATATCGCCCTGATCATGAACAATTTCCTTAGCGTTTTAACATGATCGCTATATCAACCCTCTCCCACTCATTGAATGTCTTCTCTCTGTCTCCTCTCTCCTCTCGATGTGGAGCTCCCTTAGCTCCTTTCCCTGAGCCTCCGAACCGGCTCTAAATCTTCACCCGGTGACCATACCATTTCCCTTCCTGATACAGTTTTGCTCCGGTATGGGCCGGGCTCAAACTGCACTGATTGATGTGTAGACTGGATTCCCTATTGTCATGTGTGGTCAGCAGTAGACTGCGGCTGGTTGTGATTTTTGATTCAACTTCATTAATACCATTTTCTCTGTTGTATACATGACCATCTAGTTTAGGTTCCGCACTTCCCCTGCAGCTCAACAGAAACATGATCTCCCTCAGTGCGCCTCAAATCATTCATTAAATATTAGATTTTGTCTATGATGAAGGACGATAGTTGGGTGTAATATGAAAACGCTAGTTCTGAGAAAGCCTATTCCATAGTTTAGAGCTATAATATAGAAATTTCAAGATGTTCGAGGTTGGGCTGACTGATTAAGCTTTTCGGGCCGAGCCGCCGCTCACGTGGATTTAGTTACACGCCAGCCTTGATTTGTTAACCTATCTGTGTGCAAATTCCCGATCTAAGAATATGCTTTTACCCACAGAAACATAGAAGAGGCTTCAACTAGTATTATATACTTTAAAAAAACCAGCTCCATTCAAGACCAAAGAGCGATAAACAAACAAACTCCATGTTTCGCCCCAAGGTTGCCAAAATCCTCCTGTTCCCCTCACAAACCAATTCCGTCCGTTCCTATGATTTAATATCTTCTTCCCCTGTGAATAAATGAGAAATACGAACCATCACAGTCCTCAAAAGGACTACCACGATTTGGCATTGCTAGTTATTTGCCCTTATACTCCCCAGGCTACTTGCCAAGAGCCGTTTTCGTATCCGGTACGCTGGCAATAATTATTTTGAGGCCCCTTGAGGCCCACACCTGTGCATGGCTCTCTGGTGCCACACCATTATTGTCGTCATCATGGCAATTATTTCCTCCACCCTTCTCACTCAAGAGACTCCTATTCTTCGTCTCCCCGGTCTAGTCAGGAGAGGATAAGGGGAGAACCCAGTCGATAATTTAGGCCGGGGACTTCTTAAAGAAGGTTTCCTCCCCGCCCATGTCCTTATTCTCATTCGAGGTTTTCCATTCTGCAAACTCAAATGCAGTTCCTCTATGTTAAATCTTATATTATTGCTGCTGCTATCTTCATGTTGACTGTTATTTGGCGCCTTCCCAGGGCTTCTGGACAATGGGTCGGAGCCCTGGCGATTTGGATCATGTCGTCCCACTGAGGATTGCCCCGTCTGTCCGACAGGAGGTTCTTGCACCTGTCTAGATGAGCCGCGCGGTGGAACACTACTATCAGCCGGCGAGGTTCCGTGCGCCGTTATCGGGCTTGCGTTTCTAGGCCATTCTCTATCCGCAAACTCTACCACCATTTATAGCGACTCTGTTAACTATGCCTCAAAAAAAAAAAAAAACAAAAAAAAAAAGAGGCTCAGGGGGAAATGGCGCCTTCTTGGAGGGTAGACCGCAAACGACATATCGACAACCCACCGTCAAGCTTGATCATTGCCCTATTCCCCAACTCCTTCTCCTCACCCGTCAGCGACTTGACATCGTCATATTCCTCCCATTCACTCTTCGCCACAAGCTCATTCAATGCCTCCTCACTCCAAGCCCGACCCCTTGCTCCTTCGCCAGGTAGCCCATCTTCACGGTGCTGCACGCTACGCTTGCTCGCAGACCTCGTAATCCTGGCATATTCGGAGGGTGTCTGGCCATCATCGCCATGGCTGCTATCGGCGGGTACTTTGATGCCAGGAACCATTGGTGGTCCCGGGGTGGGTGTTCCCAGCCGCTGTGACTGGCGTCTCCGTGACATATCGAGGTGGCCTTATGGCGTTTGGGATCAGAGTTTGCTTTGTTTTTCTCTCACGCGACTGGCTGTGTGGGATAGAAAGGCGGATAATAAGAAAAAGAATTAGTTCACACCAGTCAATTTATTTAGAGGTTGCATGGCACCCCAAAGATTGGCCAGAAGCTGGATATGTTAAAATCAGAAGGAGGTATAAATATAACTCACGCGAAATAATCCAAACAGTTGAACATTCTGCAAATAAAAATTAGAATAGAATGAAAAGAATGAAAAAAAAAAAAAAGGAGAGAAAGAACTTACCAGCTACAGTAGTAAACCAACCAAATTGGCGTATTTCAAAGGATCTCTACCAAAAAGAGCAGATATAACTAACTAGCTCCTCCATTCACAATCATATTCAGGGACAGATGAGAAACAAAGCAAATCCCCTCCCCACAGGAAGAAAAAGGCACAAATAAGAGAGGAAAGATAGCAAAGAGACAATTACTCGTCCCCGTGCCCCTACGCAACTCAATCAATCAATCTGTCTATCAATCAACCTAGGTATCTCCTCTAACATTCTTTCTTCAGCTTCTTTCTCCACTTTTCTAAATCCCTTTTCCCTGTGCCAACAAAGCTCATTGTACTATACATTTATATCCATGAACTGTCCATATACATACAGTCCATACCAACCAGCCACAGCCCCCAACACCTCATTCGAAGACGGAGAATGAGCCATAGAAATAGAGAACAAAGAGTTCTAAGTGATGTTATCAGAAAAATTAAGCAACGGGAGAGGATATGGGAGGAAATTGATGTATATGCGATCGGTCGTCCGCTTGATTAGGAGAAAAATCCCAACATCGACAAGCGGGGCGCGGCACCGTGCGCCCCGCTTAGAAGAGACAAAAAAATAAGGAGTGCGTCAAGAAAAGAAGGTCATTCAAACACACAAAGGACGAAACAATAAAGATTGAGTAAAACAAAGCGTTCAAGAATGAAGAATGGAGGAGAAAGGGGAGGAAAGCGAGAGAAAACCGAAAGTTTGAGTGGTCGTGTAGTGTGCGTGTCCATTGAACAAAGACGATCAAACATCTATCTCTCTTTCTTCCATGTCAAACACAAAGCAATGAACACATATATCACCTCTTATTACTGGATTTCTTTACATCAAGTCCCATAAATGTTGCTGATACTGTGATATATAAATGTGTGGTATGAGGTGCAGGGGTTTGAGTGAAACATTATTCAACACATAACTACGGAGTAATTATTATCCCATTAAAGAAAGACAGAGTCCAAACATGGAAATGAACAAAGAAGACAGAATATTAGGGGGAAAAATATTGGAAGCAATACTCTGCCATAACACACTAGATAGATAGATACATGCTTACATACATACAATATTTGAAATAACAACATAAGAGGTTATGTATAAAAGCCACATGTCATAAAACATTACACCAAAATAAGTAAAGATTTAAATGACAAGAAAAAAAGACTTAAGGAAAAACGTGGAGCCTATGTAAACCAAAGCATATGAAAAGTCAAGAACATGATAGAAAGTTCATACTGAGAATATAACACAATACAATAATAGTAATCAATACCAATATTAATCCAGGATATTAATCCAGGAAAGAATAAAACAGAATCGGAAAACTAAAACCGGGGAAATGAGAAAAAATTATAACACCGAGGCAGAGCAACAAAGAAATGAGAGGAGATGTGTGGAGGGCAAGAGGTACATGATAGAGAGAAACAAAGTAAGAGATGAAAAAGAAGAGAAAGGTCCCAAAAAAAGTCACTCAGTTGATTATAAGATGATTGTTTTGCAAAAGTACAAGAAACAAATTATAATGAGCAGAAATCGAAAGAGTGAACACTGAGAAAGTGAGAGTCATGAACATCAAAAGCATTAGCACATAAAGAGGACATCAAAGGGTTATGCAAAACCATATTTTCCTAACGCATAATCATAACTTGCTCATGGAGTCATCGCACAGCATTTTTTCACAAAAAAAGGGAGGAAAGAAAGGCATAAAAAAGGCAACAAATGGTAGAAAAGAAAAGCGTAGAATGGCGATGGGGGCCGAAGGGACAAGACGGAGAAACGTCAATAAGAATAGTATAAGGTGTCTGGATGTAATAATAGGCCAAATCCAAAATCGAATCCTTCCGTACCCGGGGCCAAAGATTCAAATTTCCATGGTCAAGACTGTTCGGGATAGGGGGGATTATTGGATTGTCACCCTGAGACGAAGAGTGGCGTCTTTCGATCCCGTTGCCATGCCAGCTTAAAACACAAGGGCTTTAAAAGAACGTCAAATTAAGGACAAAATGCGAAACGTAAAACACATAATAGTAGCGAGAGTCGTTTGCGTTACAAGGTGCATCAGAGAATTGGTTACTTTCAGATATAAAAATACTAGCAGCACCGATAGCCGTGATCGGTGGCTAATATCTTGTAAAGACAAGGGAGAAAAGAACAACCAAAAACATATAATGGAAGAGGAAAATGTCCGTCAAGGCCGTTTGTGCACTCGTTTCGTCACGCTGTAGCGGAGTTAGCCTGAAAAGAAAGAAGGGAAAGATATTTCCAAACGCAAAAATAAAGAGAATGCCTCCACGTTCGTATATATGGTAGGTCGTTAAGTCGTTAATGATTCGTAGAGTGCTGAGCAAGATATATATATTCCCATACTGCGGCTGTATCCCAGATATTGGAGATTTTCGTTTCGTGTCCCGTTTATTGCTGGCGATAAAAAAAAAAGGAAGGAAAAGGGAGGGAAAAGTAAACGGCATTTTATCCCCTGACGGTGTTGCGGTTTTCATCAGATAATTGTAGGAGTGTACGAGTTAAAATGTACCGAATGGGAAAAATGTAGGGAAGCTTCACGGAAGAGGTCCATATATCGTCTTCTGTATCGGTAGATACCCTGTCACGAGCTCAATTCAAATGAATTTGCTCGTACCCTTGTCTTCGCTGGTTGCAACTGCCACAAGAGCCTCTAAACGGGCCATCCCACCGGCGGGATGATTGGGGCTGCCTGAGTAAAACACATGTCGTGGCTCTGGATTGGGGTATACAGGGTAGGCATTATTGTTAGTAGACTGGGGCTCTCGGGGAGCACAGGTCTGCCACTAATCAAAATTAGTACATTTTGGAAGCTTCAAAAGGCTTCGCAACAAAGTAAGAAAATTAAAATTATGGACTCACATTATGCGGAGTTTCAGTCTGGATATGTGAATGATGCCTTTCGATATCACCATGACTAGGTACTATGGCAGGATGGTATTCAGGCGCAGATGCCGATGGCGTTGCTACCCCTTCGCTACTGCTTGAATCTTCAGGAGATGGGTTCGCAAGTGGGCCAGTGGGTGTGGATGTTGGGAGAGGACCGTTGTACCATCCACGTCTTTTATCCTGGGAAGGCGTTGTAGGACCATTAGAGTTTGCACCAGCGGCAGGCTGCTCAGGGGGCCTGGATGCATCTGGAGTTCGATTTATTATTGGTTCAACGGTTTTTTGCTGGAGGGAATCAAACGGTTGTGATGCAATATTCCGTAGCTCACCGATTGTCTGCTGGCTCCACTGCGAAGCATCCTTGTTGCCTCGAATGTCAAGTTTTGTGAGATTTTGGTGAAGAGACATGTCAAATGAGACATGGCCCCGTCGGTGGCCAGGTCCAGAAACAGGAGGAGGGGGTCGAGCAGTTGGCAGCTGAGTACTGAAGCCCGGAACGAAAGTAGGAGCAGCATTAGAAGATGTCAGAGGCCTATCACTTTGCATGGGAGTCGGCTCTCGTCT